GCTCTAATTGAAAATAGTTATCACGAACACCCTAATAAAGTAAATATCTAATTCCTCTTTCAATTTAATTCTCAAACAAAAATATTGATCAATTTCCGTAGATTGAGATGATAAAAATATTTGTGCAAGTATCGTCTTTCAATGTGACTATTTTGTTTATCGGAAGCGTCTGTTTTGACGCTGTTAGGCTTTTTGTTTACTTTTCTGAACCTGTGCTATTTATAGTAAGGCAGTCGGTCACGATGCCTACAGCCAGGACTTTGCTTTCAGCAAAGCCCGGCTAAAAATACAAACTATTCCATTTATTCCGTAAATAATACACATTCTTAGTGAACTTTGAAGTCAGCTAAAAATTTGTAAGGATTCACTTATCAAAACCAGAAGATACATATACTGACATAACTTTGAAAAAATCAGGACTGTGGTTGCAAATTTATAATACAGGTGCAAGTAAATTGCATTTTTGTCTAAAAGGGAAGTATATATAAACTTGTCTTATATCTACATTACATATATTTTTCTTCTCATTTTCGAGCCCACTGCGTCAACGAACGTCAAGTTTGATCTATACATTTGAGTACACATCACTCACGTTAAACTTGGACTGTACGAGGCCTATGAAAACAATTGGGTGGTGAACGCCGTGAACACTATTAACACTACAATGAATAATATGAAAGAAGGAACACAAATAATTTACATTTTAATAATAGTTGTAATTAACGTTTTTACCACATGCACTTCAATACGATACGAACTGTTTGAAGAGTGAAATCCCAACAAGCTATTTAATACTGCGTTTATTCCGTAAATGGCATACAAATTAATATGTTACGTCTTTATATTTCATCTAATACGAAATAAATAGCAAATGGATGATGTATCTGTTATTTTCTTTGAACACTAGAAGTACAACAAAATTAAAAACATATTAAATAAAATTCCGTTTATTCCGTAAATGGCATCAATGGCATAACCCTTATTTTAAAATACGTACTTTACATATAAAATATTAGAAATAAGTAAATTTAATAATTAAAAAGCACATTTTGGTATTTTTCCTTTTAATTCCTTTTCCATTAGTTCTCATTTATTCTGTTTGCAGTATTATATATTTAAATATACCTGAAAACGGCAAAAATTAATACATTTACGGAATAAATAGCATATTTTTAATTTAAATTCCTTTCATATTTCTTTTGTTTCTTGTATTATATTCTTAGATATATGTGAAAACTGCAATTCCTTTCATAATTCTTTTGTTTCTTGTATTATATTCTTAGATATATGTGAAAACAGCAAAAATTAGTACATTTACGGAATAAATAGCATATTTTTAATTTAAATTTCTTTCATATTTCTTTTGTTTCAGGTATTATATACTTAGATATATGTGAAAACAACATCCTTCAAAAGGAAAAGAAACGTAAACGTTAACGTGTACAACGTCAACCTTAATCCATTCGCGAATTGAATAACATGATTATGCCAAGACATCATAATCAAACCAGTGTAAATCATTGTTGATTTCAGATACATGTACAATAGGTACCAGGTGTATAACTCATTGTAGAGTATGATTTTGTTTTAAAAAACACACAACTCATTGGATAAAAAATCATATCTAACCACAAACATACATTATCTATCTATCTATCTATCTATCTATATATATATAGACAGATTTGCTTTCAATGAAGTTAGCACTAAGTTTTGCATTAATCATAATGACAAAAACTTGTTAGTATCTAGTAATAAACCATAATTTATTTGCATGTAAACAATGTAAATAAATTTAACTATATCCATTACATTTGTGAAGATTTTTTTTTACCTAATTTTGTCAGTCAGTAATACTTTATTTATATAATCAAATTATTGCCTCTTATCGAGGACGGTGAAAAACCAACAAAATATTTTTGTGCTCTGGAAAAAAGAAACTATGTAAATAAAAATATAACAAAAATCATTGACAGTAGAGGTAATTCAATTGTTAATCAGAAAGAAATTTTAGATAACCTTAAATACTTCTATCAATCTTTATATAGAAATCTAGATGATTCACTAATTGATGTTAACCTAAACAATGTTCTAGTGGATTGCGAAGTTCCCAAACTTAGCAATGATACAAAATCTCTTTTAGATAATGATATCTCCCAGTCTGAAATTTTAAACTCTTTAAAAAATATGAAAAATAACAAAACTCCTGGAACAGATGGATTCACTACAGAGTTTTTTTAAATTTTTTTGGTCTGATTTATGCCAATTTTTGATAAATTCATTTACCTGTAGTTATAATAAAGAATGTCTATCAATGACTCAAACTCAGGGCATAATTTCTGTAATTCCAAAGGGAAATAAACCAAGAGAATATTTGAAAAATTGGAGACCTATCTCTCTTCTCAATGTTACTTATAAGTTGCTGTCCAGTGTTTTAGCCGACAGAATTAAAAATGTTCTCTCCACACTTATTCATGAAAATCAAAAGGAATTTCTTAAAAATAGATACATTGGTGAAAATTCTAGACTACTTTACGATGTTATTCATTATTGTAATGAGGAAAAGATCCCAGGGTTTGTTCTTCTTATAGATTTTGAAAAGGCATTTGACTCTGTTTCATGGAGATTTATTTTTAAAGTTCTACAATACTTTGGTTTTGGCGAAAAGTTCATAAGCTGGGTTAGATTGTTGTTTTCAAACGCAAAATTGTGTGTAATTCAGCATGGCCTATTTTCAGAATTTTTTGATATCGGAAGAGGATGTAGACAGGGGGACCCTATTTCGCCCTATTTATTTGTACTCTGTGCTGAAATCATGGGTATTATGATCAGAAACAATCCTGGAATCAAAGGAATTTTTATTAAAAGAAATGAATATAGACTATTGCAGTATGCAGATGATACAGTCATCCTTTTAGATGGTACAAAATCCTCTCTTACATGTGCTCTATCACTCGTCGATCAGTTTTCTAAATATTCTGGTCTTAAACCAAACTATGAAAAAACTCGTTGTATAAAAATAGGCTCCTTGTCTCAAGAAAATGTTGATATCTGTTTAGATTTTAATCTTCATTGGTCTCAGGAACCATTTACTGTATTAGGTATAACCTATTCTGTAGATTTGAAAAGGTGTAAAATACATAAAAGATTTGTTTCTTCCTGATGGCCAGCCTATGAGTTTTGAAGAATTTTGTGATGTGTATAATTTGTCAACCCCTTTTACATTATTTCACGGTGTCTTACAAAGTGTAAGAAAATTGAATTTAATTTATACTGAAAAGGATGCTTTTTATAATTCTCCTTATTATCCCAATTTCTTCCGAATAATTTTTAAGAGTCAAAAGGGATCAAGAGATTTTTATGACATTTTAATTTCATCTAAATGGGATAAACCCAAATATGAAAGTAAATGGGAAAATGTACTAGATTTGAATGTAAACCAGTTGTGGTGGAAAACCCATAATAAACTGATTTTTAATATCACTGAAGATGTACAACTTAGATGGTTTCATTATCGAATTGTACATAGAATTATGAGTACTAATGTTTATTTAAAGAAATTAGGAATCGTGCATTCCGATCTGTGTACTTTTTGTGGTACGCATCCTGAGTCTATAACCCACTTGTTTTGGGAATGTTTATATGTTGATATATTATGGAGTAAACTAGTAGAATGGATCAATTATAAAACAGAGCACAATACTGAAATAAACATAATAGATGTTATATTTGGTAGAGAAGGTAAATATCATATTATTTTGAATCTTTTAATATGTATAGTAAAAAGGCATATTTATAAGAAAAGAATTTGTAAGTCACTACCAACCATAGAAGGAGCAAAAAAGGAAATCAATCATTATTATAAAATTGAAAAATTTATATATAAAAAGAATAATGAATTGGCTTTATTTGAAAAGAGATGGGGTCTTTTTTCTTCACTGTTTTCTAATGTTGGTTAAAATTGTACTTGTTTAAAACCATTATGTTATTCATTATTTTGATAACTTTTCTGGTAAATACATACACATATTGGATGCATGGGGTGTGAAAGGATTTGTTTACATATTATTTTTTTTTTTCCAATGAAAAATTGTCCTGGTTGAATATTAAAATATACAGTGTTTATATTAGTAGTACATTATATGTAGTAGTTTATTTACTATAGTGCCATGTGACTGTCATCATTACTATTGGCTATATTTCATGTTTGTAAGTTTGGTGAGTCCAGGGCTCCCCAACCTTGGCGCCATCCATCGAATCTTATATATCGCTGGGGCAATAAAAAAAAAAAAAAAAAAAAAAAAAAAAAAAAAAAAAAATTATTGCCTCTTATGACCTCAAACTTTTCTGTACTATGATGGTATCTTGCATTTAAAACAAGAGAAAGGGATTATGAAATTGACAGATATAATCCAACAAGAAAATACAACAGAATAACAACTACTACTTTGGGTTTTTTGTTCCCAATGCCCTCTGGTACCATCTACCTTTATGCTCCCTTCTATTAGCAGGAATATGCCCTTTGCCCTCATCACTGACTTTATATCTCATGTCTTTTTTTGATTTTTTTCTCTTACTCAATTCAAAATCATGATAATTAATCCCTCCTTCTACCATTTGACTGGGGTGCAAATGGTCCTTTTAATTTTCTACAGTAAATTAAAGCAATCATCCTTCAAAGAAAAAAAAGAAAGAAAAAAATCTGAACAAACTTCTTAACAGTAATCCATAATAAGACTTACCCCAAAATCTTCCAGGAACCTTCCAAATACAATTCATAATGAATATACAGGTAGATTTAGCTTCATTTTAAACTAAAATGTGTCTCTGCTGTAAGGAAGAATTCAAAATAAAGTCTAACATGAGATTTATCCCAAATTAACGTCATTCACTAATGCTTCATAAAGTTATGAAACTTTATTACTTTTCAGTACCACAAAAAAATAATATTTGCTGCAAAATAATAATAATAATAATGAAAAAATAAAATAAAACAGCCATAAATTGAAATTTTATTCCTAATAAATGTCATTTGGCACAGAACAATCACCTTATCATGTCTTTAGCTTCCAAGAAAAGAACAAAGCTCTAAGAACTTCTCCTTGTAGTCATTATCTTAAGTATATTATTAGAATTACTGATCACTTCATCTTTCTTCACTGGTCTCTTTAAGCCATCAGCTTGTATTGTCTGGAAAGTTTATTTTAAAAAAAACCATTAATTGATAATTGTATCAAGGAATAGAAACTGAAGTAAGATGCATGAAAATGTAATACAGTAAAACTTGTCTTATCCAGGCACCACTTGTTCCTAAGAAATTCGCAGGGTTAGATAACATTCCAGATTAGACAACAATTTACAATGTACTGTAAAGGATGGAGTTTTCATCATAATAGGCAAGATTTCAGAAACATTACATTCAAATTAGACAGTCTCACCACATTAAAGTTAACATTAGTTACTATAACTTATTAGTTTTTAATGCAAATACAATTTTTGCATGTTTGTACACATATTTACCAAATCTCTGGTTATTAAAACAACTACCAGATTGAGACAAGGAAAATACATGTATGTAAAAAAAGAACAAGAGGCCCAAGGGCATTAACTGTCACCTGAGTATAACACAACACTGTAAAAGATCCACAGAAGTATAACTAAGATGAATAATTAATGCATTTCACTACACATATGTAAAATCCATAGAGTCCAGTCCTAACACTAGAACCCCTGACCCTGTGGCTATGAAATTCACAATTTGGGAAGAGGAACCCATGCTGATCATAATCATGCACTATTTTTCTTTATAACTCAGGAGCAGAGAAGAAGATTTTCAAAGAATTAATGCATTTTCAGATGCATTAATGCATCAAAATTTAGGAAGAGACACCTTGCTCATCATAACTATATGCTTAGTTTGTTTTGCTTAATGCCCAGGAGCAGAGAAGATTTTCAAAGGAATAATGCATTTTCACAATATAATCAATTTAATCAATAAAGCCCCACCCTCTCTGGAACCCCTAGCCCTGGGGCCACACATTTCACAATTTTGAAAGAGGCCCCATTGCTCATGATAACCATGTACTCAGTTTATCTAGTAAATATAGGGGGGGGGAGAAGAAGATTTTTGAAGAATTTATTACACATTTTCACTACATGATCATTAGAGCCCCACCCTAACACCAGAACCCCCTCCCCAGGGGGTCATAAAATTCACAATTTAGGAAGAGGCACTCTTGCTAATAATTACTATATACCGGTACTTAGTTTGTTTGCTTAATGCCAAGGAGCAGAGAAGATTTTCAAAGAAATAGTGCATTTTCACCATATAATCATTAAAGCCCCCGCACACCTGAATCCCTGACCCTGGGGCCACAAATTTCACAATTTTGAAAGAAGCTCCACTGCTCATCATAAATATGCACAAAGTTTATCTGCTAAATACACAGGGAGAGAGAAGAAAATTTTTTAAGAATTTATGCATTTTCACTATTTGATGATGGACAAAAACAGATAGCAAAATAGGTCAACTGAGTGACTCAGGTGACCTAAAAATGAAAAATATAATCTGGTCTATGTTAAATAGTCTATGAATTAATTTGGTTCTATGGGTTATAAATGGATCATAAAATGGAATGGTTGCTGATGGACAAATTTGATTCAAAATTTTTTTTCTTCCGAACTTGGCAAAAGACCTTACAAATGAAAAATTTACAAACCTCTGCTCTCACAAAGTCCCCTGACAGAAGACTAACAGGGTAATGACATAGCGCATTGTGGAATTCCTCAACTGTGGTGCCAGGTTTTAACATGATACAGTCTCGCAGAATCTGGCCCTTCTCTGTGTGAGATTTACCAATGGACTGAAAGGAGTCGAGGCAACGAACAGGAAAGGCATAAACTGGTTCCCGTAAACTGATTGCCTGACACAGTGCATTTTGGACATTGGTACTTCTATACCTAAAAAAAAAATAAATAACAATAATTGGTTGAGAGGGTTACTATTACATGCAGTTACAGTGAAACTTGTCTAATCCAGATGTTGTGTATTCCAAAATCTTGAATATACAATGTTTACTTCAAGTCCGTTTCAGTAAATTCAACTGTTTAAAATGTTGTCTTATCTGGAATGTTGTCTAATTTGGCCAATTTCTGTGGAACCAGTGGTCTCTGAATTAAAAAGTGTTACTGTATATTTCTTAAATTTTATTTAAAATTTAAATAGCCTGTGATATGCAATTTTATTAATTTTAGGGCAGAAAACATTGCCATTACATCTGAGTTTCATTGATTACAAACAATGCAAGTCAATACAATAGGGCCAAGGGCCTAGAATCCCTCTTATGATAAAAAGGTAGAACTGTGACCAATGAGGTCTCAAGACAAATCATATGACAAAGTTAGATAACCTTAGGCCTTTTACTATTTAGGGTAATAAGACTGATAATGAATAACAATGAAATTCAGAAAGTAGGTCACTGTGACCTGAATTGATACTGTGAAATCATCAATGGGGACCAATATTCGCGGATTCCCCATGCGTCACCCTAATCCATGAATTTAAATCCCAACAAACAATAATTTTGTTACCATATTTATTCAATGAATCCTCTGTATATATGAGTTATCCACAAAATTATGTCCCCATGAACCAACAAAATTGTACTTGTCCACGAACATTGACCTCCATGAATTAAAGTGATTCCACAGTTTATCCCGTGGCACAAAGTACATAAGCTATTTAATTTTGGTGACCTTATGGGTCATAGTGTTCAAATTATTTAGGTTACGATATTTTATAATCATAAGCTGTTGAATACAGAAAGAAGGTAACTGTGACCTTTTGTTTAGCTAACACACATCTAGAACCCAAGTTGCATCAACTGACAAAATTTGATGATTCTAAGCCTCTTAGTATCTGAAATATTTAGACATATCCATGAAATTCCAGAAGTATATCATCAAGACCTACTTATTAGCATGCATCAAAATCAATTTGAAAATGAATACCTACAACTATCAACAAGATGAGTTTGTGAATCACTGATATCCTCACACTGAAACACTGTCAGCTCATGGGAAAGGTTAAAGTTTTTCAAAAAAAGGTCCAATCACAAGGTCAAGGTCAAAGAGTCAAAATTGTTGGTACCCAAGGGAAAGACTAATTACAAGGAATACACCTGTGAAATAGGAAAGATATAGCACCAACCATTCAAAAGTTATGGCCAATGTAAGTTTTTCAAATGTAGGTCAAACTCCAAAGTCAAGGTCAAATGGTCAAAATTCTTGGTACCCAAGGAAAGGTCTTCTCACAAGAGGCAAACAGATGAAATATGAAAGCCCTAGCACCAACCATTCAAAAGTTATGGATAAGGTTTTAGTTTTTCAAAAGTAGGTCAAACTCTAAGGTCAAGACCAAAAAATTTCTACCTAAGGAAAAGTCTGATCACAAGGAATACACGTGTGAAGTATGACAGCCCTAGCACCAACCATTCAAAAGTTATGGATAAGGTTTAAGTTTTTCAAAAGTAAGTCAAACTCTAAGGTCAAGATCAAAAAAATTTCTACCTAAGGAAAAGTCTGATCACAAGGAATACACATGTGAAGTATGAAAGCCCTAGCACCAACCATTCAAAAGTTGTGGCAAAGGTTAATGTTCAGTAAAATTTTGCAAAAGTCGGGTCAAACTCCTAGGGTCAAGAGGTCAAATATGTTCATACCCAAAGAAAGGTCTTCTCATAAGGAATACACGTGAAATATGAAATCCTTAGCATCTATCAATCAAAAGCTATGGGCAAGGTAAAAGTTTTGGCAGACAAACACACAGAACAATTGACAGGAGCAACAAAATCTATATGCCCCCAAATCTTCGATTACAGGGGCATAAAATATGTCACAGTGACCTACTTTTTAGGCAATATGAGGTTCTTAGATGCCTCAACTGACAAGATTTGATGAAACTATTCTTTACCTAAGTTTTAACAATGTATCATATTTGGTCAATATCCAGTTGTTTAAGGGTTACATCCCCATTTTCAGTATAAATGAAACCCTTGGGCCAAGGATATTCTGTGACAAATTTTATAAAAATTGGCCGAAGGGTTATTGAGTTATGGCCCACATTATAAAAGGTTGAAGCACACCGCATAAATGGCCATAGCATTTATTGCCCTTTGAGCCTTCAGCTCAGAAGAGTTAAAAATTGCTTAGACTTATTGATAACATTTTGAGATATTGTTCAGACTTTTGATCCCTGGAGAGAAAATACATGCTAATACTTTACCTCTTGAAAATATCATTTTCAATTCTTTTGAGTTCTGTTAAGATTGTGGATGGACATTCTAAAGGTGTTATCTGATCACTGCCTCGGTCATATTTAATCTGACCCTCTTTTACCATTCTCTGTAGAAAACACTCCCTTTCTGCACTTACAGGAATAGTGTACCCATCACCAAACTCTGCAGAAAGTCTACAATTAACACAGTTGGTGTCTGCAGACTCACAAACATGTTTCTTGAATGATATATGCAATTACTGGTATTCATCTTCATTCAGTTGGTCATAGTAAATACACAATGTAAAATAAAACCTTCTCATAAATTACCAGAAGCTATTCCAAACAGGCAATTGCATCTTGTACAATATCACATTCACAAGCAACTTTGAACAAAGGAACAAAATTAAAGGGGCTGGGACACAGATTTGAAGCTCATATTTTCTAAAATTTTCTAAATAATATCATGACTTATATGTTTCTAGAGCATTTCACACTGAAATATATTAAAAGCTTGTTCTTTTATCGGGAAATTATTAAAACTACCTAGGTACAAATTTCGTGATGCATTTGATTGACACATATCCTTGCACTTTCACAAAGTAAACTTTATCCATAATACATAAGAGAAGTAGAAAATTTGTTGTGTATTAATGAAAAATATTCCAGAAAATTCAGAGTAGAAATGCAAGAAAACAAAACCAACTCACCAGTATAGTCAGTCTATGCTTAGTGATGTGTGCAGAATAAATTCAACACACCCAGTAAATCATAAACTCTAACAATAACACAGCATGTGTCCTGTTTACAAACACAGGTGTTTGAAGTGATGTTATGAATAATGTCGTTGTCATTGAATTCTTAGAATATTCATTTAAGTTCAAATCAATAAACTTATGTAATTTGTTGAATAAAAATAGACATTTAAAATTGTAAACAATGCAACCCTTTAATCCCCCAATATCCATTGTACTGGTATATGTTGGTTTGAGCACATGCAGCAGAAATATTTGTGAAATGGTCTTAGAAAGTAATGTCAAACATTAAATGATAGAGGCAGTAACCTGCTGATGATGTCTGTTGATGATTCTTTGTCAGCTTTATTTAGCACCAGCAATGTAGGGAACCTTATGTTGAGGAAGCTGTCCACTATCTGATGGAGCACCTTGCTGTCCCAAGTCTTTATCTTGGATAACTCACTGAAAAGGAAAATAAAGGACCTTTAATATTGATCCTAGAGTTCAATGTTTCCAAGATGTCTTTAAGCATCATTAATAAAAAAAATTTCATAATTCACCAAAAACATATTCCAAAATGGCACAATTGAAACTTGTATGATATCACATTCAAATGTAACTTTGACCAGATGAACAATTATTTTATCAAAACAAGCTTTTTCATACAGACATCAAATATAAGGGATATGGCTAATACATACCTTTCATTAATACCTGCATTATGCAGAGCTGCATAAATAGTAGCTTTGTTTGCATGATACCCTGTAAACATGTCGATCAACTTCTGAGGTCTTTTAACAATATTATCCCACTTGCTCCATACATTCTGATAAATCCACTGACTGCAACAAAGAGCAAAATATAAAGAAAAACTAAGGAGAATAACTTCATATTGGACTTAATTGGTATGCATGGAGCAGTCATGGTCAATGTCAGATGAAAAAAAAAAAATGAAAGTGATATGGTATGTTACTTTTAGTATATTTTGATAAAGATAATTGCTTGGCACATTGTTTGTTTTATCTCAGCCAAATATACAGTGATTCTGACAATCAGAAAATTTTAAAATGTGGATCTCATGGAGAACTAGTCCTACACTCACTGTAGTTCTGCTTTGAGCCAGTGTACATCGTTAGCTGGATCATAGTCAGTTGTTTCCTCTCCTTTCTCGTTAGTTGTACCTGAGGCATCAATTATGTGGATTAACACATCAGCATCTAGTAGATCATTCAGAAATCTAGAATAAAAAATGTATCAAAAAACATTTTTAAGCATTTAGAGGTAAGACTGTATTATTTTTTTCTTGATGTACATGTAGTATAATTCAAATACCATAAAATGCTGTTAAGTCAAATCGTTAAACTTCAGCCTAACATTTTGAAAAGTAGATAGTACCAGCCTGCTAAGGAACCCTGAAGAAAATGTCTGGGCTTTTGGTATCGTTTCTCACAATTTTCCTTTTTCATTATTAAAGTGTCAATATCATTGGATTTTCTGATAACAATTTTCTGATTACAATTTGACACACCTATTTCCCCTTCCTTTGCCCTCCCAAGCACCTGGTACCAAACCAGCAACATCTTTCAACAGGATTGGTAAATATCTTTTTCCTCTAAAATCATGCCCATGCACTGTAAAGAATCAATGCTTTATTTCTCTTTAAAAATTATATCATCCATTATAAATCTAAATTTCTGTTTTATAGGTTCATCATATTTTCAGTCCGCATTACTTTTAGGTTTGTTGTATATTCTTTAAATTCACAGCACTTGGTAGATATTGATAAAAAAATACATTTTCTTACCTGCATTGCATTTGATTGACTGATTGCTGCAAGGACAGGGTATTGAGAAGAAGGCTTTTCCTATATTGGGTTCTATGGTGGTGAATGGATGTGCTCCTGTTTTGGCCAAATCAAGTGTTGTGGCTGCATTGAAAAAAGTGGACTTGCCAGCAGATGGCTTACCCTAAACAATTAATGACACCAATAAATATATGAAAGATTCAAAAGATATTTGCAAATTGCACTCATTAACTTGAAAAAAAGAAATTAATGCACCTTATCACACTTCAGCACCTTTTAGTAAATTGAAGTTTTGCAAACACAAAATGATGGGGGAAAAAATTAAATTTTATTTTGGTGAAAAAATATATTACAATACTGTAGCATTACATACCACAAGTCCTATCACATATTGCCATCTTCCTCCACTCAGCTTTGGTTCTTCGAGTTTAATTGATTTTATTTCTGTGTCATTGATTTCTTGTTTATCTAAATCCTATCAGTGTAAATACATCTAAATCAGTATTATTGGAAGGACAGTGCAAAGAGACATTATGGTCAGTATCTTGATCTTCTTGAGACCCACCTCTTAATTCATAAAACTCTCTTTATGCATCTTCTATTGAGTAAAGCTGTTTATTTAATGTCTAACAAAAAGTTTATTAACAAGGCCAATATTCAACAAAAAAGGGAACCTTACTTGGTGAGCACTAAGTTGTTCTGGTGTTGCTGAGGATAAATTTTCATTTATCCATTGCTGAGCAGAATCCACCAGAGAAAATATCATTCCCATGCCAATAAATTCTTCACACTGTTTCAAGAAAACACAGTCTGTTTCAACTTATGCATTTTGACTTTTCACCAGTATACACTTTGCCAGTACTCTAAGTGGGGATAATTTTTTCTTGAACATAAGCATCATATATTAATATCACTTCAAATATATTAGGTTTTATGAATGAGGCTTTTTTCTGTAAATCTGATGAATGATAAAGGCAACAGGACACATTTTTAATTAATATATGTGATATCTACACTCACATTGTATACTAACTTTTTCATTTAGCAAACTTAGAAGTTGTTGATGACTCTCTGTAGACAAGACTTGGTTTCTCATTGGAATCTCTATCACAGGTCGTACATCTGGGTATTTTGTTGGAAGAGTAAACTTCAGGCTTAATGCACCTTTACAAATGTTAATTACATTTTATTATACCTTCACAAAAGTAAAGTGATGTAAGTAAAGAAAATCTAAATAGTTTTGTTTTTCTCATCAATTCCATGTGACTGTAGTATAAATGTAATGTTCTTTTGCTTATGGCTTACCTGGTAGTTGAAGATCTGGTAATTTTACCATAAAACATGGAGGGTCATTGGAAATATCTAAAATACAAAATTATACTTTTTATTTAAAAAATAAATAGGTATACATTGGATAGAATGATCCATCGTTAAAATTGTATTGTACTAGGTACCTGGTTTAACAACAGAGTATGTTCCATGTCTTGGCATTGTAGCAAAGTAAAAGGGGCAGCTAGTTCTAATTTACAATTATATTATGTTTCAAAGAAATTGGACAGATTATAAGCACATTCCCCAATAGAGAAATTAAACATTTGTGTAAATATTGTGGATTTTCTTTAAGGGGATGAAGGACACATGGTCACATGACTGTTCAACTACGTCATAGTCTCCGTTTATATAAGTGCAAAACGTGTAAACCTTCAGTTCTTATATAAATTTTTGACAATTTGATTTACTTTTATTAACATCTTATATAAAAAAAAATTAAAAAGTTTAATCATTCTTGTAAACATTAACAAATTATGAAATACATTGATTCTCCCCTCTGTTTCCCTAACAGTCAGTGACGTCATACACGATCTGTTAGTACAGCTAGATCATACTCGGTGAATACAGGGGCGGTATTATAATATAAAAACATGTCATAATCAGTATATGATGAAATATTTTGAGAAATAGGGAACACAAAAATTATTTTTGCATGGCTGATGACGGAAATCTTATGTAGGTATATCTTATTTCGCTTATTTAGCTTACGTATGACGTCATAGTTGGTTTTTCCCGTACTCGAGAAATGTAAACATGACACGATTTTGTCATGCTTATGTCTTCTTTAACGATGTCCTGTGCAATACTGAGGTCAGCTTCACCATTCAAAATTTTTACATTTAATCAATAATATGAAGGACTTGCATTTCAATGTAAATTTAAAAATATTGAATGATAGAATTTTTTGCAAATTTATGCCCTGTTCACACGGAGAGTTTAATTCGCAGTAAATTAATGCGAAGTAAAATGATGCGAATTAAACTAATGCGAATTAAATTTCGTTCACACGACAGCTAATGCGAAGTAAACTAATGCGAATTATAATTTTATTTCTACAACAAGGCTATTCAGTGAGGCTATTATGACGTCATTTACAAATCACGTCAGACTGTGCAGAGCAGATATATTTGACATAAGTGTCATAGTGTCTGTACACATTTTAGTCATTAACATAATTTTCCTTTGTTTTCCACTCGAAAATAGTACAAATACCTATATTTGACCATCAACATGTGGCCTGTGACTTAATTCTGCCCTTACGCATGCGTTAAAATTTAATTCGAATTAGCTTCGCTTAGCGTTCACACGGAGCTAATGCGAAGTAACTTAATGCGCAGTAAACTAATTCGAATTAAACTAATTCGCATTAAGTTCTCTGTGTGAACGCGGATCAAATTTAATTCGCAGTAACTTACGTTTAATTCGAATTAATCTCTCCGTGTGAGCAGGGCATAAGTTTTTTGTTGATTAAGTTGTCTAAAAAAGTAGGTAATTTTTCCTATCCAGATGCAGTGTGATAGAAGAATCTAGATTTTTCGAATTTTAAACCCTATTCATACTCTGAAATATTTTAAAATATACATGTCCACTTACATATTTTTTATCTATACTTAAAAAATCCCATTATGGACAGAGTAATGGGCCAGGAAACATGGAGAACTAAAACTCCACTTAGATACTGTAGGGCATAGTATTTGTGACAGTCAATTAATATCTCTAAAATGAGGTAAGAAACCTAATGATATAAGTGCTTTAAGATATGTTTGACATACTTAATTAGAAATATACAAAATATGAAAAAAATTGAATGACAAGAATTTTTTCTGCTCAAGGTCCTTCTTCCCCTTAAATAGAAGAATAAGTGCAAGCATAATTCCATGTTCTAAAAGTCCGAGTCTTCTTAATTAGTATGCATGAAATTGTCATGTTTACAGCTGCGATTCACTGAAATACAGTAAATTCACTGAAATACAGTAAAGAAGTAATGATATATAGCAGATTTCTTATGGAAGCTTCTATGTGTTAAAAATGTGAATATCTTGTGCACTTGTTAAGTCATACATAGAATTATTTGCTCAAAATTTTATCAGGGACATATATACTAATGGGATAGACAACTCCTTCATGTTTATTTGCCCAGAACGTCACAAATCAAAGTACTCAGAAGTACAGAGAGCCAGGCTCATTTACAGAAAAGTGAACAAGTCCGTTTTACATGAAACATACATTGTAATAACAGATGACTGAAAGAATATGTAACACAAATTAAAATATATTTATGGCATATAGTGTAAATAAGAAAAATGTTCAAAAAATTAAATAAAATGCAGTTTGAATTTAACAGCGTAAACAATTTATCACATGTATCGTTTCGGGGTCTAACATCACTTACAGAAGTAAATAAACATTGATGCAGCTAGGTGAAACTTTTATACACAGACGGGTCCTCAGCGGGGAGTTTTGCATAAAGGTGCACATCGGGTCACGTGCTCCCCACATTAGTGTTAGCCTGATAACACAATGTTCTTTATTTATATAGAATGTGACGCGCTGACAGAGACTTGATGAAAACCTTTCACATTTTTTGAATAAATAATTAATTAAAAAAGAAAGGAGAAGGTATATTACCATTAATGTTTTCTTTTTGGGTTTAGAGAATTTCTTAGTTAACTTAAATTTGTTTTATTTAGTGTTTGTATTGCTTCAAAGGTGGTTGAGCATACGTACTATATTCTTACTCGTATTTGATTTGGCGGTGAGAAAGCAGCATTTCCGGTTGAACACCGTAACAAAAGCCGGCTATTGCTCTTCGAGCAATGAGCCCGGCTAAAAACACAACAAGTTTTTCAAACTCTGTTTATTCCCAGTAAAAACTCTGTTTTCTTCTCAATGTAATTTGTTCTTTTCGTTTATTGGAACAGATTTTTAATAAATTTTAGAGCATACATTGTAAAATAATCTGAATATAAAGCAAACCACCACAAAATTCAGTGAATTCTTGGAAGTACGGCCAACGAGGGGCATGTGCTGATTTTGAATATACAACATGTATAGAAAATGCTAACAACAAATCTTTAATAATTTTTTGATCAATTAACAAACTTTAAGGTTTCATTCTGGAATATTTCATAGAATATTTAAAATTGACATCCAGAATCCTGCAACTTACGAAATACTGCAAGACTTGCGACAGCTAGTTGCCTATCCCGTTAGTATATATATCCCTGATTTTATAATATTTATTATTATAAACCTTGTAATGATTTTTTTTCTTATCACTGCTTCTACAATATATTTATGCAAATTTTTATAACTATAACATCTTTTTCATAATAGGTCTTAAAATTATTGCCAGTACAGTAAAACTCAGATATAGTGAAATTCTGGGGACATGCGAATTTACTTTGCTTTATCCATAATTCGTTATATTCGTATAATGAATTTGTTAAAGTATACATGGCAAATTTGCAATATATATATATATATATATATATAGTTTAACATTTTAAAATTTAGATCTTTGAAAATTTGCTATAAAAGATGTAAAATTTCATTTTTTTTTTAACTGCAAGGGGACACAAATTCAGTTCACTATAACCACAAATTGCCTATATTCATCTGTAAAATTTTACAAGGAATTGCTAAAAATTCAGTGGGGATTGCCAAAAAAAATTGCTTTATCCGTAAATTCGCTATACCTATGTTGGTACTAAACAAGTTTTACTGTATCAGCTTCCGTAGTTTTCATGGTCTTGTAAAGATCAAACAACTGAAAAGGCTGCATTCATGCATATGATTTTCAATTCCTTTGTATGATCTATTAAGATGTCAACTCCACTAAAGGTGTCTGTAAATTTTCCTTCTTTTACAAATAAAAATAAACTTCCACTAGTGGAAAATTCATGTAGTTCATACTGGTATCTAATTATATCCTGACAATTATTTATTCTGCATAAAAAAGTTGTTTCAAATTCTTTATCTTTTCATCAAATGCTATTTATAAACCTAAAATTAAGCTAACTTTTTAGTGGCAAATTTTTTTTCCAAGATTGCTTTGTTTATTTGTAGTCCACTTTTAAATCTATTTTTAAAACATTTCCCAAATTGGAAATTCTCATTGTATCGTGGCATTGAAAATTGAAATACATAAAAGCTTGGCTATGGCATTAAGTACAATTTTTATTCTTTAATTCAGCATGTGAATTTACATGAGAACTAAATAATAAGAACTTAAGGCTTTCTAAACATGAACTTTATTATAGTTTTTACTGGTTAATATATATTCAATGACCAAAAAAAAATAAATAAATAAATAAATAAATAAATAAAAACGGGAATGGAAGTCTTTTAAATAACTCTTTATTTGAATAAATTTTTCTCCAACGTGTGTTCCATACTTTTTTCTTCATCACATATGAGTCAACTATCAGATGACAGACAGACAGTCCATGAACAAAAAAGGATATATGTTATGTATCCTAATTTTTTGGAAAATACTGTGATACAACAATGAGTATTGAGTATACATTGCAAGAATTCTCCAACCTGCTGGACACGATTGAAAAACCTTGAGAAAATGTTACCCCCCCTCCCCCCCCCCCCCCCCCCCCCCGAGACTGATTATTTTGGCTGATTTTTTGGGGTGATTGCATAGTATGTTAGAAAGTAGAATATATACTAGTGAGAATAATCTAACTGTGTCTAAGCTCTCATTACAGTTCGTTATGCCAGGTCCGTAGGACAATATCATTTAAAGGACAGAACGTTATATATATATATATATATATATATATATATATATATATATATATATATATATATATATATATATATATTTATTTATTTATATATATATTTTTATATATATATACAATGTACCTCTTCCCCATTAGTGGCATTAAACAGGTCCAGTACAATCAGTACATTTAGCTACGTAGCTAAAATTACTTACCGTAGCTTTATTTACCTACCTCAGGTAGCTTTATTTAGCTATTTCAAGGCAACTTTTCACAATTTTGCTTTTTATTTTAAAAAGACAAAAAGTCGCAAGAAAATGTCTACTAATATTTATTCTAGGTATCATTTAAAAAGCAATCTAAAGCAGAGATAGTTTTAACATTGCTGCGTTTGATCACTTCTAAGGAAAATATGTATTCCCATTGTTTGAGTAACTGTACACACCTTGTGCGTGATGAGGCGTGGATAAGTATGATAACTTCACATTGTACTCATGTTAACCAAAACTGGTTTTCTTTGTTATTACACTCAAGAAGTAACTGTTAGGTCACAAATTAACTGTTGTATGTAGCCCCAAAACTTTTAGAACTTTGATTGCAATTGCGCAAAAAAGACACATCTCCAAGAGTGATTTTTTCATGAATTGTTTTCAGATGAGTTCAAAGCTGAAAATTATCACTGCATCAAAGTGCAATTTTCTGCACTTTCTGGGAAAAATTCTTCTTTAAGAAATAAGTTTGATTTAGTAAGTTAATAAAGCTACTCCAGGTAGGTAAATAAAGCTATGTGGGTAATTCAAGCTACGTAGCTAAATCTAGTGATTGTACCAGACCTGTTAAAGCCCTTACCTGTGAATTCATTCTCATAAATTGACTTCAGAGCCTCTAACTCTTCTCGTTGGTCTTCGTTGGCCATGTTGCTAATTTGCCTTCCTACATTTTTATTGTCACTTACAGCTAATATGTGTATTTTGTTAATAAAATAAAGACGTTTCAATATTTATGAACGGTATTGACACATGTCTTACTTTCACTTCGTTGCGAAATTAAAACTTGTGAATCTGCATCTCTAACCCGAGCTAATACTACAACATTAACAAATGTTAGTCAACAGAGAGAGAGAGAGAGCGAAAGAGAAAAGAACGCACAGTGGTGCATGCAGGTGGCAAAAAATAGATATATATGAAATAAATAAATATACAACAAGATGTGTTTGTGAAACACTGATGCCCCCGTATGGCAGCTTATGGAGAAGGTTAAAGTTTCTCAAATGCAAGTCAAAATCCAGGCCAAAAGATAAAAAATGTTAAATTTGAAAGCCCTAGCACCAACCATTCAAAAGTTATGGCCAAGGTTAAAGTTTTTCGAAAGTAGGTCAAACTCCTATGTCAGGGTCAAAGGGTCAAAGTGGTTGGTATCCAAAGGAAGGTCTTGTCACAAGGATTACATATGTGAAGTATGAAAGCCCTAACATCAAACATTCAAAAGTTATGGCCAAGGTTAAAGTTTTTCAAAAGTAGGTCAAACTCCTAGGTCAAGGTCAAAGGGTCAAAGTGGTTGGTATCCAAAGGAAGGTCTTGTCACAAGGATTACATATGTGAAGTATGAAAGCCCTAGCTCTAACCGTTCAAAAGTTATGGCCAAGGTTAAAGTTTTTCAAAAGTTGGTCAAACTCCTAGGTCAAGGTCAAATGGTCAAAGAGGTTGATATCCAGAGGAAGGTCTTGTCACAAGGAATACACATGTGAAGTTTGAAACCCCAAGCACCAACTGTTCAAAAGTTATGGCCAACGTTAAAGTTTTTCAAAAGTAGGTCAAACTCCTAGGTCAAGGTCAAAAGGTCAAAGTTGTTGGTATCCAAAGGAAGGCCTTGTAACATAGAATACACATGAGAAGTTTGAAACCCCAAGCACCAACTGTTCAGAAGTTATGGCCAAGGTTAAAGTCTCATAAAATTTTGCAAAAGTGGGTCAAACTCCAAGGTCAAAAGGTCAAATATGATGGTACCCAAAGAAAGGTCTTGTCACAAGGAATACACATGTGAAATATGAAAGTCATAGCTCCAACCAATCAAAAGTTATGGGCAAGGTTAAAGTTGACAACAGACAGACAGACAAACAGATAAACAGACAAACAGACAGACAGGACAAAAACAATATACCCCCGGGATCTTTCGATCCTGGGGCATAAAAAATGGAGGGGAAAACTTTCAAGAATATAATTAAATCAATTTATTATATTTAAAATGTATCTATCAATTATATCGAAATAAGGAAAATATTTACGCATGCAATCGAGCAATAAAATATTTAAGGTAATTGCTAGCTAATGATGTATACTGAGGATAATTTGAAATTTTGATATATATATTACTCTAATATTATATCTAGTTTATGAATTTAAGAAATTATATGCATCAATTTTAATTTAGACCATGGTTAGATCATTACAATAAAAATCTGTGACAAAAAGTACACTGCAAGAAAAAAGTAGTGAGATAAAGGCAACAAATTAATAAATGGGACATTATAGTACTAAAACACCTGACACTAGTTTGTAAAAATTGAGAAAAGAGTAAAGGTGAAAACGCTCACTATTTCACGGGGGATAGTAACATTTAATCAGTGAATTTATATAGTTATGAATATTTGTCAAAAGTAAAGGATCAATAAAAATTGTGGTGGGGGGGGGGGGCACGATGCCCCATTGTAGTTAGCCCTTTCTAAAAACGATACAGGTGTTGTGGCATTGGATCGTACATATAACACCCTCTGTCTGTTACATTAACACAAATTTATAAAAATCAGATATAAATACTACTTGCCATGTTTTCTTCTTTTAATTAAATATTTTACATTAATCATCCAACATTGGCACTAACTTAATATAATCTTATATCATCTTAATCCTACAGTATTAAAATAAACTTAACAGCCCGTGGGAACCGAGGGCATTGTGGGCCCTGCCCCCCCTCCCTCCCCGATAATTTTGCCAGTCTATATACTTTACATTTACAATACGTACAGTTGTTACAGTCATGGCTTAGGTACGGGGGGGGGGGCACGGGGGAGCCATGCCCCCTATAATTTTGCCGATAGATAGAATACTATAGAAAACATAGCTACCATATACTTGTGCCCCCTCAATAATAACGTCTGATTACTTTTTTTTTTTTTGGCTTGTCAAGGAATTTTTTGTAGTTGATAGTACTCCCCCAACTAAGATTGCTTCCTACGGACCTGACAGTTGTGTCCCTTCAATAGTTTTAATTCTGTATAACAGAAATCAAACTGAGCTAAGGTTGTGCACGTCTGATGACTTTGGGGAGGGAGGGGGTCGTGTCAAGTTGCTTCCCACGGGCAAGTTGTTTAAAGCTTCTAAAATTAGTAATGACATTCAGTTGTTCGAATTAATAAAGATTTTTCTAACTTTTCCTCACTTCAATGAGATCTTTAAATACATAATAAGGACACTTGCGTCAAAGAAAAGAAAAAGGATGCATGGATTGGTGTATATTTTTTGGATGTAAGTGATGCAAAATTACATCAAATTCATGAAAATATTATCATGATTATTGAAATTTTAAATTTTATTATAATATGTTATTTCAAAGTCTTCACTTTCCCGTTCCCCTAAATATATTTCTTAAGTCACTTTATCAGACTCTATTGAGAAATCTTGGGGGAAAAAATAAATGATATAACTTTTTTTTTTATTTCTTTGGATCAGATACAAAAGTAACATTTGTATCTCACCTGAGATGATATAAAAAGAAACAATAATGTTGTTCATTGCATTCAGATAAAAAAAATATAAATTATTACTATGCGAAATGTAGGCAGACCACGCAAATTCCATATTGTGCAAGTGTCCAATGTGACATGAGTCACCATTTGACCCAATCAAGCACTCCTCACTTTCTTTTCGATTGACCAATCACAGGATTTGTTTTGATCACGTGGACAGACAATTAGTACAATAGTATGAAAATTTACCTTTACAAAAATCAATATTTACCTGTATCAAACAACGCGTTATAACTTTATTAATTGGTGAAGTACATATATTTCTGGTATTCTAAGCAGTGAATTTCATTTTTTGGATTGATTTACCTTCGTCCTTGGAATATGTCTTTATAAAAAAGTGAAAAGGTAGCAACATTGTCATTTGTCGCATCAATATGGCCGACGCGAACTTCCGATTACACACATTCCCACCGGTGTAACAACGATTCTTTGTGATTTTTTGACCAGAGGACCATTTATTCAGAATTCGCTTAAAAACAGTTTTAGATTTGACTGCGAGTTTTTAAGAATGAACAGTGATTTACGAGAATAATGATGTATAAATGTTTGTGGTACCTGCACGTTTGTGTGTTTGGAGCTTCGCTTTTACTCTGTGCAAATAGCGGTAGGTATATTAACTGACTGGATAATTAATTAATGGTGCCAATTGATGATTGATTAAAGTTTGAATTTTAAAATCTTAATTCATATATTTGATGTGTTTTATATTTGATTACGTAATTCTTTCCCAATGGCATACATATTGTTTAAAATTCCTTCAGATCAACTACCCAAATGTCTGTCTTCAAAGAGTACACTATAGAAGAATTCGTGCTTAATAAGAATAAGAAAGTGTAGTATATGTGTCTATGAGCACTCAGTTTAACCAGTTATTACAATAACTGTGATCCCATTGTAAATTTCTGCAAATGTTGCATTGTGCACGAAGTCACAGTATATTGTTTTGAACTCATGTACATGTGGGTGTCAGAAAGAAGGCTTGACCAATTACTTAATTGTATTTTCTTTGAATATCAGTGACTGATGTAGAGAACTTGTCTAGAGAAAGGTGGCCCTGGTTCGAATCCTGGTCATGTTCTTTTTGATAAAATTACATAAAATAGTATAGGGGTAAAAATTGATATGCCCCTCATCTGTCATTTTATTCAATTATACAGTAAACATTTGTAGCATGTAATAAAAATATCTCAAATGCTCTTTAGACTACTTAATTAGTACCAAGTATTTAATTAAATGCCAAGGACATATGTGGTTACATGTGAAATAAACATAATTGTCATGACTATATTTCTTCAATTTTGGTTAAGTCTGGTCAGAGTCAGATTTCTTAATTAGGGGAGATAATTAGAGCACTCTTTTATTGTGTGACTGCATATCTGATACTTTGTTACTCTGATAATATACAATGTAGAAATGAATTTGTTTCACAATATATATATAACAAATATTATAAACTCATAGAAAATGGCCAGTTAGGGATTAGAAAAATTATCAAAAATTCACAGATGCCTATAGATCTACATGTAGGTCTCTGTAGATCCTTTAGCTGCCTCCTTCCTCCCTCACCCCCCCCCCCTCCCCCAAAGAAAAAAAAATAAATTTAACGATAATGAATATAAGTTAGTTTACGATTTTTTTTTCTTGTCAATATGATGTGTGTTTGTAGTAGTTTCTTACATATCATAAATGAGTCATGATAGTTTTCAGTAGATGTTGTAGATATTTTTAGTTTTTGATATTTAAGGGAGTGAATTCAATTAGAGTAACTTTAAGCTTGTGTGGTAAACTTTAAATATAGCTTAAATTTATCTGTAAGTAAAGGTTATTTTGGAATTCCAAGTGTTTGATCACTGTAAACATTTTACATTAGATTGCAGTGGCATTTACAGCAGGTCAGTTGGGGAAGAGCAAACTATTAATTAAATCTTGATTTAGATGAAATTGGATTTATTGAAATAAAAATTGACTTGAAAGTTTAAGTAAATGGGTTATCAGCATTGTTGCAAACCACAGTTTTGAGTCCACAAGCTGAGGAGACCACCCATGGGTTACCAATGATGGTTAAACCCAATGCATCATAATATCAGTTGTATGCTTCACACATATTAATAACAAATTAAGGTACAGGACTTCGATATCTGTACATAAACATAGTGTATATATATATATATTTGTAAAATAATTAAAAAAGGTACATTCTGTAGTTAATTTTGTTTTTCATTAATTGGTTCTTCATTGTCCATGGGTAAGTAAGAATTCAGCTATAAAAATGAAAGGAAGTACAATATGTACTTGTTTAGCATACAAGAAAAATGTATCAACAGAAGGGAAATTTGCAGAGAACATTCAGGCAGTATAGATTTAGACACGAAAACTTTAAATTGCCTGCCTAAAAGCACGAGGAGCATTGATGCATTTTATTCATTATTGTCATATAATAAACATGATGGCATATGCATTTAGAACTATTGCTGGAGCACCCAGCTAGCTTATCTATAGATATAATGTTCATTTACAAATGCACTATTTGAATATTATTTTTTTTTTTAAAACACACAAAAAAACTGCAACATTTATTATGATCAATTGAGTTACATTCAGATATGTTGTATTGAACAACTGTGATGTTAGTGGACACGTAGATGAGACAATTCTACCTGTAATCGTTGATATTCAGGGATACCCAGATAGAACTTAAGGTTGACAGCTTGATATGATTGTATATATTAGTATTTCAGCAGTTTATCATTTATATAACTAGTGTGGTTGAGTTTATGGATGATAAAAGCTGTTAGGTTATTAATGATTATTAAATGCATCTACATATTCTGAGCAATAATCTTCCTATATACGATACATTATTCACCAGCTTAGCTTTAGTACTATAAAGTTAAATCTTTCTCACAAGATCTTTGATTTCTAAATTTTTTATACAATTTATCAAGTATTCAACACATTTTCATGTAAGAACAAAAATGAGATAAGTACTTATTACTAATTTTTAAAATAAATAGGGCTGAAACAACATGGGTAACCTTCCATGTCATTGCTATATGATATAGTAAGTCGCATATTTATGATGTCTTTGTAACAAGCAAAAAATAAATAGCATTTTCATCCAATTTTGTCAGTAAAATAGATTTAAAAATATATTATTTTAGATTTTTTTATTGGAAAAAATTACTTTTGGGTATTAAATATGACTTAAACAAGTTTATGTATTTAATGACTAATGTTAATTTTATTTATATATTTTCATAATATTCAATATTGGAATGTTGTCAGTACATGTGGAACTTAATTGTATCACAAAATGTTAATGTAGAAGAATAATGTCTCACCCTTTATATGGAATATGTATATTGCTTTTGACATGCTTTTAAGAACTGGATCACATTTGCATACCTAGAGGCTTCAGGTGTATATTTTATAACTGTTCATCACTTTGAATTGAGCTTTATTATATGGACTCCTAAATAAGGGCAAGACTTGGCTTTGAAAATGAACAAAAGAAAAAAAAACTGAAGTGTTAAGCTGGCCACATTCCATACAGATAGGAATGTTTCTGTGGTAGAAGAGAGGTTTTATCTTGTAAACTTGATACTCTAGAGCCTGCGGGTTTTGTTTTCAAATTTATAAAATTGTTTACCTTTTCATTTGTATACTATTGATAAGTAAATTTTAGTAGGAAAGAAAAAAAATAGAATATGAGATGTTACCTTCTGTAAAGATTTTTTTTCTCATACATTCTGAAATTCAATTTGTTTAACTTAACGTACATGCCCTTACTTGTATTGTGTCAAAGACATGCAAAACATATGGTTTTTATAGCTATAAAAAATGATAATTGAAATAAATTCATTATGTATTAATTAAGATACATTGGATTAATGGCAATGATCAGAAATGTTGTAATCTGAAATGATCATGGAGGCATTATACTTGATATGTTATTATACTTTTTAAATGTACTTGAATAAAAGGAAAAGCCAGGATACATTTCATAATTACTTAAGAATCATTCTTATCAGTGAATGAAAGTGAATTCTGTAATCTTTTAACACTTATAAGTTTATAATCTTTAAGCGTGTGTAAGAAAGTTTATGTGCAGAAATCAACAAAACATTTACTTTGAGGATTAAACCTCACAAAGAGACATGTTTTTAACTGACCTGTGGTACCCTCAAATGCTCTCTTGTTTTTCAATACATTAAAATAAATGGGTATAAAGGAGTCCCGAGTTTCATTGTAATTTTGGGAATTGGCTTAGTATTTCATCTTACGTTATTTAGTACTGTGATATATTTAAGACTTGCAATATAGCCTATGGTTGTTAAGTTAAAGGAAGTGAGTTAACGTGTTCATGTGAACATAAAAATCTTGGCCTTGAGACGTTTATCTCAGCAGGCTAACAGGTAACCAGACTGTGTACTAAAACGAATACATGTTCCAGTAACTTCATTTAAAATTCCTTTAAGGTAGAAATGAGGTCTTTGTTTTTTTATCTAAAGGTAACCTTATTTAAAAGAGTTAATGTCACCTATATGGCAAACTGTATGATCAAGTACATTAAAAAACTCACACAGATGCATACACATAAAAAGAAGTTTCTGCATTTTTACAATGCTTGTACCTTAATTGTTTCTCTATTTCTTCTTGAGAATTATATACCCATACTGTTAAACTAGGTCATAGCATTCATAGTTTAAGTGTATGTGCAGATACTGTAAACATGCTTTTCTACGCAGTGTCATAATTCCGCGGTATCACAATTTCTGTTCAATCTGCAAGAAGAGAATTATGCAGATTTCTTGGATTGTCATTGTGTGTCCTTAATGCATTTTAAGAATACTATGACAGATTTCCGCAGAATAATTATTTCCACATATATATATTATTAATACCACATGGAAAAAAAAGTATGTGTACAGTATTCTCAATAGCACACCTACTGGTTTGACATCAATGGTTTTTAAGTTTACAAAAAAGAACAATGATGGTGAAATTTTTATCAAATACACATGTATACCAAATTTTATGGTCTTTTGACAAGTATTTTTGTCCCTGTATGTATTATAAATGTGGTATACCCCATACTATATACCACATATCAAATGAAATTAAACATATATATATTTTTAAAATTAACTTATAAATTATATATCTAAAGATTGAATATTCACAATTATATGGTACATGTGATATATAGTACTTTATCATGAATAAATCATTTTGTCTTACATTGCAGAGGAACCACCTATGTACTTTTCTAGAGAACCTGAATGTGGCTCAGCAGTGAGTGAGTCGGGAGTAAAGATTTTGACCTGTCAATCATACAGTGCCCCACCCCCAGAGTATCGCTGGCTTAGGGAGGGAACCTATGTCAGTGAAGCAAGCCTTAGTGGAACCTTTAGAATGTACAGCATAAATCGTACAGCAGCAGGACTCTATAGATGTCAAGCAACAAATAAGTTTGGTTCCATCATCAGTGACAGTTGCAGGGTGGAAGTGGCTTGTATGTAGTTCATTATCATTACAGGACTTAATTAATGAGTAATCAACAAAAAATATTCTAAACATTTATTGACACTAAAGTAGAATGTCCTTGATAACCTTCATTATGTCTGATTCTGAGATGTTTGAATTACAGCATTTTTGTTTACACATTCTCAGTAACTTCTAATAAATGAAGATTGACTGTTCTTACAATTTTAAAATCAATATGTCTTTATATGAAATAAAGGTTGAAGATCCATTTACTGGTCTTCAGAAGTTTGTCAGTGCTACCTTTTGTTATTGACAGCATGAGGTTTTTGTGTCATTTAAAAGTATTCAGTCATCTGTTACTTTTCCTCACATGCACTTCATTCATCATAATTTTTCAATAAATCTGGATTCTTAGAAGAATTTACCAATTGTTACTAACACAGTGGAGTGTAAATTTTATGAATGATTAAGGCTGATCATCCTCATAACATCAGGGGTCCTGTGTCAACTCATTGCCATGCGACCCCTGACAAATTTTATTCGATATCTTGCGGGCTGACTGCAGCTAAATTACAAATCTTGATAGTTTTTCTTCTCTCTCAACCAATCACATTATGCCTTAATTTTTGTGATAAACAATGTGTAACAGGTGCATTTTAAGTGTCAACTGATTCCTTTGTTTATATATCTGTCAGTTTTAATTTGATGGGTGTTTCTCAATGAGAGAAGCAAGCCTGAAGATATTGAATGAAATTTGTCAGGGTTCCCACAGCAACGAGTTGACTCAGGACCCCACACCTTGTGAGGATGAAGGCTGATAAATATTTAGCATTGATCCCTGTGATTTTTTTTTTCAGATTTGGATCCACTCCCCAACATGCAAGATGAAGATGTTAATGTTCAGAGAGATCATGGAATCAAAATATCCTTGCCCCCTTTTAAATCATACCCATATCCACCCACGGTGGAATGGAAACTTAATTCACAGATCATGGCCGATGAAGGCCCACATCATCAAGTGACCCTCTCAAAGGACCTAGTGCTGCTTGACACCAAAACCAGTGATGATGGGAAACAGTTCCAAGCAGACATTCTGAATGGCTTAAATGGACAAACCAGCAGAACACAGACATACACAGTGAGAGTGTCAGGTAGGTGTGTCTAGTATTAGCTTTTATTATGTAATGTCAATGCATATTGTAAATTTTTCAAACTACACTAGGATATATAGAATTTATTATTTATTATATGAGCTAGTGATATATTGGCACAGTGCAACACACAGTGCAGGTCTTGAAATCTCAAAAGACAATTGGGGAAAATGTAGCTTATTGGGGGGGGGGGGGGGGGTGACCACATTGTCTAAGGGAAACTGTCTCTATTTGACAGTGGTTTTGGGTCATGAAAAACACTGCACAAAGAAAATAAAAATGAGTAATGATGAAATGTTGCACTCATTTTGTTTGAAGAAGATACTAAGTCCTAAATTCTTGAGCATTACGTTTGACTTTGAAGTAGATTCTACTGAACTTTTGAAGTAAGTACTTAATTCTAAGTGTATCCTATGCTTATTTATTTAGGAGTTTCTTCAGGTGTTGGACCAGAAGTGATTGTAGGACCAAAAGACACAACAGCAAACCAGGGAGACTATACAGTGGACTTCGAATGTGTTATTAATGCTAGGTGAGAACTTATGCATGCCTGAGATCTGTTTGGTGTATTTCTTTAGCTGTAACAGGCCATAACTCTGAAATATATATATGTAAACAAAGACTTTCTTTGTGGTAAGACCTGTGTAGGCTTTATTCCTGTTTAAGCCATTGTCATATAGAGAGATCACTTCTTAAATTTCAGTTAGTCACTTTGGAATTTGATGGTCTTAGAGTACTTTGTCTTCACACATACTAACACATATTTTTAAATGTACATATATCATATGTATAGATTTATGTAATATGATGGAAGTAAATGTTTAACTATCTTAATAATTTAAGAAAGTATTTTCAACCAACTGTTTTATATGTCCTTTGCAAGTTTAACGACAACTTACAAAAATCACAGTTATTTGTTTAGCACTTCAGTTATTGCTTTCTATAGCATGCATACATTAAAGGAAATCACTTGCCACAATTTTCAAAAAGAGAAACAGAAAGTTGATTTTTCCTTTGCAAAATTTTTAGTGAGGATTCATTTTTGGCATATTAGCTAGAGTGTTGAACTAGCTAAAGTAAATATTGCACCAGTAGTAAAACTTATCTTTCATGGCAATATACCCATGGATATAAAATAGGGATGTCAACAAATATTCGAACATTAGAATATTCATTCGATGAATTAATATTTGAATATGAATTTAAGATTCGAATATTCGGTGTTTTTCAGATTTCACAAAAAGGTAATAGATTTTAATTAGCACAGTTCTGGAATTATCCCCGTTTTATTTACAAGCGATCCCCTGATTTCTTTCGCTACTTTCTTATCTTATAGATCTCCTAAATTATTTCATTTTCATTTTGAGTAAGGTATAAAAGAAATAAAATAAGAATTATCAAATAAATGTATTATACAAAAAGTACTTTCAATAGTTTAACATGATCGGATCTGGAACCGAGGACAACGAAATGAAACCCTTCTTGAATGTCTAAGAGATGTGAAGAGAGTACTTAGGAAAATATATTTTATTTATCATAGAATTACATCTTTGATAAAATCAGCCTGCAATATTGCAAAGGGCTCAATTTCAGAAAAATGCTTCAATTACTTGATTATTTCGGGTTGAATATTAATTTTAAAATTTTAAAATCATCGGGAAATTAATGACCTAGGAAAATTGTCTATGGAAGTGTTTGTTGATATTGTCAAAACATTGTATCAGAGATTATATTATATCTTTTATTAAGGTAGAACCTATGTCGGAAAAGTCTTTGTCACAAGATTTTCAAACTTTTCAAAATGATACATTAGCACTCGCTTATCAATCAGTTAAAAATATATGGTATGTTTCCTTGTTATTAAATGTAGTGCAGCCTGTGCAACTTGGAATGATAATTTTACATTGCGACTACATATTTTCATCCATTTTTATGGGTACTGGTCCTAAAGAGAATATAGAAAATCACAAAAATACTTCTTCAAACATCGTCGTTTATAGACTTTATTAACTGGAGTGTATTAAGCAATATTATTCAAGAATAAATTCAGTTTTATTCAATTGACATAAACGATTAAGTCCACATTTCAACGAATATAGGCAAATGTGTTTAATAATTTTTGAGTCAATTTACCACCTAAATTTGTAAATATTTTTCAAAAGTCTTTGTCAGAATGTTTTCAATCTTTAATATGATGAAGCTCATACCCAAATAATTACAAAAAGTGATTAAAATATATACCTTTCGCCGCAAACGAATGAGAGACTATTTATCAATACTTCTTTTGTTGACCTTTTTGCACTTATACAGGATTTAATTATTAAATGGCCGTTTTGGGGTTACATTCGGATTTACAATGTGAATATTTATCAAAAATGTAATTTTTTTTATTAAAAAAAATAATATTTTAGGGAAACATTATTATTATTATACACGAACCATTATGAATAATTAATAATAATTATGAAAGGGAATGCACATCATTTCATGATAGACATTACAAAATTTACACACAATTTTTAACAGATCTTTGACTCAGAAATGTTTCATCAAGATATTGTACTTTTTAGATGTCTTGGGATTTCTGGTTGCCTTCAAAATAGTTGCATGCCATTCACATTATCACAGTTGTGTAACTTCTTTACATGAGACAGTCTTGGAGAAAGTACGGGAAAAAGTAACATTAAATTAATTATGACGTCATAATGGATCTAGCACCAAAAAAGACGGTCTAAACTCATTTACTTGATATGACGTCATACGACATAGGTTCTACATTAAGCAGATAATTGTAATTAATTACGTGTATTTAAATCTGAAGAGTAAACGACAATCTTGCCTGGTTAGACGACTGGTTCATCAGTTTGAGCTTGTATATACATATCATTTTTTAATTATATTTCGGTTGTATACACTTAAATCAATTATTTAGTTTAAACATTGACAAATATCAAATGTAAAATTCCTTATTGTATACCAACAAAAGGTTACATCTAATTTTACTTCCAAATACTGACACAATATGATGATGTACATTTAAAATAAACCAGATTTTATTTATTTTATCAAATATTCGAATATATTCGAATACTTTCATTGAATATTCGAATATGAATTATTGATAAAATTGACATCCCTAATATAAAATCATTAAATTGACATCTTGCTGAAAATATATATCAATTTTTGAGGACAAATTGCTAAGAATGTGTCTCGCTAAAAAATTCCACTTATGCAGTATTTGATAAGAAAATATCTTAAATAAATCTTTAACGAAGATTCTGTTTCTGATAACTTAAATATTATTTCACTTTATTATTTCTTTATTACAGTCCCATTAACCTTTTGATCACCAAGTGGTACAGAGTAACAGATGGATCCGAGACAGAAATACAACAGAATGCCAAATACCTGTTGTCTGGAGGATATCACCGCATCCTCTCTATTAAGAGTCCGGAGAAGAGTGACACTGGGCTGTACCGCTGTAGGGCTTCCATGTCTGGTGCCATCAGTTATCCCCCAGTCATCCTAGATGCCAATCTTACCGTATATGGTATGTTGTGTTTTACATAACTGCTTCTCTTTCATTTCATTCAATTGTTAATTATCTTGGAAATGTTTTCAAAGTTTTGATATACCTCACATGGTCAAACTGCTAATAATGTATGTATTTTGGTAGTTTGTACAGCCTCTTCTTTAGTAATACAGGTGGCTGTTGGAAAGAGAAATTAAACTTCATATCATTAGGTGTAATTATTATATTCTACCAACTCGCCCCCCCCCCCCCCCCCCCCCCAAATCTGACTAAAATATATTTTCATTAAGTTTAGTTGTGAATGTTTGTAAATAATTCAAGAAAAATTATGCTGTTACTTTTAATATCATCTTTTGGCAGTGAGGATAAAGATGGATCTTTTTTTTTCAGAGAGTCCTGTCATCACTTCCCAGATTGAGACTCAGTATGTCAGAGACTTCAGTCAGAACATTACCATACACTGTCAAGGCCAGGGAACACCCGACCCTACAGTGCTGTGGTACTTTAACTCCCAGCTTCTTCGGTCCACTCAGAAGTAAGGAAATAAAAAAATGTTTATATTAAAAACATTTTTTTCTATTAGATTTGTTCAGAAACATATTTTTCTTTAATTACAGATATATGTTAAGTTCTTACAAAGAAAGATAAAATAAAGTACACTTGGTTGTAAAAAAAAAAGTAAAGAAAAAAGTCTTTGTTTTCAAATTTGCAGGGAAGATGAAATCCAACATGAGGTTCTGGGGTAATTAAACCTGGACAAGCTCTCTTTTTGATCTCAATCTCACTTTTATAAAAGGAATTTATAATTGTGAAAAAGTGAGACTGAGATCAAAAGTGAGTTCGTCTAAGCTTTAATGCCCCAGAGCCAGGTGTGCATAGTTAAAAATGTCTGTGTGTACCTGAGAAAGTGATACTTTTTTATTTTGCTCATAATGTATGGATATTGATAACTTTTCAGACTAACAGTATTTCCCAATGGAACACTAAGCATCACATTCCTAGACATGACAGACTCAGGGGTGTATATGTGTTTTGCTCGGAATGAGGCTGGAGAAACTAAAAAGGCCACTTGGATTAAAGTCAACAGTATGTTCTGTGAAAGTTTATGTGTTTATTCTGAAGATAACCACAGTACTGTGTATACATGAATTTTGAATAAATGAATCATTTCATTTCGTGCTTTCCCTGAATATCCTTTAAACTTGACAGTTCATCTTGTTTTCACAATTGGATATTCGACAAAGTATACAGCAGACTTGCTAACATTTTTTAATCTCCCCAAAAATCAATATCACATTTAATTATATATGACATTGATAAGGCTTATGTAATTTGATGTCTGTATATAGGTTCCCCACCAGAAATAATCAACAAGCCAGGCAACTTGACAATTACAGAAGGAAGTAATGCCAGGTTCCCTTGTGAAGCAACAGGTGCCCCCAAACCAACTGTATCCTGGAAGAGAAGTAAGAGTCAAAGACACAAATATTCTCTTTTCCTTAGTGAATGTTTTACTTTGAATTGTAATTATATCTGTTATTTATGAATGATCCTTACAAGTTTTTTTTTCCAGATTTCATTTTACCTGAAAATTTTGACTTTGTCATTTCACCTGAAAATGTGCACTAAAAGACCTTATTATTTTTAGTAACATCTAGTGGTTCTGTCAATATTGTGAGTGGGGGGAGGATCCAGATTCTGGAGAATGGAGAACTACTGATCACAACCACAGAGTCCACAGATTCAGGACATTATGTCTGTAATGCCTCTAACAGCAGGGGAAGCCAAACAGCTGAAGCTTTCCTGGAAGTTTATGGTAAATTTGAAAATACAGTCAAACCTCATTATCTCGAATTTGATAGGACTGAGAAGAAACTTCGAGATATCTGAGGATTCAAGATATCAGGGGTAAAATAGTTACAGAATAAGTGGTTGGGACTTACAAATTACTAAGACATATCCATGGTATTTGAGATATCAGTGTTCGAGGTACCGAAGTTCAGCTGTAGTTTAAACATAAAACATGAATATTCATTATTTTATGTTATATAAAGTAATTTTCAATGAACATTTGTATTATCTTTCATTAATTGTTTTCTTGCCCTCATTTAAGTTTGAGGGGAATAAAAAAATTACCTGAATGAATTTCTGATTTTAACTGTCATGAAAATATGTGTATTAATGATTTATCATATTAATTTTCAGAAAATTTTAGCCAGATATGTATTGATTAATTCAGAAATTGTTTTGCAGTAAAAACAGTCATAACACACCCTCCCACAAATACCTCAATCATCAAGGGTTCATCAGCCTCCCTGCAGTGTAAGGTATCAAAGGATCCCAATGTGGGGGTAAACTGGCACTGGTTTCTGACCCCACCTGAATCTGCTACTTCCACAGAGATTACCAATTCCCCCCGCCACACAGTAAGCAGTCAGGATGGGACACTGACGATCACAGGAGTGTATAATGTGGACATTGGATGGTATAGATGTCAGGTTATCTCTAAAGGTGGCAATGACAGCAGATATGCTTTCTTACAAGTCACGGGTAGGTTAACAGCATTATAAAAAAGTAGAATAGAAAATATTTATAGAAAAACAAAATAAACAGGAATGCTATTGGTTTTTTTTTTTTGTTTTTTGTTATTGTTTTTTTTGAACACTGCAAAGGTCTGCATTTTTTTTGTAGAATTACCTCACAAACCTGTTGTGACTAGTGTGGTTCACAACCCTTCCAACTTACGCAGCATCAATGTTTCCTGGAGTCCAGGGTTTGATGGAAATAGTCCAATTCAGAGATTTATATTACAGTACAGAAAGGTGGATTATATACCTGATAAAGGTAAGACAGGATATTAGTTAAGGTAAGGTACATGTAAAACTTAAAAAATAACTGAACTTTCTGAAATAGAACAATGTAAACAATTTCCTGTATGTTTATGACTGTGTTTTATTAGGGCCCCGCAAGGATTTGCGGGTGCCCTATAGTACATGTAATCACTCTGTCTGTCTGTCCGTCTGTCATTCTTCCGTCCACAAATTTTCTGTTTTTTTCTAAAAACTTTTTTTAGGGTTGACCAATTAAGTTCAAATTTGGTATGTTGGTTGAATAGGCAGTAAGACATATTTTGATGCTAACTTTTGTTCTCTTTGTCATCCGGTTTGGAGCTGGGGTGGTGGGGTGTATTCCTTAACTTTATATAAGAGTGAATGGGCAAAGAGAGATAACTGCTGAAAATGTTCCTATTGTAAACTATGAAAGGCTGCAATGAGTCTCTTGGGATTAATTAACTTTCCTCTTGAAGAAAATCCAAAGCATTTATCTTTATCTGCCACATTGATATTAATTAACACCTCTGTCTGCAAATGAAGTTTGTTTTGAAGTTAAGGTCAGTTCTGAATGATGTTTACATTCTCTGAAATGTGGATTTAAATAATGTTCATACTTTATTTTGGTAAAATACACAATGAGTTATGATTTTATTGAATTCTAAAAACAAGATATAGATAAAGATATCTTTTTTATAATTTTTTTTTTCTTTCTTTTTTCTGCCTTATGTAAATTCAAGCATACTATTTATTTTAACAGGTATTCAGATAATAACCTCATTCTATCATTGCTGAAAAAGTTCTTATTGTAAACTTAGAAGAAAAGGTTGAGAGAGCAGTATAATTAATCCCATGGGTTTGATTATCTTGCTGGTTTGCAAAATATTTTAGAAGGTTATCTTTCTGTCACTTTAAGATTAATTAACACCTTTGTCTGATATTTGTTTTGGAGTTAAGGTCAAGCCTTGGTGATACATGTATTTGCATTCACTGAAGGCTGGCATTTTAGAAAACACATGCTTCATTCATTTTTAAATATACATTTAATTGAGTTATAATAGATATGATGTTTTTACTGCCTTATGTAAATACAAGGATACTATTTACAGATTGTTGGATATTTAGCAGTTGCTGTTGCTTATTCTTTATATATTTGAAATTTTTTGGAATCAAGTAAAATTCTCATCCCCTAATCTGCACCCTTATATTTCTAACCTTCGGCGGGGCCCTTGCTGACTGGTCAGATTTCTAGTTGAACATAAATTGTGCATGTTCATTATTTATAGTATATTTAATTCCGAACAGAAATACTGAATAATAGAAAAAGTTTTTCCACTACTATACACAAATAATTCTTTATTAACAGGAGTTGTAGCTGTTGACCCTTGGAATGTGTTTAATAGCAATGTTCCCCCAAATTCAAGATCGTTGATAGTGAGTGGTCTGCGGCCAGCCAGATACTTTCAGGTCATTATTAGTGCTGTCAACTCTGTAGGGGAGGGTTCAGCAAGTGATCCAAGACCAATGCCACCAATCAAAATGCCAGAACAAGGTAAAGCAAAACTTGTAAGAGACAGAGAAATTTGCAATATTGATCAAGTAGCAGGCTGGTGACTGTAGCATTAGAAATAAGATGACCAGAATTACAGTACAGAAGAGTGTTTCAGAATTTTGTTGGATGATTGTACAGTTTCACTTGAACTTGACAATCTTGAAATAAGAAAAAATGATTCTTTTTTCAGCACCATCTAGTCCTCCAAAGGGCTTTTATGGTAGTCCTAGATCCAATTCATCGATCATGTTGTTATGGCAAGCCCCCTCAGAAGACACATGGAATGGAGACCTGAAGGGTTACATGATCCGATACAAGCTGACTAACTATCCAGACAGCACCTATCAGAGTGTGAACACCTCTAATCCACTGGTCACCACCTACGAACTGACCAACCTTATCATATTCCAGTCATATGAATTTCAGATAGCTGCTTATAACAATGAAGGTGTTGGAGTGTTTTCTAACACAATCGAAGAAAGAACCATGGAAGGTCAGCCCACTAGACCTCCCAAAAATGTTCAAGTAGTGGCAGAAAATTCCACTGTTGTGAGAGTCTCATGGGAACCTGTGGATGCAGCCTACATAAATGGAGTTGCACTGGGTTACAAAGTTAGGGCTCGAAGACAGGGACAACCCACCATTGAAAGGGAGTTGTCAGTGCCACCCAATCCAAATGATCCTATTGGAATACAGTCAGTATATGTGCACAATCTGAAGAAGTTCACATATTATACTGTGGAAGTTCTGTGTTATACAGGGGCTGGAGATGGTCCTGCCAGTACTCAAGTATCAGTCAGGACTGATGAAGATGGTGAGATGTCAATTTTTGATAGAAAATAAATGACCAATTTCCTGTTTTTCCCCCAAAGAATGATTTTGCAGATCAGTACAGTATAGAATATCAAATTATAAAAAATGATGATGTTTATTTTAGTACCTGGAAAAGTTGCATCTCTCCATTTTGAAGACATCATGGATACATCTTTGAAAGTTGTCTGGAGTCCCCCAACAGAAGTTAATGGCATTCTTTTGGGTATGCTTTTTTTGTATAAAGTATTGTTTGAAATATCAGATAATAAGCATATGAACTTATGAATCAACAGTAGTGCAGTTTTCCTTAAATTGTTGAAATAATATTTTTTTTTAAATTATCACAAGAGGATATATTTTGTTAAATATTAAAATCTGCCATTTTTTAATAGGATACACCCTTCAGTGGGAACAGAAAAACAAAACTCCCACAAAACAACAAGTACAACTTAACCAGGGCACCACCTCGTACACCATTAGAAATCTAATGCCCACCACCAACTACACTATCTACCTGTTTGCCAGGACTGCTAAAGGAGCTGGGGCAATTAGCTCAGCAGACATTGAGTCGGGGGTCCCTCCAGGTCAAATATTTTCTGAATTCAAGCCAAGTCAAAAAAAGCCTTATAGTAACTGAATGTAATCTTTTAATTCTCAAATAAAAAAAATTCTAAAATCAAGTTTCTTTTTTTTTTTTTGAAGCATTTTATTTTTCTTTACCTATTTAATCTTCATTTGTTAAAAATTTAAAATGATATACCAAGAAGTCTCATAGAAAAATGTGAAAAATTAATAAGGTATTGTTCTTTTTTTAACAGAACTTCCCAAACCACCTGAACAACTTGGTGTCAGTGATATTCAAGCAAGATCAGTTGTCATTCAATTCTTCCCAGGATTTGATGGAAAAACTTCAATAACTAATTGGGTTGTGGAGGCTCAGGTTGGGAGTTCTGAGACCTGGAAAGAAATCTACCGAGTTTCAGCTCCTGATGCTACATCCATTACAGTGCAGAATCTCACTCCTTACACTCTGTATAAGATGAGGATTATAGCAGTCAATATAGTCGGTCCCAGCTTGCCAAGTGAATCCACTCGACAGTTTCAAACAAGTCAAGATTCCCCAAATGTGCCCCCTGGAGAAGTGACCTTGCGAGCTGTTAATGCCACGGCACTTAGGATTAGTTGGGCTGTAAGTAGCAGTAAAGATTGGTAAAGTTGGGCTGTAAGTAGCAGTAAAGATTGGTAAAGTTGGGCTGTAAGTAGCAGTAAAGATTGGTAAAGTTGGGCTGTAAGTTGCAGTAAAGATTATTTGAGCTTGTTTGCAAGCTTTTGTCTACCTATATTAATCTGCAAAAAAGTATACATAGAGAAAATTCAGTAGCATGTGTGTAGTTCACAAAATGTTTAGGTATTTAGGATGTCGAGATATCAGAATTGATCCTCTACATGCAAGATTTCAAAGAAAAACTCTGAAAGATTTACATGTATAAGTTAAATGTACTTTGCAATTGATATCGATGATGTGCCATTAAGTTAGGTTCTTCATATAATTTATTTTTCTCAAATAATTCATTTAATTTTACAAGAACTTTCAAGAACGAAAGTCTGAAAAATTACACAATTTTCATGTGATTAAGTATAGAACTATGTCTGAAGTAGTTCTGACTGGGAGTGTTTGATAAAGCGTAACCCACTAAATAAAGCTTTACTTTATTTAATAGGTAACATCCTCAGCACATATGTAATAAATAGAAATTACAATTGGGATTGTGACATTTCATTGTCAAGATACTGAATTTTACTTGTATGTCACATTTTATTTAGCATTTTGCATGGGTTATTGTAGATATAAGTTATTTTCATTAGGGCCCCACTCTGCGGGTGCCCTATAGTGATCAGTCTGTCCGTCCGTCCTTCCGTCCATCTGTCCGTCCAAGATCTCTTGTCCGGAGCATATCTTCTCTCTCCTTGGCCCAACCTGGCTCATAATTCACCCACAGAGGGCCTTTGGGTAAAGGGTGTGCAGTGACCTTGAACTATGTTTCTAGGTCTAAGGTTAAGGTCATAGCAGAATTATATGAAAAGTCCTTGTTCAGAGCATAACTTCTCTCCACTTGATCCAATGTGGCTCATACTTCACTCACATAGTGCCACTTGTCAGTGGATGTGCAATGACCTTGAATGAAGTTTCTAGGTCAAGGGTAAATTTCAAAAATAGCCTCTCTGTTTAAAATCTTTGTTCGATGCATAATTTCTTTCCATTAAGTCCAGTCAGCCTCAAACCTTACCAATTGACTTAGGGTATGGATCATTTGTGATTTTCCTTCCATATTTCTGATGGAGGATATGCAACAATTTTCATAGAGGATATGCAGCATTCGTGATTTTTGTGCCGTTTTTTGATGGAAGGTGTTGAGCACTCATGATTTTCGTGCCATTTTTTATTATAATGAGGATAACATAGAAGCCCTTTAGACTCAAACAACACATCCCTTAATAGTACACAAATGTTCCTCTTCAAAATAAGCCCTTTTCAGCTACCTTACATTTCCATGTTCATTGCTGAAGGCGGGGCCCTTTGAGATGGACACCATCTCAATGATATCTAGTTAATTCTGTTTTTTTTTCCTTTTTAAGCCTCTTCCTTCACAAGATTGGAATGGTCAGCCCAAAGGATACAGGATCCTGTACAGAGAGGACAATGGTACGTCCTGGAGAAGTGTAAACCTGACGTTAGATAGGGACTTCTTTATCCTGAGTGGTCTGGAAGAGTGGATGGTGTACGAGGTCAAAATGCAGTCTTATAATGATGTAGGAAACAGTGCATTCAGCTCTGTGCAGCGAGAAAGGACGAGGGATGCCAGTAAGAGAAATTTTAAGGACATTAGCAGAGATGCTCTCTCAATAAATTTATAGTACATGTACATGTATTTATGCAGTGGATAAGCTAGTAATTTATTGAAATTTACAAATCGTAAAGAAAGTGAGTTACACAATGTATTAGATATTTGGCCAAATTAAAATATATAATAATTGTCATGTTTTCAGTAGTTAAATAAAGTCAATATACAGATGTAAAAATTGAGAGGATATTTTAAAGATAATGTATTATTTTAAGGACCCAGTTCAGGACCTGTGTCTGTAGACTGTAGAACTAATTCTTCCACCAGTATACGATGTACCTGGGGAGATGTTCCTTACCTGGATCAGAATGGAATCATTTTAGGATACAAGGTTTCTTCTTCCTTTCCTTTCTTTGAAGCTAAATTAATTTTTTTTTATTATGCAACATTTTAATGGTATTGCAAAGATTTCTTCAAAGAGAGTATGAAAATCACAATTAATGAATCATTTTGTACAATTAATGGTTTAATACTGACTTTTGTTTTACCTGACTTTTGTCACAGGTGTTGTACAGGGATATGTCATCATCACATATTGAACCAGAGGTTTTGAAGGTAGTAGGAAATGAGACAAAGTCTGTCTTGATAGGTGGTCTAAGGAAGTATGTGGATTATCAGATCCAGCTTCTGGCTTACACCAGAATGGGAGATGGGGAACTCAGCCAACCTCCAGTAGAAAAGACAACACTGGATGATGGTATGTTACAGTGCTAAGAGAAAGGATTCAATTTCTTTGGTATCTCCTTTCTCATTCAGTTGCCTTTGACTTTCCAAAATTAAACTCTCTCTGTGTTGCATTTATATGTTCCTGGTTATAATATTCATTTTAACATCCTTTGATTTTTATAGTCCCTGGGCCACCTGTAAGATTATGGTTTCCAGAAGTCACCTCTAACACAGTCAAGATTATGTGGTCCCCACCCCTAGAGCCAAATGGTATCATCTCTGGATATATGGTGACATACAGGAGGGATGACACATCTAACACATTCAACAGTTCTGTTATAGTTGCTTCACAGCTGCAGTATTACATCAGCTCCCTGGAAAACAACAAGTATTATTCCTTCAGTGTGATGGCAAAGACTCGTAGAGGGTGGGGGAGTGCTGCGAGTGCCAAAGTATATACAACTATCAATAGACGTAAGTCCAATGTGATCATTTGTAGCATGTTGATAATAAAGTGAATTGTAGCAAATGGATTGCTTAAAGCTGAACACAACTCGTAAATAGGCAAACACCATATTAGTTTTCCCATCTCTGAAAACAGCCTGGGATGTACCCTTTGCATTCATTACAACTGATTGCTTTCTTGTCATGGGTACGTGTTGAATGGACAACGTGTTTGTATTAATTATTTACATTACCTTTGTTTACATTTCATTGAAGTTTACATGTATTTGTGTTTGTTTGTACTGCACTGACCTGTGCAACTAATGTAAGTTTCTTTGGTAACTTTCTCTTCTGCCATGGAAGAAGCACACAGTTCATTTAGTTGCTATGGAGAGTTTTGCAATGGCTATGTAGAATACCTCTGTCTACACAGGTGAAAACTGATTACACTGAACTGAGACTAAGTGAATGGCTTATTTAGGGGCCGTACAGCTAAGAGAAAAATGCAGAGTAATATGGCGAACAGACATAGATCTCTGCTTTTACGAATCGTGTTCAGCTTTAAACTTCATGTCATCAAATTTGAGGGACGTTTTTTTGGGGGGGGGGGGGGTACCTATATTTTTAGATTATTGGAGTTAAAGGCTTACATGAGCTTTTCTGGTGAGTTTGTCTGTCATCCATTTGTTTATAACTGCCAGACTTTAATCTTTCACATTCTCAACTTTTTTTTTCAAAAACCAAGAGGCCAATTTCAACCAAACTTGGAAAAATGGAATTCAAATTCATTTTATTGAAGGGGCTTTCCACTTTCAAGGGGAGCTAATTAATAATGAGTAAGGAAAAGGGGTGGGGTCATATAAAAATCTTTTTATTTGATATTGCTGCACATGAGAAGAAGAAAAAAGCATTGGTAAAATCTGCTTTTCCTTATGTAATTACTATAAACATACTTAAGTGCACTCAAAATTTAGCAAAATTTCTCATCAACTGATTAGCATAATCATGATTTTGGGGTGTTTTTTTTTTTTTTTTGTTTATTTTTTTTTTTTTTTTTTGTACCAACATTTTTTACCCCTTTACCTTGAAGTTTGACCTACTTTAAAAAGTCTTTAGCATTGGCCATAGTTTCTGAATATGTTTATTCCCTGTGACAAGTCCTGTTTTTGGGTACCAACATTTTGACCTCATGACTTTGACATTTGAGTTTGACCTACTTTTGAATTGATTTTTACCTTGGTATTGAGTTGCCATATGGGAATGGGAAGAGAATTGACATTAGTGTTTCAAAACACATCTTATTTTAGAATATGCTGTATAGCATGGCTTTTACCGGTAATGATTCATAAACATCCCTTTTCAGTTGGAATAGTCACATCCTCATAGCCAGGGTAAAAGATAAATTGTAATCTGTCAAGTTAGTATTGCGGCCCATGGGCCTCACATTAATATCTTCTGCTAAGCGAAATCTGAGCTGTTTGTCTTTCTGAATCAGGTGTACCAGACAGTCCAACAAAGCCCACAATAATGTCAGATATCCGAGCTCGCTCTCTTACCATCAGCTGGCTGTCGGGATTTGATGGCTATGGTCCTCTGAGAAACTACACCATCCAGTATAAGAAGAGAGATGGAGACTGGACATATGTACCAGATTCACCACCAGCAAGTGTCACCTCATTCACTATCACAAAGTAAGTCAATTATCCTTCATTTCAACTTACACTGTAGATTCCCAAATATACACAAGGAATTAATTATCCCATAATTTCCTGTGAATCACCACTCGTGAAGTAAGTTACTCGCTTTTATTTTTATGGTGCTGAAATGCATGTGAAATTTAGATCAAACTTCTACTTGTGAATTATTGTTCTCGCTATTTGGTGTCTAAGTGCCATTTCGCGATATAAAGTACTTGCGTAAAATAAGGAATCTACAGTATTAAATTTTTGAAAGACTGAAAAGAAGCAGACAAGCTTCAGAAAAAGAATTGAATTTTGCAATTAGGAATATAATGATAGGATTGATATATGACAGATAATCAGTAATATGAACATATCATAGTTCTTTTAACTTTTAAAGTTGATACAAACAAGCATTTTGTATCCTTTTAGTTTACATCCAAACACTGTGTACATTTTCCGAGTTGCAGCCAACAATGATGTGGGGTCCAGTAACTTCAGTGAGGCCTCAGACGAGGCTACTACTCTACAAGACAGTAAGTGTTGGAAATTTCAAGATTTCTTAAATCTTAAGATTTACATTAGATAACATTACTATTATTTTTTTTTTAATTTGTGTCTTTTCATTACAGAACCTGAGGGTGCTCCAGAAAATGTAGTAGTTGTACCACTGACAAGAGAGTCACTTAACATATCATGGCAGGTGAGAGTCATTTTCTTGCTTGGAATGAAGTCAATGGCATGCAACAAATACATGTATCATAATTGATTTAACTTTTTATTCAATTTTCTATTCTGTGTGCATGTTCTGTCAAAATCGTTACCGGGTACTCTCTGATTGTTAATTACATTTTATTGAATGATGACTTTTTTTTCCGATAAAATTCATGTTCCTTTAAAATCATCGTTCTTTGACAATCTTTGAAATATATTAATATTTCTTACAACACCTTTTTTAGCTCACCTGAGCCGAAGGCTCAAGTGAGCTTTTCTGATAGAAATTTGTCCATTGTCTGTCGTTGTTGCGTCGTTGTCGTAAACTTTTCACATTTCCATCTTCTTCTCAAGAACCACTGGGCCAATTTCAACCAAACTTGCCACAAAGTATCCTTGGGTAAAGGGGATTCAAGTTTGTTCAAATGAAGGGTCACGCCTTCTTCCAAGGGGAGATAATCCGTTAAAAATTAATGGCATCATTTAAAAATCTTCTTCTCAAGAACCACTGGGCTTGAAAATATGAAACTTATGTGGAAGCATCCTCAGGTAGTTGCAGATTCAAGTTTGTTCAAATCATGACCCCCAGGGGTAGGGTGGGGCCACAATGGGCGATCAAAGTTTTACATAGGAATATACAGGAAAAATCTTTAAAAATCTTCTTCTCAAGAACAGTAAAGCCATGATTGGTCATATTTATGTGGAAGCATTCTTAGGTAGTGTAGATTCAAGTTTGTTCAAATCATGACCCCCGGGGGTAGGGTGGGGCCACAATGGGAGATCAAAGTTTTACATAGGAATATACAGGGAAAATCTTTAAAAATCTTCTTCTCAAGAACAGTAAAGCCATGATTGGTCATATTTATATGGAAGCATCCTCAGGTAGTGTAGATTCAAGTTTGTTCAATCATGACCCCCTGGGGTAGGGTAGGGCGACAATGGGCTATCAAAGTATTACGTAGGAATACATAGGAAAAAATCTTTAAAAAATTTCTTTTCAAGAACAGCAAAGCCACAATTAGTCATATTTAAATGGAAGCATCCTCAGGTAATGTAGATTCAAATTTTGTTCAAATCATGAACCCCCAGGAGATTAGAGGGACCATAACAGGGGATCATAGTCAAACAAAGGAATACAAATGATATATCAATTAAAATTGTCTTCTTAAGAACAGCAAAGCCATTATTTGTCATATTAATTCAAAAGCATCCCTATGAAGTGTAAATTCAAATTAGTTCAAATCAACACCCTCCAACCCCCTACCCCCTCGAACCGCTTTTATATCAAAACTTTTCAAGACTGAACTGCTTTCTGCTTTTTCCTAGCCAGAGTGCTCAGGTGAGCGATGTGGCCCCTGGGCCTCTTGTTTCAATTCTAGCAGCATGAAAATTAATTATGTATGAAGCATGATGTGAGAAAGTTGCATAATATTTCCTTATATAGCATCCTCCTCCTGCTACTTGGAATGGTGACATTTTGGGGTATATCGTTCAGTATCGTCAGCAAAGCATGTCAAGTTACCAAGACAAGACTGTTCCTTATCAAAATACTTGGACTGTGCTGGACAATTTAGTCAAATTTACAACATATGACATCCGTGTATTGGCCTTTAATTCCATGGGAGATGGACCCCACAGTGCTCCTCACTCTATTTATGTTGGTGATGCAGGTAAATACTAGTGCTGAAGTGATTTTTTAGCTGTGTACCATTGTCTCAATTTTGTTCTAATCCTGTCCTATGTGAAGTGAGTTTTTCTGTTATTTGTATATGATGTCATCTTAGATTTATTTGACATATATACATTTCTGTCTTTAAATTGAAAGAGAGAGTTTGCTATATGAATGCTGTTTTTTTTTTTAATTTGAAAAGAAAACCATGCATTCAACAGCACATGCTAAAAAACAGAGGTTTGATACAACAGGATTATTTTTTAAAAAATTGGACATAATTATGACATAGATTTGATGATGTTTGCTCCCAATTCTTTCCTTTTCACCTTTGAATAAAATAATTGAGGAAAAATGCTCAATTAATGAGATAATACAGTGTTATGAACTGCAGATACACAAAAATTATGTAACACGCACTCTGCAGAAAAATTATATTCCTTTTTTATTCAAAGCATTTTTAAAAAATTTGCAGCACCATCAGCGCCTCCTGTTGGGGTACGTATAACAGCTAAGAATGCCACAGCTTTAAATGTCTTCTGGGAGCCACCACCTGTTGACACTCAGAATGGAAAACTCTCAGGTTATAAGGTATGTCTTTGATTCTTGGAAATCAGGGGCATTTACTTGTTGCCTATGTTTACTGATCATTTGAAGCACTAATGTTACGCAGATTTGAAAGAAGATAACTCAGATAAACTGAATTTCCTATTATTTTGTCAGATCATTTATTGGAAAACTGATACTCAGTCAGAACCCAGCAAACCCACTGTAGTCCCTGAGAAAGAAACGGTGATTAATGGTCTAGACAATTACTCAAAATACACAGTCAAGGTCCTGGCCTATAACACAGCAGGAGATGGGCCTTACAGTCCTCCAGTGATTGGACGTACAGAGCAGTGGAGTATGTGTTGGTTTTATTTGTTGTTCAGTTTATACGCGATGATATTCCTAACCAAAGGTTTAAAGTTTTTGTAGAATAATGATATTTTTGCTGGCATTTAGAATTGAAAGAATTTCAGGATTCATTTACAAAGGCTGAAAAAAGTGTGTTGATTTGATAGTAAAAATTATTCATTAATGCTATTTTCACAGAGCCTGGCAGACCCAGATCTCTGGATTTCTTTAACATCACCATGATTTCTCTGAATGTTACGTGGGAACCACCATCAAATCCAAATGGAATCATCAAGTTCTATGGACTGACATACAAGTCTCATGCTGGTACACTCTTAAATCAATCTGATTTAGCTTATGAATTACTATAAGCATTGTTAATATTCTGTTTCCTCATCTTACTGTTGTTGTGTTTGCCCTGATTTCTATATATCAATTTTGGTTTTATTTGATAGATAACAGAGTGGTAACCCTATCTGACCTGCCTGGTAACCATACTTATTATTGGGTGGACAAACTTGAGGAAAATGTCACCTATACCTTCACTGTGGTAGCTAAAACCATCGTAGGCCCGGGACCTGAAATGGAAAGCAGCATTAAAACTGGACCCCAGAAAGGTAATGTACATAAACCCAGAATCAGATCAAGTTCTCAAAACTGTACCTTAAGAGGTGACACGTTTATATATAGTATTTGTTTAATCACATATTATTTATGCTTCCCATTGTAGAATCTCCTGACCCTCCCCGTAAACCATCTGTCCAGATCTCCAAAGGACAGGTACACCTGGCATGGGAAAACGGAAATCAAGGATCCTCCCCAATCATTGGCTATTACATTCAAGTTCGGGGTATGGGTAAATATCATCAAACCATATAATTGATCAGTCATCTATGAATTATTTTAACAGTGACTGGGGTAAATGTGGCCAGGATCTACATATTAAAATTACTGTAAACATACTTTTTTCCACGGGTCAGTATTCTGCGGAATAAAAATTTCCTTTCAATCTGCAGGTAGAAAATTACGCGGATTTCTTAGATTGCAACTATATGCCTTAAATGTACTTTGAATATGCTGGGACAAATTTCCATGGAAAATTTGTGACGGTGTACATAGCGTAAATTGATAGCACATGGAAAAAGGTGCTTCCACAGTATTTTGATTTGTTATAGATTTACACAAAATGCATATTAATATTATGTAGATAGCACTTTTGTTTGCAGCATTATGAGTACCGTAATTTCTTAAAAAGATCTCTTATGTCTTTGGGAGGGGAGCTTAGGGTTTGTCCACTCTCTGTATTTTCTTCTTCAAGGGACCTATGATAAACAGAAAATCTTATGTTTATCGTAGAGTACATTTATACAGCTATTATGCATAAAGGAATTTGATTTGTTCTTCTTCAAGGGACCTATGATAAACAGAAAATCTTATGTTTATCGTAGAGTACATTCATACAGCTATAATACATAAAGGAATTTGATTTGTAACATAAACATGCATTACAGCTAAGGCTCCCTGGAAGACCATTCAATACAAGCTGTCATCTGAGCCGCGGACTAGTCTGTCATGGCCCAGTGACTGTGCTTTTTCTGGGAGCTGTCAGTTCAGTGTGGTGGCCTTCAACTACAAGAGTATCAGCTACCCTAGTCCTCCCACTGATGTCATTAGTGAGTTATTTAGCAATGTCTTTTTATTACTGTACAGATTGCTTGGATTACAGTCATTCTTTAATGGCAAGTACATCTATTTGGTGTTTGCAGTGCACTTGTTTGAAATAAAAAATGGAAATTGCAAAAGGTTCTTTCAAGTACCATGTGTGCTTTATTGTTTTAAAAATGTTTGTTACATGTACATGTACATTTGAATGTATCCCATTAGTATACAGACAGCTGTCATTTTATATACATGTACATGCATTATGATGTTTATTTTCATTTTATTTATTTATTTGAAGGTTCTGCTCAGGTATCTGGCTTGGAAGAGGAGAGGCCATTCCATTATGAGTGGTGGTTTCCGGTCATTGTGGCCCTTGGGGCAGTGGTAGTGATCCTGGTCATCATCTCACTTCTCTGTCTGGTCGCTAGGAACAAAAAAGGTAGGTTTTTTGAGCATGCCTACTTTCACTTTTAGATATGGCTACATTCAGAGAACTTAACAAAGGGGGTGAAGGGATTATAAGGTATGCATAACACTATTAATTTTGAATGACTTTTATTCTGTAGATCTGAAGAAGTCACCCTCTCAGTCAATGTCTACCGCATTAGAACCTTTTGAGCCCGAAGAAGGAGGATTTGCCACAACAGAAATCCGACAATCAAGACGAAGTCTAGCAAGAATAGGCAATGGAACGTTAAGAAGCCAGCATAGCAGGTAGGAATATGTCTCATTGATAAAACTATGTACATATATTAGAAGGTCTTATTCACAAATTTTGGACACATCTTCAGTACTTTTCCTACTTGAAGCTAGGTACTGTTATCTTCATCATAGAAGGGTAAAGATAAAACAATATTATAGCTTATAGTATCTTTAATAAATTTAAACAAAAATAAATACATGTAAATATTAATTAACTTTTGAAATTATAATTACATTATAATTGCTTTGAGTATATTTTGAAAGAATAGTCTAATTTGACTAAATATGATAAATATGTAAGCGTGTAACATAACATTTTGTGTGTTATTGTAGGGGTCCACCTAGACCCAGTCCTGCTAGTGTTACTTACTCAGAGGACTTGGAAGGAGCTAAGGGTCCACTTCCTGATTCAGATGATGATGGAAGCAGTAGTACCACAGAAAAACCATCAAATCTTGGAGATTCTTCTGAAGTTAGTACCTTTGCATACCACTTAATATTGTAACAAAAGTACAAAAACTCCATCAAATTGTGGATCTTGTTCAAAATATATATATTTAATTTTCTTATTGCATTGATCTAGTAAACTGCAGGTATTTAAGGAATAACTGTCTAATTTTTTGGATTCATGATGTGATCAATCGAGTGGCTTGCGTGATAATTTGCATAAACGCCAAAGGCGTTTATGCATAAAATTATCACGCAAGTCAATCGATTGATCATCGTCATGAATCCAAAAAATCTGACAGTTATTCCATATATTAACATGCTCGTGATTCTGCAAATTCCCATGCTAATAGCCCCGCTTCTGTCCCTATTTGTCCCGCCCCGCACATAATTTTTTTTTAACCGTGCCTATCGATGAACCAGTGGATTTATGTAGAAATAAAGTATTTTTACAATTTGTAATTTTGTCTCGGACAAAGACATTGGAAATGTAAATATTTTCAGTTAAAATTTGTCATTTTAGTTTGAAGGTCTATCTTCCTATTCATTAGAAATGAAAGTCAGAAGACTCTATTAAATTTTTTCAATATTTTTTGTTCAGCCCAGTGATGATGAGAGTGATGTCACAGAGAAGCATTCCTCCTTCCATCCCTCCTCTTCTCCACCCCCTCCTCCATTCAGGAACAGAAATTCCTCACACCATCCATATGTTAATGACCCAGTGGGTCGGTCATGGCAACAAAGCACGCAACAGCAACACTTGAACTTCAATGCCTACACATATACTGACAGTGAGGCTGATAGCAGCCATTATGCAATGAGTTTTAATGGAGGTCAAGTGATTTTAAACAATGCTGCAGGATCCAGAGCCCCTCTGCCCGGATTTTCATCATTTGTGTGATTCAGGGCCCCTCTGCCTGGATTCTCTTCACTTGTGTGATCCAGGGCTCCTCTGCCTGGATGTTCTTCATTTATCTGACCTTCCTGTGATGTAGAAATACCCTATTTTCTTTCAGCAAACCGCCCACAGAGGTCTGCAAGGGGCTTATTTAAGGAAACTGTGATATTCATGTCTCACAACCAGTATCCACATTTTATTCCATGAAGAATAAAACTCAGTGATTTCTTCCCTGTGGCCAAATTATTTCGATGAACTTAAATGTAGTGCTACATGTATGTGTTAATTTTGCTCATGTACATGTACTTGGACAAAATAATCATGACTGCTTTTAATTTTTTTTTTTATTGTGCAATAAGAATAGTAGTCATTAGATGTTACTTGTACATGTGCTGAAGTTTCCATATGCAACAGAACATGTGTCTTTGTGAAGCTGTTGTACATGATGAGCAATATGAGTTGTTAACAAATTATTTGTATATAAAATATACAATTTATGAAAGTAATTGAATGTGTATAAAGATTATATTTATGTAAAGTTTCTATGGAAACCCATCGAACAAAGTCAAAACAACTTAGATTGATGTGAAAGTTGTGTACAGTTATGTTTTTAAAAATGCATTAAGATGAAAAATACCAAATGATAGTTTATAACTTTATATGTTTAGACAAGTCTATTTTTATTGATGAAAATGTTTTATTAATAAGTTTATTTTATTGTGATGAAATAATCAATTACATCTTATAAGTTTTTATATTTTATGTAGTATGTAATAAATTTCACAACAAATGAAACAGATGGTTATCCATCCAGAGTGGAATCAAAATAACATGCAGCATATCATTGCATTTTATATTTAATGGTGCATTCCATGTAAATCATTCCATTCCTACTTCTTATGAAAAAAAGGTTGTGTTCAGTGTTTAAGGATGAAAATCATGCATAAAATAAGGTTGTGTTCAGTACGATTATTTCAGTGATTTTCAAGTACCAATACATTTTCACCTTTTTTTTCACTGTGAAATGAAAATCATTAGTTGAGAGTCATTGATCACCCTTTGCTTCAAATGAAATTTATACATGTTAAGCTTTCTTTGATGTGTCTTTCCATAAAGAGTAGTTCAACCATTCAATGTAAACTTATTTTCTGTTTGCCATTTTCTTTGTCCTTTCCTGTGATGTTCAAACTTGTCACCATATACATTATGTGCATCTTATTACTACACTGTCTATGCAATAGACTTCCATATGTATCATGAATTCCAGTAATATTTTTTTGTACAATGAGAATTAACAAAATTTGAGGATGTCTCATAATGTTGTGTCAGTTGATGAGAGTGAAGCCTTATTTCAGTGTTTTAAAATACTAGACTAAAATAATAGACTAAGCAACCTTTTTTATGTTCTTTTTTTATGGCTGTTTTGTTTTGATTTTTTAAAGAAGAAAAGCATTGATAATTAGAAATGGAAAACATTATGCTGTATTTTAATTCATCAGGAAACCTGAGTAATATTCGTACAATGCTGTTGACTGTCTCAATGGTTTCTCTGTCTAAACATTTTGTGTCTTTTTTTTTCTGCATCACTTTGACTGTTCAGCAAAGATAATATTTGTTGACTGTTCAGTCAGACTTTAAATTGTAGATAGGATAAATCTGAGAATTTTATTACTTTTATAGATGCCAGTCATATGATCATATAGTCATTGTTAATGTCATAGTTTCTATTATGTTTACTATAGTTTTATAAAAACTTTAATTATAGGTTGTCATTAATATTTGCTCTGAGTTGTGGTAAATCAGTGAAGATGACTGTATGTCTTATATTGAGTTTGTGAGATTATTTCGAGTATTTAAGTTATAATTAATGTTAATTATTGACTTACAGATGTTCCAATTTCATGCAAAAAGATTAAAATATTTAAATATTTTTCATTTTTTGTTTATTATTTCCAGCAAAAATTTGGATTGATATATGGGAAGGTGTTTTAATTGTGTTGAAAAAATTCTGGGTTTTGACTGGAGTCTGATAGATGGATGTCACATGCCCTTAGGATACCTTATCTTGCATATTCAGAGTATTGGCAACTTTGCATTGATTTGATTTTCAAGATACTTCATGCATTTGTGTATCCATTACTAAGACTGGCTGAAATTAATTCTACGTTTAACCTAAACACTTCCTGGAAGAAGAAAACTGAACAAAATTTTGAAACAAATGAGTATTTACTCATTTACATGAATCAAAATACTGTAAATGTGCATCATGTAGGCTAATTATTTAATGATCGATTTTTATGTCATCTGCAGAGCAGAGTGACACTTAGGGATCACTTTACTGGTGTCTGCCTGTTCATCTGTCACATCTTGTACATGTATCTCAAGAACTGTATTAAAGAGGTATGGATTTGCTATTTTGCACTGGTTTTTAAAATAGATATATTTCTTTGAAATTCTTCCAAAATGCCACTCCTCCTACAGTTGCAGTAAAGACAGACTGAAATCTCATGGAGGATTGTTTGAAACATGAAATAATAATTTAATAAGAATAAAAATTTGAAATAATAATTATTTCAATTATTTATTCATTTGAGGGTTGGGAACCATATTTTCTTTGATTTTCAGATGCTATACATGTAGCAGCCATACTATCCCTGGATGTTTTTTTTTTCTTTGCACAAATGCATGAACTACCATGTTCCTAGTAAATAGTTGATTACTCATAGATTTATTTACATCTTTAATGAACACTCTAGTAGTAAATCTGTCAGCATAAATGATAGATTCACCTCAAATACAGCCTCTTACACCTCATACAGGGCCTGAAAGTTGTCTATTCCTATGAAATATGCAGTTTTTAGTTGCTAAAACTAAAGCAGAATACAAACTTTAAAAAATATTGATTTGTTTGTTTTTTCAAAGTACCAATTTCTTCAAAACCCAGCATGAGGGTGACTTTAAACATAGAATTGACTTTGGACAGCCTAAACAACTATAAATGTCTCTGTTTAGTTACTTCCACTGTTTTACTAGAACTGCAATAACAGGGGATAATACCGAGTGAGCACCTTATGTTGACACATCCTTGTGTTGTCTTCCTTTGAGACAAGGGTCTTATGGTGTTCTGAGCTTTAAATGTAATCTGTTCTTTCATTTTTAAAAGCTAGATCTCCAACAATTTATTTCAAATTTGGGTGGGAATTGGCAGTTGAAATAAATTTGAACTACATCTAGATGGGCTTTTTTTAAATCAGATATTTAGCTCACCCGAGCTGAGAGCTCAAACAAGGTTTTCTGATTCAACAGTTTGCCCATTGTCTGTTGTCATTGACATTTTCAAATGAAGTATGGTTGAGAGTGAATTATGATTTTTAAATAAACTAAAATAACAGAAACATTGTTTCAAAGATTGATTTTTGATTTTAAAAAATCCAGTTGAATATTTGATATTACAAAATTATTATTGATATAAAGAATTTGAAAATTTGTTTAAAAAAAAACTATTTCATCCTGTATCAAGGTCAAGAGTACAAAAGTATTAATTAAATTATTGTTCTAGCCGTAACTTTGAAATATACGAGCATAGGGGCTTGTCTTCCGAATTGCTAAACGTAAAATAAATTAATAAAATTTTGAATCTACTTTGAATACACTTCAAAAGTTGTAACAATAAAGATTCTGACACTTTCAGACAAGAAATACCATGTTTAAAAAAAAAAAAAACGTACCACACCTATATACAAATCTCTACAAGGGACGAAAGCTGTGAACTTGGAAAAAAATACCCCCACCCACTGCAGCACTTGTTTCTGGACTCCAAAGCATTGATTTATTTCGTTGTCATGGTTCTCTTCCCTTAAGCGATGATTTTCCTGAATGTTGAGGTGTCTGTCAGTTGTCAACACGCGTTCAATCAACAGAAAACGGATACAATTTCTTCGATTTGGAGGCTGATCTCTCCAAATTGACATCGTACATTAGAAGCCGGCACAAAGAAGCTTGGACTAGACAAACTTAAGTTACTTGTAACCAGAAGGTGTGTAAAAATCCTACACTATAGTCATTGGACATAGTCAAGGTCAGTGGATGAGAAGTGAACCCCCCCCCCCCCCCAAAATGATATTGAAATAACTTAGAATATCACACTTGCCCTCAAGGTTCATCGTGATCACAGGATATTTCAGGACCCTGAACAAAAGTCCTTTAAACAAGGTAACACTAAGTTCATATCTGTCAAATTCTGAAGGTCTTATATGTTTAAAATTATAAGACAAGTATATAGAAGGATCCTCAGGAGGCCAAACTTCTACAAAGGTTGCTTGTAAATGACCAGTTTATGGGAATTTGCTGTATAATTTTACAGTTAGATGACAGCATCCTTCTTTAAGCTTTTTTAAGTATGCCCTTTCTTTCTTGGTTGACATTTCTGTCCATCTACCTCCCGCCACCATCCCCACAAAATAGGTACATGTATTCATTGTGTTTCCTACTTTTTGCTTGTCAAAAAACTTCCGAGATGGATTATTGATAATAAGTATGGATCCCTGAAGAAAAGGAGCTACCTTTGCTGGGAATATTCTCCCATCTACTAATGTAAATAACTTTTTATTCGCAAAAATTTTATTTTCGCGTAACAATTCGAGGCCGTCTGCTCGCGAAATTTTGATTCGCGCATTTAATTGTATTATTTTAGATAATATAGAACAATAACCACATTTCGCGAAAATTTTGTTTTGCTTATAAAAACAATATTACTATATCTCGCAAAAAATAAGGTGTTGCGAAAATATTGTGATCTTCAGTTACTGTATCATCTCATTGTATCGTGTCATTGTTTTTTTGAAGGCCATGTACTTAGTTTTAGGCTTACAATATTAAATATTGAGAGCTACGAATAATTTTTAAAGATTGGGTGCACAACTCAGTTTTGAAACAAAATAAATTCGTTTTTCATATGATTGGTGTTTGAAGCAATGCTGTATGATTTTGTTTCTTTCATGTTTCGAAAAAAAAAAAGTCTGGGTAAGAAGAGGGGCGCCCTCCCAGACCCCCCCCCATTCCGCATCCCTTTAATTCCAGAACCTGGTGAAGTCTCTGGTTTCGGGGTAAATGGATATGTTTCGGATGGAGTTTCTTTATTTGAACCCTTCTTTCACTCATCTCCAAGTTTTGACCGAGTGGTGTAAACGTGTACTGAAATACTCTATGGCCGACGACATAGCTGATTCATAGGTGAATCAGCACAGCTAATCAAGTTATATATAAAACTGATCTCTCTCTCTCTCTCTCTCTCTAATTATATTTGTTCAGAACTTATGTACATGAATATGCAGGGTTCTCCACATTTGAAAATTTAACCATGGAGGAAGCTGCGGGAAGGCACAATGCGACCAAAAACACGAATGCATGTTAGACTTCCTAACCTTCATTCATCAATGATTGGTTAATTCACAAAACTTAACCACTGCAGCACAAAAAGTTGAAATAACCAATAATTTTTTAAGCTTAAAAATTAAAAATAAAAAGGATTTTGTATCTTACATGTAATTACTCTACAAATGTACCAAAATTGGTCCAAAACTGTAGGAACATTTTGAAGGCATTTAAAAATAATATTTTGATAGAGTAACCATGGCAACAGTTTTCAAAAACTGATATACAGAATTGATGTTGCCTGTTATATAAATCGTTTTATTTAAATATGACTAAAACTGATGAATTGGTAGTACTTAAAAAAAAAGTTAACAGACACACAAACAAACGAAAGCCGAAATCCTACTAATTCCTAAGCTTTTTTTAACTGCATGATCTATGAAAACTTACTGGTGGCATACATGGTAAAAGTAACTTATTATAACCAGGGGCATTAATTTGCATTACTGTAATTTTGCTTTCTCTATTCTGTCTTTTTCTAAACGTTATTTTTTCTACATATTGCATTTTCGCTGAGTTTTCTATCCTCCACGTGCCCGTGCTAAAAATAGCGCCACGCGAAGCTTCATTAAAAACGGGAGGTAACTCTAAAACTAAGACGACGATTGGCACTTACGTACATTTTAGCAGGAAGATAATGAAGTTAATACTTAAGAACAAAGAATGAGGAATTGATTAAATACAAAGAATAGGAAATTTTGAAAGGGCTCATTTTCTTCTGGGCATACCTACTGCTCGTTATGATCTGTTACCATATAGTGAACACGTTGGAATTTCCCGATGTTTGTATACTACTGGATAATTTTAAAAATTCTCAAGATATTGATCTTCAGCTGATTGACCCTCCATTGTCACGCTTCACAGCATAGTCGCCGATCAGCGACTCGTGTTTGTTTAGCACAGTCCGCTTTCCTTCGAGGCATGCGAGATGCATGACAGTCGTAGTATAAACACAATTAACTACTCAAGTCATTAAAAAGTAGGTGTAAATACTAAAATGCAATAAAAATTTAACCATGGCGGCCGCCGATTTTAACCATGGCGCAGCTCGTTTAACCATGGCGCACATAAATTTAACCATGGCGGGCCGCCATGGTAAAACCCCTTGTGGAGAACCCTGTAATATGAGTAAAAAAAACTGTCTGGTTTATTCCTCCTTTTTATGTCTTTTTCCTATCAATCATGCAACTCTTTCTCTCTTGTATGTATGTATGTTGTATTACATTTATATGAAAATTTACAGGCGTTTACAATGTACTTTCTTTATGCCCCATTAGGGCCCTTAAGATGATATTTTTTACGGGATAAAAAAGGGAATTATGCATTATCTTAATCGAAATTTGTCAAAAACCGGGGAGGGGCTAGGTGGTGGAGGTTATTTAATCCCCCCTTTCATTTCTTTTTTTGAGGGGGGGGGGGTAGTACAACACTTACCTAGCACGTACAGGTGGGATCCACTAGTATAATACTGAAACAAAATGTTGGGAAGTCGCCTTTTTCATGAAATTTTCCATATAATTTGTTTAAAAAAGACTACTAATTTATGGGGGAAAAAGTGTCGGAAAGGGAGCTGCCTCGAGCTGCACTATACAGGTTTGCATGGGTCACTCAGTGACCATGTGAGATCGCGTTTCCTTTCACAAACCAAGGCAGGGGCGGATCCAGCAATTTTTGAAAGGGGGGTCCAGGTTGGTGCCTCCAACACTCATGCATAGAATCACACCACGGGCACTTCAAGGCCGTAGCAACGTTTTCAAAGGTTGCAACCTCCGAAATGAGTAACTGGTTGGCAAGCAATTAAAAAAAAACAAACAAACAAACAAACAACCCGTGCACTACACTCTAAAATCCTATTTCGGGGGGATGGGGTGCTTCCTCTAACTTTTCGGTACATTTTTTTTCCTTTCAAATATTTGATTTTTTGTATTTTAATTCAAGTACTTGAATTTGCGTATATTAACTTTCGGCAACAAAAACTTAAAGTGGAGGAGGGGGAGGGAGCATCCAAATCAAAACTTACATATTAAAACTACAGCAAGGGATTAAGTGTGTCCCTTCCCTCGCATACTAAGGGGCCATTTTAAACCTTTCTCTTCAATGGTTTAAATATTCCCATAATATAAGGAGAGAAATATTCTCTTATGCATACTCCCTTTCATGACTTTTTATGCATATTTCTTAAAGTTATTTACTTAATCCAGAAGATGGTCCAAAAATGGCATAGTTAAAGTTCGAAACCTACATGGGTATTCATGGGAAGAAATTCTGTGGATTTTCTCCGGTATTGCTTTAGACTGAATTCAATCAAAGCGCAATTAACGCTAATCTTTATATTACCCATGAGAGTGATGCGAGACAAATGATGGCAGCACTGTTGAGGGAAGGATCCAACATTTTTTCAGATTTAAAATTAAAGCTTTAAAAGAACAATATAAAGCCTTTCATTGGAGGGGAGGGGGGGGGGCGTGATTTCAATTTCCTACGTGCTCAATAATAATAATAACGAGTTTAAAATGAAAAAAAAATAAACGAGTAAACGATAAACAAATTAAAATAAAAAGGAAATTAAAATACATGTTTGAGTTTGTAACCCTTATTTTTTTAGAAAGTATAAGCGTATCACAGGTTAATAATTTTACCCCTTTTCATTGACCACGCAAGTAGTGCCATATAAAAACACTGGTATTTTTCATAAATATGTCTTCGGATAGATACGGGGTGGAATGGGCTGATTTTAGGGCATAGATGGGAAGGAGAGTGTCTGGGGGAAAAGAATTAAAATTTCAAATATTGAGAAATATTGCCTTTGAATGCGTAGTAGGAAGGGTGTAAATAGGCCATGTTTACCTTCTTCTCAAGGGGTAAGTTAAATATGCAGGGTATGGGGGTAACTCACGATGTCTTAGAGGGATTTATACACTATAGATTCTCCTTAGATTTAAAAATATTTTAAGGCTATAATAAAAAAGAAATCGCTAAATTTCAAGATATATTTAATTAATTCTAAATAAAATTTAAATAAATTCCACATGCAAAAAGGTAGAAGAACGCGTGGTAGCAAAATAATATTGAGCATTTTAAAGGAAATAAATGCTATAATTATCAATGACATCCAAGGAAAATATTTGTAAAAGTATTTTTTTTTATAGATCCACCTCTACAAGATTCTGCCATAAATTGTCCCGAATCACTCTTAGGGGAATATTGGTGATTAGCGTTAATAGCACTTGTATTGAGTTCAGCTCAAAGCTAAATCGGACGGGATTTCTTGGGATGAGTAAATTGAAAGTTTTCGCGTTTTAAATTATGTTTTACATGCGTTCAAAACTATAATAAAGCATCTGGTGAAATGATTGATTAACAGGAACTGAGACAAAAGTTGAAAGTATCAATATAGTACAAAGACACACATGTATAATTAACTTAAGTTCAAAGTAAATCTTTTTCACAGAAAACTCTAAAATTTAGTGGGGCATTTGCCTCTTTTGCCGCCTCAATTTTAGTTACGGCGTTGCAAAAATATACTTATTTGTCAGAAAGATAAAGATATATTTTGAAATTCAAATGTGCGTAGCCGATTATGGATTTTTTGATCAAGAAAAGTTACCAAGACTCATTTTTTTTCCAGCCACTATACATGCATGTATTTCCCTCTGAGCTCGAGCTTAAAATTGCCACAGCACGTACATTGATTTTACAATGAACACATTGAACAATGAGACTTTCAAAATCCGAATAGGCGCACATATGACACTGTAAATAGAGGCATTATTTTTATCCACTTTTTAATGACAAGAAGTTTTTTTTAAATTTTGGCGCGCAATTTCTGTGTGGATAACAAAATTGTCCAATAAGAAGGCAAGTGACATTTACTGCTGACTAACACATGATTCAGATCACATGATAACAGTTTTTGTCAACAAGACCGAAGAGAGTGTGACAATGAGGATGCTGCTACTTTTAATTTCTCTTGCCGGTCTAGGTATGTATTTCATTTGGCATACTGAAGCATTATTACATTATCAAAATAGAAATACCACAGAATGTGTGGAATTTTCGAGTGAAAGCAAGTGCAATATAACGATATTGTGTAATTTTTAAGAAGAAAATTAAACAACCATGCGTCAAAATTGTATGTTTCTAGGTTACATTTTTTTTTTCAACGTATTGATTCACAAAAACATGAATAAATGATGCAGGAAAACATTATAGTTCGAAAATAAATTTGAAAATGTTAAAAATCCTTGATTGAAAAGCTGATATAATTAATGAAAACAGGTGATTTTTTAATAGGAAGTTGATAACTACATATTTTATATCATTAGAAAGGTTCTTTTAAATGCAGCTTCATGGTGAAAAAATTATTTTAATCTCTTGAGTGGTTAAAAAGTTACGGCATATAAAAGACACCTACCGTCAAACTTTATTGAAGTCAAAATTTTATAATTTATGAAACATAATATAGCCTAGAGAACAGGATAAAACTGAGGTTTGTGTCGAAGAATAAAACACATTCTCTTTAGTTTAAAAGCAAAGCAATAAACCTTTGAAATAATTTTATTCTTTTGAAACAGTTTTTTAAAGATTTTCTTTTGCCAATCTTCTATAGTAGTTTTTACAGGTGAACACAGCTTCATTTCCAATGTATGCAATGCTGTACTAAAAAAGGATAACTGTGGAAAGAGAGAGGGAGAGATACTGTTAGGATTTTTATAGTGTTGTTGTGAGCTAAAATCAGAAGTATTAATGAATAAAATATAAAATGCTTCTGAAGAGAAATCTATATTCAACAAGGGCACTATGCTATTAAGCATATACATGTACATGGATTCAGCTAGTTATATATGTAAATAATACTTCATTCTGTATTTCCAGGTTGTTAAGATATGTAAAAATATAAAAATTATAAGGTTTTTATGTTAGTCAAGGAATGAAGTTGTAAAGTGAATTTATATTCATCCAATAAATCTGACATTGAAAAAATAAAGAAAAAACAAAATACTTTCGATTGCCTTTTATTCAATATCCCTCAGTTTCTGACAGTCCTGTGGCTGGGTACATCACAGTGACATTCACTAAATAATTATTATAGTAACTGTGAGAAGGGCTGATTGTAATCTAACAGTTAAAATGGAATTTTCATAACCATTTTTCCATTGACAATATGGTATATTTCACCATGTTCACTTTCTCTAGTTTCTGGCAAAGGATCTGTACACTTATAAAATTAGCGGCGAAAATATATTCTTTTTTTTAATCCCCCCCCCCCAAGAAAAAGATTAAATTTGATGTGATTTATTATAATCTGTGATCAAATTTAACCTTTTTTGATAATTAATTAATTAAAACTTCACTTTAAAATCATTATTTGGAAACAGGTAGAATTTCCTCTGTTTCCTTGAACATTGAAGAGTGACTAAGGGGGATAACTTCTTCCGAAAAATTGTCGCTTCGTAAGAATCAGATGAAAAGCGCTCTTTTGCGCAGGCATAATATGATGAGTAACAAATGATATTCGATTCAGGGATGTCTATTCTATATAAATAATGTATGCCATTTTATTCGTATTGCATAATTAATTTATAATATAAATTTTGTCTGAATCCTATTTTTCATTAGTGCTTACATTTGAAATTGCTGGGCTCTTCTGTCACCGGATGAACTCTTTTATTCGAGAAGTTTCTTATCTTCAACCTGAGATGAGTTGTACGTACAATGCTTCTTTCTTTTAGGATGAAAATCGAAAAATTCGTGTACCGCTAGGTGGCTTGATTCGTAATGGCAACCTTCATATTTTCATGTTTCCGGTGCAAAATAAGAAACTTGATGCCGTACTTTCGTCTCACATGACGAGTTGATATTTATTTTTTAGATAAAATATGGTAAAATAATCCCTTCAGAATATGTACTTTATTCGGAATGTGTTATTTACACAACCAGCATACCAGTAAACATATCTTAAAGTAAAGCGGTTTAACATAGTGGCACATAGGCGAAACGATTTTTACGATTCGACTGTTATCGTTAAATATAATCTTTGCTATAGTACATCAGTATATACTGTACATGTATACTGGAAGTCTGGAATATGTTATGAAATAGCCATTCTGAAAGGATGTTCAACATTTTAATCAATATAGATCTAATTCACAACTGTATTTTCAGTTGTTGATATAAATGGAATAATATTAAGAAATCAAACAGGTTGTGGTTATTTGTAACATTTTTTTTTAAATTTCAAACTTGTATACAAACATTTAATGATATAATTAAATGTAGTGCAAAATATCTGGCATCTGAAACATCCAAAAAGCAGAAAGCCTGGAGAATACCCACTATTTTTAACTCTATCTTGAATTGCTATGACCTCTGCAGGTATGAAGATTTTGTTTTGAGATACGCCTCTGTCAACCTTACTGAGGTTATGACCTGAATTCGTGTAAAGTTAAAAATCATCATCAAGAAATTACTAAACTACTCACTTTAAATACATAGTTTTCCCTTTATTTCAAACTAAAAGGTTTGAGATCAATTGTCATGTGGGCTTGGGTTGACGTTTATGACAAATCTCTGTGGACCTTACAACAATTAAATTTTGATTTTTTTTAATTTCAAAGCAGCATTTTTATCAACTGAAGCGGTCAATTTGGCCGGTAGCCTGTTCTTAGGGAAAACACTGTTTAAATGAATTTCCTATATTGTTAAAACGCATATTATAATGGAGTGTTAAAATTGCTCAAGTTAAAATATAAAATATTTTAAAAAATTGAATCTTCTGACATTAAATAAGCAACAAGGGTTTAACAAATTGTAGAAAAATTGACTGATTAGAACTATTACATGTACTGTGACAGTCCAATGTTTTTCCTTCCTGAAACAATAAACCTGTAAATAACTGTAAATGTATCTCTTATGTCATATAACTATGAAGTAATTTGAATACTTTTAGGATCTGTGAGATTTAATGTACAGTTGTTTTACATAACATCTTGTTTGCAGTTTAGTGTAATTAAGTTGTTTAAGAGCCTGTGGACATTGATCCTCTTTATGATTTGATGTATAAGGTCAGATGATACATTCCTCAATAATACTGGTATATAATTTTTCACAAGAATTTGTTTTTTGTATTATTACACTTTGAAAAGAAAAAGATAACTTACCAGGAATTTGTGCAAAATTCCAGAGGATGGTTTTTCTTATATAATTCTATTGGGAAATCACTTGAATATTGATATCACTATTTTTGGTTTACATATTTTTGTAAGATATTTTGAAATCAGAAGATTAGTAATAATTCTAAATATTTTTTAGGATATTTCGAAGACATGCAAAAACAGATATTTCAGGGACTAATCATCAGACATTAATTAACTTGAAATACACGTAAATACTTGATATCAAGAAATTTTTTTGTTTAAATTGGCCATAAGCAAATTAAGAAAATGCTTTTTAATCTTTTAAAATTGTTTTAAAATACAGTCAAACGTCATTACTCCGAACTCGATGGGACTTAGAAAAAAACTGAGATATCCAAGGGTTCAAGATATCAAGGGTAAAATACTTAAGAAATAAGGACTTCCCAATCACTTCGACATATCCATGGTATTTGAGATATCTGTATTCGAGATACTGAACTTCAACTGTAATATCATTTTGAAATTATAAGATTATAAATAATAATAATATTTTGTGAATCCATATTGTCTGATCAATATATTATGGCTCTCATTCAATTTCATTGTCCTTGCAATGGGAAAAGAATGGCGCAACAATGTGTAGGTGTCAATATAAGTACATGTTTTAAATGATTATCAGTTTATCCTCATGAATTAAATATTACAGTTTTCATTTTGAATGGAGTCATATTTAAGGAAATATTTTGCCGAGTTGACTGTATATACATCCATAGATTAGTTAAAGATTTGGCATGATTTTGTACCTTTTGATATAGCCTAAGGTATGATTTTACATGCTGTAAATGAGAAAATTGAACCCATATTTTAGGAAGACAATATTTTTTTTTTCAAATGGAAATAGAACTGAAAATAGTTCCAGACACAGAAATTGAAGAACTCAAATATTAGACAGGGATAATAACATTTCAGTGCAAAACTGGAGGTTATTTTATGGACATGATGGGAAAAATCCTTTAAGATTCTTTATTTTGAATAAACCCTGCATATTTTTCAGCTACCAGCACTCCACTGGTAGGAAAGAATGAATGTTCTTGGGGCCCTTCATTTTGGTGCAGTCATGCAAAGAATGCAAAAGCCTGTGGTGCAGTACAACATTGCTTGGATACAGTATGGAGCAAACAGACCATTGCTGAAGATCCCCAGGTTGTCTATCTACTTTGTGTTGTAATAAATAATACATGGCAGTACTGTATCTCATGTTTTACATTCAGGACCCCATATTGGAAATCAATGTCTAAACAATTATTTTATTTTGAAAAAAACCCAGAGAAATCCATTGCTTGCACTGTGGTAAATTAATGATTTTATTTGAAGTTTTGCATCATCATGTTTAAAGAAATGAAATTGGATTCTCATTAATACTACATATACCGGTATATGTTCTCTTAAGTTTTAGTAGTTTTCTTGTTAAAAAAACGTATACTACACATCACACATTCATTTCCCTATAAACCTGTTTAAATATTCAACTGTGTACAAACGTATTGCAGATAAAAAGAAGTTAATTTTGCAGCCACATTTTTCAATAGTCTGTTAATTGTGCTTAATAATACCACAAACTACCTTGTAAATATACAAAATGTGCAGGTGTGTCAGTTATTATGAACATTATAGGACAAAATCATACTTGAAATATTCATATTCAACAGACTTTTAATTTTTACCTAACTTTTTAGGACTGTAGTTTATATTATGGAAAACCAAATTTTTTACAGGTACTAGCTGCAAGTTCAAATTTTCAATATTTTGTTGAATACAAACTGATGCTGCTTTTCCAACTAATATTTTTGCAATGAATTTTTACACATAGCCCACTAGCTGTAGCCTTTGCAAAATGGTTGTCAAGGAGACGAGGAAAATGCTGAAAAATAAAAATAAAGATGTAAGTAGCCTTTGAATTTTAAATTAAAGCTCAAAAAATAAAATTAGAAATGCAAAAATTATTTTATCATTTAATGCTCTGAAATCTAAATAAGCAAGTTAATTTCAGTTTGAATTTTGTGTGTGTGTACGTATATGATTTTTTTTTTGTTTCTAGAAGATTGTTGATTTCTTCACCATGGCATGTCAGTTCATGCCAGATGAAAACCTGAAGAAAGAAGTAAGGCTTAGAATTTTTTTTTTCTTACATAAATTATTCTTATGACTTCTGCTTTATCAAATTACTCTACTTAAATTTATTTAGTTTAAAAAAAAAACTTTCCAGCTGACTGCTTTCAGTTTCTGAATATATGTCCTGTTTACATGTATATACACAATAAAATTGACAGAATATTTAATAGTTTACCAGGTAATTCTGACAGATTTATATTTCTTATTTTCCAGTGCAGTTTCCTTGCCTCTGACTCACAGATTTTGATCAAGCTTTTGGAGAGTAAAATTGTAAGTGATTAAATAGAAGTATTTTAACTAGAGATTAGTATGCACTGTTGCTGATAGAAAAAGAACTCAGATAGTTCACAGAAACATATAGACCCATCAATTTCAGAATTTGTTGTCTGTAAAAGATCCCATTGCTTGTCACATGACATGGGGTGGTCTCCTTTAATTGCTATAAATTACAGTAACATGCATTTGTCACTCAAAAAGACAATGAATAAAAGAGAAAACAAAGTGATCAGATTTCAGGGTGTATTATGTATCACTTTCAGAGATCAAAGTATTTCCATAAATTAAACACAAGAGACTGTTTTTGGCAGCTTTTGTGAGTTGACCTTGTAATTGGAGCATCAGAAATGCTATATCAGTTTACAAATAACATACTCGGTACATGTAATAGTCTTATATTAGGTGTAACTTCTGACTAACTTACAACACTGCTGTCTGAAAAAAAAGTGTTCTTTATCTGTAATCTAAAAACATGTATAGGTACAAGGAAATCAATCACATGATTTCGTGCTTTCATTTAGAAATTCTCAAATGACTAAAAAATGGTGCACTTCTTTCATTTGATTACCAATGATTCAAAGGTCAATGCTTACACATGTAATATTTCCTTGTGTATATGTACACAAACTGTTCATTTTGAATTAAAACAAAAGTTAACACTTTTTTTTATCAGCTGTGTTTATATTTAGACATGGATAAGGAAGTTATGTCTGGTTCAGTTGTTAAGTACGGAAACAATTACATTAATTATTGCTTTGTTATTTACTTCCAGTCCGAGGGTCAACTGTGTGCCGCCGTCAAGCAGTGCAAAGGTTTTGAAGACAGAACCCATGAGGTAGAAACAGATTACTGTTACAAAAACCTTAAAATATTTCATAATGATGTACTCTTAGTCAAAGACCAACACGTGTCCAAAAACAGACGTGAAGGAACATTGTAGTACATGTACTAGTATATACTCCACTCCATTACACAACTCTATACACCACAACACACTACACTTCATGACTGCTGAACATTAAGCCATTTAATTCAAGTTTTTGAAGTAAAATTATGAAATTTTCTTGCTAGGAAAGTCTGGTAAAGTAGGGTACAAATAAAGCTCACACTGTATTTAGTCTTCATTACTCAGGGGGACTTTCAATAGAGTACAACATGGTTTGACATTTTCAGCTTCCTCCAAAAGTCCCTGAGCTGCCCGGAAACACAACAAAGATCTGTGTGGACTGTGTTGCGTTTTTTGGTGATATCAAACAGATGATATCTGACAATGCTACAGTTGTAAGTAAATCAAATTTTGTTAATTCACAATTAAAAAAAAAGCAAAACTGAATGTCAAATTATATGAATATCTGCATGTACATGTACAACATTACAGATTTGACAATATTTTATGTTTTAGCACTTTTTTTGGAAGAAGTGCTCGTACATACAATTGGAATAATTATGCAAACTGCTATAGCATATTTAGACAAATGACTTCTATACTATACATGGTATGTTTTTATGTTAAATTATAGGAGCAGGTAAAGGATATGTTAAAGAATGTGGTGTGTACACAGCTGTCATCTTCAGAAGGTCTGGTAAGGAATGTTTACATACACATACATGTTTGAATATTTATAGAATGTCAATATATTTTATGAATTTTTTTTGTTAAAACTGAAGTATTTAAAATCTTATATGGTTGATATATTTAGTTTTAAACTAAAGTTTGAGAAGGGAAGTAACCTTGTACATATCAATGAGGTTTTAATGATACATACATGTACCACAAACGTAACTATTTTTTTGCCCCCGGATCGAAAGATCCCGGGGGTATATTGTTTTTGTTCTGTCTGTCTGTTTGTTTGTTTATCTGTTTGTCTGTCTGTTGTCAACTTTAACCTTGCCCATAACTTTTGATTGGTCGGAGCTATGAATTTCATATTTCACATGTGTATTCCTTGTGACAAGACTTTTCTATGGGTACCATCATATTTGACCTTTTAACCTTGACCTTGGAGTTTGACCCACTTTTGCAAAATTTTATGAGACTTTAACCTTGGCCATAACTTCTGAACAGTTGGTGCTTGGGGTTTCAAACTTCACATGTGTATTCGTTGTGACAAGGCCTTCCTTTGGATACCAACAACTTTGACCTTGACCTAGGAGTTTGACATACTTTTGAAAAACTTTAACTTTTGCCATAACTTTTGAACTGTTGGAGCTAGGGCTTTCATACTTCACATATGTAATCCTTGTGGCAAGGCCTTCCTTTGGATACCAACACTTTGACCTTTTGACCTTGACCTAGGAGTTTGACCTTCTTTTGAAAAACTTTAACCTTGGCCATAACTTTTGAATGGTTGAGACTAGACCTTTCTTTGGATACCAACAACTTTGACCTTGACCTTGACGTTATACTTACTTTTAAAAAACTTTAACCTTTGCCGTAACTTTTGAATAGTTGCAGCTAGGGCTTTCAAATTTCACAGGTATATTCCTCGAGACAAGACCTTTCTTTGGGTACCAACATTTTTAATCTTTTGGCCTGGATTTTGACTTGCATTTGAGAAACTTTAACCTTTGCCTTAAGCTGCCATATGAGAGCATCAGTGTTTCACAAACACATCTTGTTTCAATATTTCTTTCAACAGAAATCAAATTTAGAAATTTTAATTGTATAATAAAAATATAAAAACAGTCCCTTGAAAATGTTCCCAGAAACATTTCAGCAACATAACATCACATTTCTGAAACTTTTCAAATTACAATGTATACTGAACTGTAAAGTTGCTTTTTACCACTTTTCACCAAATTACGTGGCTTGGCCAAATATGAAATTGTTTTACTAAAGAGGTATCACTTCTTCAGTGAGAGAGGCATCTTTTGAAGCAAAGATATTTGAATTTTTGAAGAAAAGAATTGTGTTATTTATCCTAAATTATCCTAAATTTTCTGTGATACATTTAACAATTTCATTGATATAAAGCATAATGTCAAATATAATTGGCATCTGTATATCCAGATTGTATTTATATCCAAGTTATTTCTTCAAACTCCTTTGTTATATAGTTTTCTCTTCTGTTTTTCTTTTTTAAGTTGACAATTTTGTTAAATTTATGTGCCTTTTAATCTCATTTGAGGCACTTAATGATTCAGGAGCTGAAGAGTTTCAAAAGGTTTCAAACTGGCACTTTTTTGAAAAAGTATTATACATAAGCATTTTTTATCTTTATTGTTTATTGTACAGTAGTATTGTTTTATATTTACAGTGTGATTTTATCGTTGATGAGCTAGTCCCAGAACTTTTGCAAGTGCTTGGTGGAGAGGTGGTAAGTAAATAAAAAAAGTTATTGTCATTCAATTATTTTAATGTTTCTACTTACAAGAGCAATATTCACCACTCTGTTCACCATCTTAAGAGAGGAATTACACTTCTTTAACATTGATTTACGTATTGATATTGACTCAATAGCACAAAATTCTTTTTTTTCATATCTCTCTTGAATTTGTTATACTACAGTGTATTAATTTCAAGGTCATGAAATTCATGACTGTAGGCATTGTCAGGTCTTTAGCTTGTAAATACATGTATTTTCTGGGAAACAGATCTTGTTTCACATCAATTATTCTATCAAATGATCCAAGTTTTACAGTGACCTTGACACTTAGAGCAACACTCAAAGTAACCTTGACATAGCACGCTCAGCTTCTCATGGTCATTTTGGTCATTCTAGCATCTTTGATAAAGTGGGCTATATCATGATCACTGCCAGAATATAAATCTTCATATGATGAATGTAAAAACTAATAGCACTTCATTAGTGTATGTAAAATGGCATTACTGGAGTTTGTTTTATATTTTTTTTAATTTAGGAGCCCCAGGTTCTTTGCAACATGCTTGGTTTCTGCCAAGGAACAAACATTTACAAGGCACTGGTCTCAAGAATTCAGTATAGGACAGATTTGAAAAAAATTAATAAGGTACATGTACAATGTTGTAAATAAAAAATAACCTTCTTGCAGACCTGTCTGAACTCTACATTTACGTCTAAAGGGAATCATTGTAGGACTTATCATTTGTAATTCATTTTAACAATTTGATGCAACATTTGGTTAAAATCAAAATCTTTTTTTTCTGTTTCTGCTTTGCTCTACAGGATTATACTAAAAGCAAAGATGAAAAGTGTGACATGTGTCACACAGTTGTTATGAAAATCCTGAATGTGCTGAAAGATAAACTTAATCAGGTAAATTTTTTCCTTCTGAATACTTGTAGGCTAAGATTGGTGGGGTAGAAGAATGTGACATGTGTAAGGAGGTCATGACAAAGGTCAGGGATATGGATCGTGATCCCGCTAACCAGGTAACATTGAAACTAAGGAAAATTGTAAAGCATGTTGAGCTAGGGAATTTTTTTTATAACAAAATGGTTGGGAGGTTATGATCTCTGCTTTAAAAATGGTGTCATTAATTGACACATTTTTTGAATAAAATTTTTAAATGCTAGTAAATGCTTTACATGTATTTTTGTTATTTTTCTGTTACAGGAAAAGGTTAAAAATTTTATCAAGACAGAATTATGTGAGAAACTAGGAGCAGTAGCAAATGAGGTATGTTCTTTCTTTTTAAAAAATGCATATAGGAAATAAAAAAAAACTATCCAAGATATTTTTATCAAACTTCATATGCTGATAGATATTGATGAGAGCTATGCAACTGCATTAACATTTTTTGACCTTGAGCTTTCATTTGACCTTGACCTCACTTTTTTTAAATTAGTGTTTAGCTCAGTTTTAAAGATACCATTCAAGGTAGTGTAATCAAACTTCATATGTTGATACATACTGATGTAAGCTATTCAACTGCATCAACATTTTTTGACCTTGACCAGTCCTTTGACCTTGACCTCACTTTTCTCAATTTGTGTTTAACTCAGTTTTAAAGAAAACATTCATAATATTTTTATCAAACTTCATTTGCTTATTCATGCTGATGTAACCTTTTCAACTGCATCAACATTTTTTGACTTTGACCTTTCCTTTGACCTTAACTTCATTTATTTTAAATTAGTGTTTAGCTCAGTTTTAAATAAACCATTCAAAATATTTTTATCAAACTTAAATATGCTGATACGTATTTGTGAGAAGTATTCAACTGCATCAAAACATTTGACCTTGAACTTTCCTGTGACCTTGACCTCACTTTTCTTAAATTTGAATTTTGCTTAATTTTAAAGAAACCATTTAAGATATATTTTTGTAAGTTTATGCACTTATACATAATTTGGCGAAAATTTATCATCTATATCCAACTTTTTAGATTTCAATTTTAAAGAAACCATTTTAGATATTCTCATCAAATTTCATACACTAATACAAATTTTCATGTGGCATTACTAATATACCTTTGACGGGGCATTCATGCCCAATGGACATATTTCTAGTTAATTTTTTTTTCTGTTATATCTTTCACAGTGCAAGACAGCAGTGGATGAGTATGGGGGTATCATCTTTGAGCTGATTGCCAGTGAACTGGTTGGTTATTCTTCATATTTAAGTAACATAAACTTCAAACTTTATATTTGGAATTTAGCCTTGAGCACAATTTTCTCCTATAGGACCCCACAACAGTATGTACCATGCTGGGATTCTGTAAGTCTGCTTCATATGTTGCTGCCAAACCAATCTTGCCAGGAGTACAGGTGAAACCAAAAGTGGAAGCACAGGCAAAACCAAAAGCAGGGGAGTTGTGTGATTTGTGCCAGATAGTAATCAATGAGCTGGATTCAATGATCACCAAAAATTCAACCACGGTATGTTTGATATAACAGTTTTAAAAAAAAAAATTCATCACAAACTATTAAGGATTAATGGTTGCCCCATGGCGCAGTGGTAGAGTATCTGCTCTAGAATTCTGGAGTAAGGAGTTTATCCTTACGTTGCGGGTTCGAATCCCACTGTGGGACGTGGAGACCGGTCCTTCGGATGAGAGCGTATAAACCGAGGTCCCGTGTGTTGCAGTAGATGCTGGTACAAAAAAGACCCCTCACTGCTCAATGGCCCTGAGAGCCGAGTACAGGTCAAAATTTGCAGCTCTCCACCGGCAAGTGGTGGCGTCTCCATATGAGTGAAAAATTCTTGAGAGGGATGTTAAACAACAAACAAACAATTAAGGACTAAAGAAAACTTATCAAATTAATGTGTATTCATTCATACATGTATGTTGTACAATATCATTTTTTGTATATTTCTTAACAGCAAGAGATAGAACAAGCCTTGGCTGCTGTATGTGACCGTCTCCCAGCCCAATTCAAAGATGCATGCAGTGACCTTGTGAAGCAGTATGCTCCAGCTATTCTAGATATTATTGGACAAGAGTTAGACCCCCTTAGAGTCTGCACACTCCTTAAACTGTGTACATCTGAGTCCAAGAGACTGGGTAAGATTCTTATTCTAACATTGCAGTATATTTTAAAAAAAAAGCTTAAAGGGAATTGGATAATATAGACAAGTACGTTCATGTCAGATATTTGCTGTGAATAAATTAAGTACTTTTAAGAATTTTTAGTTCATGATGTTTTCTCTGGTATTTGAAATGTTAATACTTCTACCATATACACTATACAGGGATTTAGGATGAATTAACTTTAACAATAGACTTTCCAGTTACAGGGGATAGAAATAAGTATTTTTTTTAATTTAAAGACATTAAGAAACCAGAACAACCTCTCCATTCAACAACAGAGTGTGTGTTGTGTGAGATGGTTATGAAGGAAATAGACACCATACTTCAGGGAAGCCAGGTCAAAGAGGATATTGAGAATGCCTTAAAGTCTGTGTGTAATCGTCTGTCATCTGCTGAATTAACTAAAGAATGCACCAGCTTTGTCATGCAGTACACAGAAATGTTGGTGGACTTGTTGGTCAAGATGCCTCCTAAGGAAGTCTGCACCACTCTGGGCCTGTGTACTGCTACCAAGACACAAGTCAAACAAGAACTCCACCACGTCAAATTGATCTCAACAAAAAAGAATGGTGGGAAAATATTTCTTTTTTTGCTCTGAATCTGGAACTGCAAATTTCTACATATACATGAGCTTCATTGAATAACTTTTTGCTGATTATAATTTTATTTGATTATTTAATACTTGTCTTGACAAGATATAAATTTGATGGCTACATTTTTGGATATGTGAAACTTCATTAATCTATCCAGAGGTCTTGTTTTCATACTACATTACAGGTCAATTACACCTTGACAGTACTGCCTCAATAGAGTGTATAATTCATGAATACATTACTAAATTACAGGTCTATTACACCTTGACAGTACTGCCTCAATAGAGTGTGTAATTTGTGAATACATTACTAAATTACAGGTCTATTACACCTTGACAGTACTGCCTCAATAGAGTGTGTAGTTTGTGAATATGTTATGTCAGAATTGGATGATATTTTGAAAGAGAATCGCAGCAGACAAGCCATTGAGAATGCTCTCCAGACTGTGTGCTCCAAACTTCCGTACACCATCAGTAAGGAATGTTCAGACTTTGTGAACCAGTATGCTAACCTTGTGATTAATCTTCTGATTCAAGAGGTGGATCCTAAGACTGTTTGTACAGAACTGAAGCTATGCCAAGCCAGTGACATAAAAAATACAAAGCACCACATAGGTAAAGACTAAACACCATATACACTAGTATTCCTGAAATTTTGATAATACATTATTTAATTATCATATTCTAGATTATTATACTTCTGTTAAAATGTTTTTTATATAAAGTTAAGAAGGTAAAATAACTATCTTTTATAGTCTGAAAATTTCCACGCATAGCAAAGCTATATCCCGGGGTATAGTTTATGCTACCCACCCCTCGGAAAATTTTCATGCAATTTTTGCCTCCAATTTTGATTTCCTGTAATCAGTCTATAGACTTGTGAGGTCAGCCTGACTTCAGTAGCATTGTGATGTAATCAGGTTTCAGCTCATTCTAGCAGTGTTATTCCAAATACTTGTTCAAAACTTTTATAATTATTTTTTTCATCTTTGTCCTATGGAACTATAGTATCCAACCCTCAGAAATAATGATACACATCAGTATAATAAAACACTTATCCACTGGCTGCGAGTGGGATAGCTCTTTCATCAAACCCTTGACAAGAACTATTCCCCTCGGGCAAGCCCTTGTGGAATAGTTCCTGTCACGGGTTTGATAAAAGAGCTATCCCACTCACAACCAGTGGATAAGTGTATATTGTCTGATTTCAGTTTTTGAGAATTTCTTTGTTATGCTCCATAAAAAGTATTTTATTTGGTTTTGCTATTACAGGTCTATTGCACCTTGACAGTACTGCCTCAATAGAGTGTGTAATTTGAGAATACATTACTAAATTACAGGTCTATTGCACCTTGACAGTACTGCCTCAATAGAGTGTGTAATTTGTGAATACATTACTAAATTACAGGTCTATTACACCTTGACAGTACTGTCTCAATAGAGTGTGTAATTTGAGAATACATTACTAAATTACAGGTCTATTACACCTTGACAGTACTGCCTCAATAGAGTGTGTAGTTTGTGAATATGTTATGTCAGAATTGGATGACATTTTGAAAGAGAATCGCAGCAGACAAGCCATTGAGAATGCTCTCCAGACTGTGTGCTCCAAACTTCCGTACACCATCAGTAAGGAATGTTCAGACTTTGTGAACCAGTATGCTAACCTTGTGATTAATCTTCTGATTCAAGAGGTGGATCCTAAGACTGTTTGTACAGAACTGAAGCTGTGCCAAGCAAAAAATACAAAGGACCACATAGGTAAGGACTAAATACCATATACGCTGTGCCTGAAATTTTGATAATACATTATTTAATTAACATATTCTAGATTATTTTGTCTGATTTCAGTTTTTGAGAATAATCAGTTATGCTCCATAAAATGTATTTTATTTGGTTTTGCTATTACAACATGTGATTTTTTTTATTTGTAGCATCAAGTGTTGAAGCATCAGCAGAATGTGTTCTGTGCGAATTTATTATGAGAGAAGTAGACAACATTCTTCAACAGAACCGCAGCAGACAAGCCATTGAGAATGCTCTGCAGATGGTGTGCTCCAAACTTCCATCCACAATCAGTAAGGAATGTTCAGACTTTGTTAACCAGTATGCTGACCTTGTCATTAATTTACTGATAAATGAGGGAGATCCAAAGACAGTCTGCACAGCTATTAAACTCTGCTCAAATGACCTGAAGAAGGCACTTCTTGATTCCATGCAATTCCTTCCCATCCCCGGTCAAGGTAAAATTAAAGTGATTGCAATTTTATATTTTGTGGAAAAAAAGTTGCATGCGTAAAGCTGAGCGACTGATACTTCAAAATGACTCTGTACACAAGAGGTGTAAATGAAATGAATGTTTATGTGCTGGGTTGTTTTAGTTCTGTTTTCAGGATGGATAAGGTGATTTGTGCATTACAGATTAAAATTTGGTTGTACAAATGAAAGAATGAAATGTTTGTGTCATATTTGGATCTTACTACTGCAGCAGTAATTATAATCTCTCACTTCTGCTTTCAGTTGCTGGTGTACATTAAAATCTCTCTCTTCTGCTCTCAGTTGCTGGTGTACATTAAAATCTTTCACTTCTGCTTTCAGTTGCTAGTGTAATTACAATCTCTCACTTCTGTTTTCAGTTGCTGGTGTACATTGTAATCTCTCCCTTCTGTTTTCAGTTGCTGGTGTACATTATCATCTCTCACATCTGTTTTCAGTTGCTGGTGTAATTACAATCTCTCACTTCTGTTTTCAGTTGCTGGTGTACATTGTAATCTCTCCCTTCTGCTTTCAGTTGCTGGTGTACATTATAATCTCTCCCTTCTGCTTTCAGTTGCTGGTGTAATTACAATCTCTCACTTCTGTTTTCAGTGGCTGGTGTACGAGGGTTGTCCGGTAAAATCGTGGACAAGTTGTCTATATTGAAAAATAATCATCACTGCGTTCTAAAACTTTCACTACTTTTTAGTACATTTTTCAACATTATACATAGCAAATTTCAAATAGATTTCAAATAAACAAAATATGAAACTTTATGTTATTTATGGTGTCGTCTTATGGTCGCACGGATGATAACGTCAAAGTCTCTAGAGCAGCGTCACGTTTCCTCTTTGCTTAATAAAAGTTGGATAAGCCCCACTTAAATTCGGGGATTTCATTGATGCACATACTTGATTTTCCCTTTATTCCTCCCTAAACAGTTGGGGAACCAATCTCACACACACCTGGGACCTTCTGAAGATTTATTAGTAAGTTATGGACAGTACTCTCATTATCATTCAACTAAACAGGCTCTCCTATATCGACGGTCAACAGAGACAGCGTCTTTTGCTTTTGACAGTAGCTGTTTGTCTGTATGTTTTGTTCTACCCGGGGACTCGATCAAAAAGCTTCGTTTAGAAAACTCTCATTTCACTTGTATACTAAAGATCTAGTGATATTTTTAGATTTTTAGGTCACCTGAGTAAACTCAGGTGACCTATTGCTATCCGTTTTCGTCCGTCGTCGTACATCGTTCGTCGGTCGTAAACTTTTGAACATTTTTAGCTTCTTCTCTGGAACCACTGAACCAATTACATCCAAATTTGGTATACAGCATTTATGGGTGAAGGGGAACAAAAATTGTGAATTTCATGGTCCCTGCCCCCCTGGGGCCTGAGGGGTGGGGCTAAAACCACCAAAAATAATGCAATCTTTAAAAATCTTCTTCTTTACTCCTGGACATCAAGCAGTCAAACTGTTGGCATCATTGTAATAAGCATTGAGCCCTCTACCAAAATTGTGAAATTCATGGCCCCAGGGTCAGGGGTTCTGGCCCCAGGGTGGGGCTATATAGATCATATAGTGAAAGTGTGTTATTTCTTTGAAAATCTTCTTCTCTGCTCCTGGGTATGAAATAAAGTTACTAAGTACATAGTTATGATGAGCAAGAGTGCCTCTTCCAAATTGTGAAATTCATGGCCCCAGGGTCAGGGGTTCTGGTGTTAGGGCGGGGCTCTATTGATTATATAGTGAAAATGCATTAATTCTTTGAAAATCTTCTTCTCTGCTCCTGGGTATCAAATAAAGGAACTAAGTACATAGTTATGATGAGCAAGAGTGCCTCTTTCAAAATTGTGAAATTCATGGCCCCAGGGTCAGGGGTTCTGGTGTTAGGGTGGGGCTCTATAGATTATATAGTGAAAAAGCATTAATTCTTTGAAAACCTTCTTCTTTGCTCCTGCGTATTAAATAAAGTAACTAAGTACATAGTTATGATGAGCTAAAGTGCCTTTTTAAAAATTGTGAATTTCATGGCCCCAGGGTCAGGGGTTCTGGTGTTAGGGTGGGGCTCTATTGATTATATAGTGAAAATGCATTAATTCTTTGAAAATCTTCTTCTCTGCTTCTGGATATTTAATAAAGTAACTAAGTACATAGTTATGATGAGCAAGAGTGCCTCTTTCAAAATTTTGAAATTCATGGCCCCAGGGTCAGGGGTTCTGGTGTTAGGGCGGGGCTCTATAGATTATATAGTGAAAAAGCATTAATTCTTTGAAAACCTTCTTCTTTGCTCCTGCGTATTAAATAAAGTAACTAAGTACATAGTTATGATGGGCTAAAGTGCCTTTTTAAAAATTGTGAATTTCATGGCCCCAGGGTCAGGGGTTCTGGTGTTAGGGTGGGGCTCTATTGATTATATAGTGAAAATGCATTAATTCTTTGAAAATCTTCTTCTCTGCTACTGGAGATTATTTTAACAAACTAAGTGCATGATTATGATAGACAAGGATGCCTCTTCCAAAATTTTTAAATATATCGCCTCAGTTTTGGGGGTTCTTGAGGAGGGGGGGGGGGCTCTATTGATTATATAGTGAAAAAGCATTAATTCTATTAATTAATCATTAATTAATCCTGTCGGCTCCTTAGTGTTGAGCTGATAAATAAATTGCATAGCTATGATAAAAATGGGAGCTTCGAACAGAATTTTTAAATCTTGTGGTCCTTGGGTCAGGGGTTCTGGCATAACGAGGGGGGGGGGGGGGGGGCTTTTGATAATATAGTGGAAAAGTGTTAATTCTTTGAAGTCCATAGTAATGATGATGAGGGTAACTCTTCCAAATTTGTAAATTTCTTGACCCTTGGTCTTGGGTTCTGGTGTTAGGGTAAGGCTTTGTTGAATCTGTAGTGAAAATGCATTGTACCTGTGAAATTCTTCTCTGCTTCTTGGCATATCGGAGGCAAACTGAGTAAAAGTTTAAATGATATGAGTAAGCGTATTTCTACCAGATTTTTAAACATCTGAACCATTTGTCTAAGCATTCTGGTCCTGGGCAGGGCTCTATTAATTTGTATTCTATTGAGAGAAGTTATTCCCCTTTTCCATTCACCTTTGATAATTAATCACTGTAAATAATGTATTTGAAAGGTTAATAGAATAAGATAATTATGCAAGAATGTTTATCGTATAATTAAAAAAGTACTTTCTTAGTTTTAATAATCAGGTAGACCTGTAAGTAATAGATAAATAAAAATGAGACAAAAATAACTTATCTTATTAAAAGTTCTTCAAAGACCATAAGAGAGGTCAATGCTAGAGGTCTTAATATGGGTTTATAAATAGTACAGAAGCACTAATAGTTTGTTAATAGGCTGCATGGTGATTAGTGTTAAGTGGGGGACAGATTAGAACTCAATTTCTGAGTTGATAGTGAATACTAGACTAATTATTTTGTTGATCCTGATCTTCCTACTTCTCTTGTTTTTGTTCCTCTGCTCTGCCTCTGGGTATTAAGTAATCAAAGTAAGCATGCTAACCTTATAGTTATGATGAGCAATAGTGCCTCTTTCAACATTGTGAATTACATGGCCTCTGGTTTAAAATACGAACCAAATTCAATTGTTGGAAAGTTGTTACACAATACTCAGGTGACCTATAAGGCCTGTGGGCCTCTTGTTTTTCTTCTGTAGTCATTTTAAGTTTCTTAGGGCGTCATTACTACATCTAAATCAAACTGAACTGCTCTCTGGTGCGCCCTAACGTCACCAAACGTCGTCATTTTTCGTGTGTCACGTTTACCACTTTCCTATTTCAAATGCTCAGAAAACTGCCAAAAATTAAGCAAATGCCTTGATATTTTATGAAAAGACGAAATAATAGATAGTGGATTAAAAATAGGATAATTTTTACTCCAACCTTTTTAGGTCACCTGAGTCACTCAGGTGACCTATTGCTATCTGTTTTTGTCTGTCATCGTTCGTCGTACGTCGTTCGTCGTCAATCGGTCGTAAACTTTTGAACATTTTTAGCTTCTTCTCTGGAACCACTGAACCAATTTCAACCAATTTTGGCATATAGCATCTATGGGTGAAGGGGAGTAAAAATTGTGAAATTCATGGCCCCTGCCCCCCTGGGGCCTGAGGGATGGGGCTAAAACCATCAAAATTAATACAATCTTTAAAAATCTTCTTCTTTACTCCTGGACATCAAGCAGTCAAACTGTTGGCATGATTGTAATAAGCATTGAGCCTTCTACCAAAATTGTGAAATTCATGTCCCCAGGGTCAGGGGTTCTGGTGCTAGGGCAGGGCTCTAATGATTATATAGTGAAAATGCATTAATTCTTTAAAAATCTTCTCCCCTGCTCCTGGATATTAAGCCGATGAATTAAGTACATAGTTATGATGAGCAAGAGTGCCTCTTCCAAAATTGTGAATTTCATGGCCCCTGGGTCAGGGGTTCTGGTGTTAAGGCGGGGCTCTAATGAATATATAGTGAAAATGCATTAATTCTTTAAAAATCTTCTCCTCTGCTCCTGGGTATTAAGCCGATGAATTAAGTACATAGTTATGATGAGCAAGAGTGCCTCTTCCAAAATTGTGAATTTCATGGCCCCTGGGTCAGGGGTTCTTGTGTTAGGGTGGGGCTCTAATGAATATATAGTGAAAATGCATTAATTCTTTGAAAATCTCCTCTGCTCCTGGGTATTAAGCCGATGAATTAAGTACATAGTTATGATGAGCAAGAGTGCCTCTTCCAAAATTGTGAATTTCATGGCCCCAGGGTCAGGGGTTCTTGTGTTAGGGTGGGGCTCTAATGATTATATAGTGAAAATGCATTAATTCTTTGAAAATCTTCTCCTCTGCTCCTGGGTATTAAGCCGATGAATTAAGTACATAGTTATGATGAGCAAGAGTGCCTCTTCCAAAATTGTGAATTTCATGGCCCCTGGGTCAGGGGTTCTTGTGTTAGGGTGGGGCTCTAATGAATATATAGTGAAAATGCATTAATTCTTTGAAAATCTCCTCTGCTCCTGGGTATTAAGCCGATGAATTAAGTACATAGTTATGATGAGCAAGAGTGCCTCTTCCAAAATTGTGAATTTCATGGCCCCTGGGTCAGGGGTTCTGGTGTTAAGGCGGGGCTCTAATGAATATATAGTGAAAATGCATTAATTCTTTAAAAATCTTCTCCTCTGCTCCTGGGTATTAAGCCGATGAATTAAGTACATAGTTATGATGAGCAAGAGTGCCTCTTCCAAAATTGTGAATTTCATGGCCCCTGGGTCAGGGGTTCTTGTGTTAGGGTGGGGCTCTAATGAATATATAGTGAAAATGCATTAATTCTTTGAAAATCTCCTCTGCTCCTGGGTATTAAGCCGATGAATTAAGTACATAGTTATGATGAGCAAGAGTGCCTCTTCCAAAATTGTGAATTTCATGGCCCCAGGGTCAGGGGTTCTTGTGTTAGGGTGGGGCTCTAATGATTATATAGTGAAAATGCATTAATTCTTTGAAAATCTTCTCCTCTGCTCCTGGGTATTAAGCCGATGAATTAAGTACATAGTTATGATGAGCAAGAGTGTCTCTTCTGAAATTGTGAATTTCATGGCCCCTCTTGGTGAGGGGTTCCATGTGGGGGGGGGGGGGGCTTTTTTTCTATACAGTGAAAATAAATTAATGCTTTGAAAATCTTCTCTGCTCCTGGGTATTGAGCTGATGAACTAAGTACATAGTTATGAAGAGCTAGAGTGCCTCTTCCAAAATTGTGAATTTCATGGCCCCTTGGTCAGGGGTTCCATGTTGGGGGGAGGGGGCTTATTTATTATATACTGAAAATAAATTAATGCTTTGAAAATCTTCTCCTCTGCCCCTTGGTATTAATTAAACAAACTAAATACATAGTTATGATGAGAAAGGATGCCTCTTCCAAAATTTTGAATTTCATGGCCCCTGGGTCAGGTGTTCTTGAGCTTGAGTGGGGTTCTATTGATTAATTAGCAAAATGCATGGATACTTTGAAAGACTTCTCCTCTGCCCCTGAGTACTAAGCAAACAAGCTAAATGCAATAATATCAATGTAAATACATGTACCGGTATTAAATTTAATTATAAGTAAATGTGCTTTTTCTTTGCTTGTGGGTATCTAGGAGGCAGAGTACACAATTGTAATGTGAAGCAAATGAGAGTTACTCCCCTTTGCTAAATATTGTTAATCAAGAAATCCTTGTATATAATTTAATTAACAGGTTATTTGATTGAATGAGAATACAAGAAAGAATGTTTTATATATATATTAGGGATGTCAACGAGTACCCGGTTAACCGGGTGCTCGATCGAACGTCCGAGTATCGAATACTAAAAATGGTACTCGGTTACTCGGATGTGTGTTTTTTCTTATTTCAAAGTACATATTTTTATCAAAAACTTATCCAAAAAATAACTTTAATATGCATACGGTAATTAGCGTGTCGTCATTTACACCTGTAAAACACCCCTTACTGCCTGTGGCAGTGTGTATACAGTAATTAGTGACCAATCACCTGGTACACAGCTGTTCTCACCTTTTGTGGTCCTTAATTTTTGGATGGCTTCAATGATTGTTTTCAGTGAACATCGTTTAAATATGGTCCATTATCTTCAAATCATTTAAAAATTATTACGTTAATATACGGCACCGAAATCGGACATGCTGGTACCCACTTCAACAGTTGAGAAATATTTAGAAATAATTAAAGATTCAAAAAATATTGAAAGTCAGTTTGCGTAATAAGTTTAGTGTATACGGGGGAAACAACCAACAAATGAAATGATATTAGATTAGCGATCCCAACAATGTCCGTTCCTTCTCTGTCGCTAGTCTAATCACCACAAACCTGCTTAACAGATTGTCCTCCTTTTGCGTTGATGAAATAGATCCTAAAGAAGAACTGTAAACAATTTTTTTCTTTCTAATTTTTGATGTACTAATTGTGTCTTTTGTGTTTATTTGATAAATAAATGTAGTACAAAAAAATCATCCCCGTTGGACTCAATGTTTATATACATTTATAAACATGATAAAAACAGCTTTGGAGTTTATTATAGCTTAACGGGGCTCAAGAAAATTAACACACTTGTATTTATATTTATATTTTTACCGAGTACCCGGTTACTCGATCGGAAAAACGTCCGAGTAACCGATTATCAAAAATTGACCGATTTGACATCCCTAATATATATAGAAACAAAATAAAAATGAATGTTTGGTTTAAATGAGCAGAGTATGCTCAAAGTCAGATTCTTGCCTGGAAAGCAGTATAAAAGATTGACATAAAGATTATTCATATATTTAGCAAAAGTTGTACTTGTTCACAGTATGTATACTCTGTGGTGATCTAAGTTAGTGTCACTTGTAGAGGAGTTCTGGTTGACATGAGACTGGATGTTGTTTTATACTTTATCAAAGTGAACAAAGAATCACAGAGAGCCAGGGTGACTTATTGTAATTAGTGACAAGTGAAAAATAGCCGTGTTGTGTACCCAAGTCTGTGTGTACTGAATTGTAGCACTAGGCAAGTGACAAAAAAATATCTGTATATATTGAATACCTTACACAATAGGCAAGTGTTCTTTGTATATTTTGCATTCATTATCATCCCTGTAAGACTTGGGAAAACCAAGTATGATCCAAAGGAGATCAATTGGGTCTAGCACATTACAATAAGCAAGGGTATTTTTACCAGATTTTTAGCTCACTTCGACAAAGTGGAGATGAGCTCATGCTATACCCCCGACGTTGGCGTCCCGGTTAAAGTTTTAGGAGCAAGTCCACTCCCAAGTAACTATAAGCCCTACCTGAACCAAACTTGCATGGATGATGCATCTAGGGATGGACACTACCACACTTGCTTTGGATGCTGGATCTGACCTAGATTTTCCAGATGAGTGACCAGGTTAAAGTTTTTGGAGCAGGTCTTTTTCCAAGTAACTATAAGTCCTACTTAAACCAAACTTGCATGGATATTGATCTTGGGATGTACACTAACTAGAAAAAAATATGATGTGAGATTTGCCTTACTCACAGATAACATTTGTCGAGGTGAGCTTCATAATCTTTGGTTACCTATGTTTGAAATTCTTGGGCAACTTTGCTTCGTCTATCAGTTAATTTTGTTTTATACTTCCATGGATCCTTTAGTGTTGTATTATACTCAGGTGACCGTTAAGGCCCTTGGGCCTCTTGTTTATTTAATACTTTTATTTCGAAATAATACTCGTGTATTCGCTAATGAAACCCTGGTTTTTTTATTGTGTGCCGTAGGACCGTACCCTGTGCATATGCCAGCATAATAAAATCTTTATTTTTGTTAATATTTTATCAAAAAAATTAAGATGCACTTAAATATGATGAATAAACATTTGCTGAAAATTTCAGCTTAGTGTGCCCATTATTTTTCAAGAAAAACACTTTGTCCATGATTTTACCGGACAACCCTCGTATATTGTAATCTCTCCCTTCTGTTTTCAGTTGCTGGTGTACATTATAATCTCTCTCTTCTGCTTTTAGTTGCTGGTGTACATTGTAATCTCTCACTTCTGTTTTCAGTTGCTGGTGTACATTATAATCTCTCTTCTGCTTTTAGTTGCTGGTACACATTATCATCTCTCACTTCTGTTTTCAGTTGCTGGTGTACATTGTAATCTCTCCCTTCTGTTTTCAGTTGCTGGTGTAATTACAATCTCTCACTTCTGTTTTCAGTTGCTGGTGTACACTATAATCTCTCTTCTGGTTTCAGTTGCTGGTATACATTATAATCTCTCACTTCTGCTTTCAGTTGCTGGTGTACATTGTAATCTCTCCCTTCTGTTTTCAGTTGCTGGTGTAATTACAATCTCTCACTTCTGTTTTCAGTTGCTGGTGTACATTATAATCTCTCACTTCTGCTTTCAGTTGCTGGTGTACATTGTAATCTCTCCCTTCTGTTTTCAGTTGCTGGTGTAATTACAATCTCTCACTTCTGTTTTCAGCTGGTATACATTATAATCTCTCACTTCTGCTTTCAGTTGCTGGTGTACATTAAAATCTCTCTCTTCTGTTTTCAGTTGCTGGTGAAATTATAATCTCTCACTTCTGCTTTCAGTTGCTGGTGTACAGCTGGGAGATGAGAAATGTGAAGTCTGTGAGATGATTTTGAACTATTTGGATGAAGCTTTGAAGGAAAACAAAACAGTTGCTGCTGTTGAGGCTCTGCTAGATCAAGTCTGTAACTTCCTGCCCACTACATTTAAAGAAGAGGTAAACACAGCTCTCCTTGTTTTCTGTATCTACAAGATGCTGTTTTTATCTAAATTATTATATTTTCTTATTTTAGCAAAAGTTTACAAAAGCATTTATTTAAATGCATATTTTTTTTCTAAAAGGTGGAGCACTTGTATATCAAAGCTGATATTCCCTATGCACTTGTATTAATTTTTATACCCCCACTCTGGAGGAGAGGGGGGTATACTGTTTTACCCTTGTGTGTCTGTTTGTCTAGCTGTCTGTGTGTCTGTCCGTAACAAATTTTCGTCGCTGTTTTCTCAGCAACTACTCATCACAGATGATTGAAATTTTAACACACTCTTTGTTTAGGCATGCCATATGGTGGGATTCATTTTTGTGCGAATCCGATGTCAACTTCCTGTTAATCTGTGTGTCTGTCCGTACCATACATAACAAATTTTGATTGCAGTTTTCTCAGCAATTAATTATCGCAGATGCTTGAAATTTTAGCACACTCTTTGTTTAGACATGCTATATGGTGGGATTCATTTTTGTGCGAATCTGATGTCAACTTCCTGTTTATCCATGCGTCTGTCTGTACCATACATAACAAATTTTGGTCGCAGTTTTCTTAACAATTACTAATCGCAGATGCTTGTAGGTTTAGCACACTCTTTGTTTAGGCATGTCATATGGTGGGATACATTTTTGTGAAAATACGATGTCAACTTCCTGTTTATCAGTGCGTCTGTCTGTTCCATACATAACAAATTTTGGTTGCAGTTTTCCCAGCAACTATTCATCGCAGTTGCTTGAAATTTTAGCACACTCTTTGTTCAGGCATGCCATATGGTGGGATTCATTTTTGTATCTTTCTGATGTCAACTTTCTGTTTATCCATGCATCTGTCTGTACCATACATAACAAATTTTGGTCGCAGTTTTCTCAGCATCTACTTATCGCAGATGCTTGAGAGTTTAGCACACTCTTTGTTTAGGCATGTCAGAATTTATTTTTATATGAATCTGATGTCAACTTCCTGTTTATCCCTGTGTCTGTCCATAAATGAACTTGTGTATTTACATCAGAGCGGGGGTATTTTTAGTGAGCATTGGCTCACAGACTTCTTGTTAGGTCACTCTTTGTAAATACATGTTAATGCATAAGCTAAATCTTGAGCAATGGCCACCATAGGAGAATTTTAAAAATGATTAAGATGAACACTTCACTTTTTTAGTATAGAATGATACTCATTAAAAAAACTAAAATGTTACCATTGTAGTGCGACACACTGGTGGCTCAGTACGGACCTGTCATTGCTCAGCTGATTTCTCAGCTCATAGATCCCAAAAAGATTTGTGAGGTATGACACAGTTTTGGTGATTCTTTACTGTAAAGGTGGAATTGTTTGGGGGGGATTCTCAAATTTCACATTAAGTAAGATTTTGCAAAACTTATCACTATGCCAAAGGCTTCAAGAAAGACTTTATACTAAACAACAAACCAAAATGTTTTGTTAATTCTTAACTTCCAAAAAAAAATAACCTACACATTAAAGCTTTGTTCTGCAGAAATCGCAAAATTTTACCCTTTAAAAATATCCATGTCTACAGCATTGTGTTTTGCACTGAAACTTTGAATGCAGTTTGACTTTCCATTTTTCCTGTATTACTGTATTTGTAGGAGATAAAACTGTGCCCTTCTAAATCTCACATGAAACAGTCACCCATCTACCATCTGATGAAGAAACTGAAACCTGCCCCCAAAGACACCAAGTTGTACTTTAAAAGTAAACAACATCTACTGGGTGAGAAAGAGTGCACATTTGGACCAGCTTACTGGTGTGCCAGCCCTGAAAATGCCAAGAAGTGTCAGGTATTTCATTATATTGAAGATGGACTTGGTTGTCTTGATGCAAGAGTTCATTCTGAATCAATGGAGAATTCTTAGAGATAATTGGAGTATTATTATTGGAATAATTTGTCCATTTTCATTTTCTTTTTAATGGTATGTAATCTGAAAAAAGAGACACCCTTATGAACTGCATATTTAACTTTTAATAAAAAAAAGTTGGAAAGAATAAAATACTGATGAATTTAGGAACACCAAAAATGCTTCAATATCTAGTTGAATGAATTATTTTAATCCACACTATTTAGAGAGATATCAAATTTGTATAGAACAGAGGATTATGATTTACATACAAATAATAAGTGTCTTTACTTTATGATTCTTTTTTAATGCTTAGGCTGAGGAACATTGCAGAACTAAAGTATGGAATCGCAATTAAGGCAAATGAACGAGACGTATGGACAAGATGAGATTAATAGAAGATTTTGCAAGTAAAGATCGGAAATCATAACCATTTTAAAATCCATGTAATGGTTGAAGATGTGATATCATTTTGTGATTGCCATTTTGTGTATATATGTTCTTGTAGATTCATAATATTTTCTAAGAAACCAGTACATAGTGCACTTTTTCATTGTTTGTATTTTATTGGAGTGAATTGTTATTACATGTATTGAGTTCAGTTTACTGTACTGTAAAGGTATATATACAGCACTGTAAGGTAAATATACAGGATTATTAATATACAGCATTCCAAAGATTACATACACAACTTCCATCATAAATAGAAGACAGTGAACCATTGTGGAAAAAAAAATTTTACTGAAAAACCGGGTAGACTGATGATATATCATATATAGCCATCTGAACATGAAATTATTGTACAAAATAATTTTTTTTCTTTTGACAGTAAAGGTTTATATTTTTTTGTTATCACAGATATTTTAATATCAGAATATTGATAGTATTGAGTAAATGATTGTATATTTTACCCCAGTTTCTTCAAATGATGTTGAGTCAATGTGCTGTGAACGATTCTGAATTCACCCTCTTCATTCATCTGTGAAATACATGTATACCAGTATAATGGGTAATTTTGGCATTGTCCAATTTTTGGCATAATTTTGCAGATCAATGAACTAATAAGATTTAATTTTATTTAACCAGAAAATTAAATTGAGAGTGTTAAATTGCTTTTTAGTAAATCATGAATATTTCAAATCAGAAATTACCCATTAACAAAGAGTGTGAAATGTTTATCTAAATCTAGTTTGCCATTTTATTGCTTTAATATTGTATCCCATCTCTTTCAAATCTGCATAAATTTTTATTTATATGAATATTCTGATACCATTCTTTCATCAGTTGTATATATGAGTGCTATTAAAAAGGGCAGGTACCCTTATTATATTGAATAGAATTGCTGAACAATTGAAAAAAAATATGATAATCCCTAATTGTAATTATTAACCATTATTTTCAGTATATTGATGAAGTTATACATGTACTAATTTTTTATCATCTATATCTGTGTATTTAGTGCCTATTGAAACTTTATAATGATTTCAGGATCTGTCTTACATTCCAATTACTGGTAATACAAGATATTGACAAGATTATGATCTGAATTGTAGACATGTTTTTCAAAAGTTTTACTAAATTTGCATTGCAACCCTTAAACGATTTACCGTTTACTGAGACAAATTCAGGTACTAATGTTGAATGTTGTTCTAAATTTCAAATTGTTTTAGCATAAAATCTTCACTATTAAATCTTTTAAGTTTTAACATGTTCATTTTTTCATGCAATTACTTGTTATACAAACTTCAAGACACATTCTCTAAGATATCCATTCTTCAGCTGAATGAAGTACACAATTACTGGTGCCTGTGCTGTGACACTTGGGTACAATGGGCAAGAAAAGAGATTTCAGGTTCCTACTCAGAATTATATGAGCTTTGGTCCAAGATACATACTACAGATACTGTGAGTACCGAGCTCACAAAATGATATCCGCCACTCCCATCATGGCAAAGTCCATTTTTTGCTATTGGAAACCCCAAATGTCTGTCTAGAACATAAATTAGGAGGTGCATAGTGGCATGAATATAATAGAGATCTTGTGAAAATATTAAATTTGATTCAGTGGGACATCCATAGGAGGGGTTGCAGAAAAGAGATGGGTATCCACAATGTTATATAAAGATTAGCAGTGTTCCCATTTTCTTTGGGTTACCCTATTTATCTGCCCAATAGAAAAATAAAATAGGAGGTGTACAATGGCACTATGTAATAAAGATTCTGTGAAAGTCTGAATAAATGTTATTCATTGGTATAGAAGGAGTTGCACATACGAGATGGATACCCCCAAAAGTTACAGACATACTGAAGGATGGACATCCCCATCAGTATATACCCCCCACTTTTCAAACAGGGATATTATAACAATATGCACTTGTTTTGTAAAACATGCAGTTTTACCTATGCAAATAAGAGTCATGAATACTAGGGCCAGTTCATTGCTACAGTTGACAAAACATTTCTCTGCACTTTGCTGTCACAGCACAAATACATCAATTCTTCAAAATATTTTCCAATACACCAGATTATTTTACAGCCAGATTTTAATGGAAAAGGTGACCTCAATGTTCAGCATATTAAACTACTTATTTTGATGCTTTGCAGCATATAAATTTTTGTTCTTCTAAAAAGATGATCATATTTTTAAAAAAATCCCAGAAAGTTTTGCTTTGAATCTAGAAAAGACAGCTAAGAAAATCAATTTGCAATTCTTTAATTCATTATGAATGGGTGAAACGTATTCATATATAAACTTGCTAAATATCTATCAGTAACAAAGAGGAAACAATGAAACCAACACCAAACAAAAAATAAAACATTTTTTAGAGATCTTCAACAAAAGGAATGCTCTAACAGTAAACTTAACCAGGAAAAAACTCAATACCAGTAAATAAATATTGCTTAGAATATTCTATATTAATAATAACACAACCAAACATACATGCATCTGAGAGGATATGTGTGTGTAGAAATATATATAAACTAAATATACAATAGTTGTTTTAATACATACAAAATATTCTTTAACATTTAATTGTCATTGTAAATTCTTGCAGAAATGCATCATAAATTTTACATTTACAAAATTGCACCTTCAAATAATGAGCATTTCTGGGGAAAAAAATGACAAGAAAGAGTATTAGTAAAGCTGGAAGCTCAGTGCAGTTAATGCTGCTCTCCATAAATCTATGTAAAAGTATGGCATCTGTAGAGGAGCGGTAAGGAATTCATGTAACAAAGTCTTCAAATATTTGAATAACATGGATTTCGCATTTCATAATAAATAATGTAAAAGATAACAATAAAAAATATATTGGGATCAAGTACAATTGGTACAAGATGGATTTCAAATAAATGGGTTTCTTATTTAATCATTATGGAGAAGGCTGCATGAAAAAGATTTATACAAAACAGTCTGTTGTTTTCCTTATTAAATAAATGTGTATGAGGATAAGATATTGCAACAAGTAATCATTATGCCTTTCTATAGCAGGGCCCAAAAGGGTGGGGGATATTAGTAACAGAATTAATACTTAATACATGCAAATACATAATATGACAATTCATTCAGCAAAAACATTGTCTGATTTGATTTTTCCTTCTCGCTATTTTTTTTTCCCTACAGTCTTCATATTGCATTTTTTATATCCTCTTTGTTATGTTCACCAACAGAGATCAACAGAGATAATTCCGTCTAGCTGAAAAACATTTTGAAATGTACTTCTAAAGAAAAGATTACATTCAGAAGCAAATCCAACTAAGATGTGAATGCCAGATTACTTGATTAGGATTGATAATGATGCATTATGATAGCCAAGGAGAGGTATATACAACATAGCCACAAAAGTCTGGTGGGCAGACCCACATACTGTTATATCTGAGTTCTCTATAATTCTCCATGTGGTGCATTTGAAAAAGACGCCTAGCACAAGTTGCAGGTATAGCACCTAGATCACCTTATCAAAAAAAAATTGTGACAATTCACCTGATCATAAACAATATAAACCAAGGTTTTAAATATTCAAACATTTTGACACAATTCTATTGTTAAGGCACAACAATTTACTTTTAACAGAACATAATTCAAACAATTAACAGTTAAAATAAAGAGTCATTTTAAACTAAGAAAACAATGCTTGGAAAAATCTGTGAAGCACCAACTTGTATTTGTAGGAAGACAAGCAGCAAGGTCAGTGTTTAAGGCACATACACTCCTGTATGGCTATAAAAAACATAAAGAACCCAAAAAAAGAACAATATCTATACTTAAAAAAAACACACACACACACACATTCATAATAAGTCATAAATCATTCCTCTAGCTGTAACTACGCATTGGTTTCTTGACATGGTATTCTTTAAAAAGTGCTCTCTCTGGTAAACATGAAACAAGAGGCCCATGGGCCACATCGCTCACCTGAGCACATTGGCTAGGCAAAAGCACAATCAGTTCAGTAGTGAAAAGACCGGGGGGGGGGGGGGGGGGGGGGGGCTTGAATTTTAAACTACCTGATGATGCTTCCATGTCAATATAACAAATGGCTTTGTTGTACTTGAGAAGATTTTTTAAAAAAAATTCCCATATATTCCTTTGTAAAAATTTGATCCCTCATTGTGGCTCCTCCCTATCCCAGGGGTCATCATTTGAACAAACTTGAATCTACACTACCTGAGGATGCTTCCATATCAATATGACTAAACATAGCTTTTCTGTTCTTCAGAAGAAGATATTTTCCTTTATATTTCTATGTAAAACTTTGATCCTTCATTGTGGCCCCGCCCTACCCCCGGGGGTCATGGTTTGAACAAACTTATTTGAATCTACACTACCTGAGGATGCTTCCATATAAATATGACTCATCATGGCTTAGCTGTTCTTGAGAAGAAGATTTTTAAAAATTTTTCCTATATATTTCTATGTAAAACTTTGATCCTCCATTGCAGCCCAGCCCTACCCCCAGGGGTCATGATTTGAACAAATTTGAATCTACACTACCTCAGGATGCTTCCATATAAATATGACTCATCATGGCTTTGCTGTTCTTGAGAAGAAGATTTTTAAAAATTTTTCCTATATATTTCTATGTAAAACTTTGATCCTCCATTGCGGCCCCACCCTACCCCCGGGGGTCATGATTTGAACAAACTTGAATCTACACTACCTCAGGATGCTTCCATATAAATATGACTTATCATGGCTTTGCTGTTCTTGAGAAGAAGATTTTTAAAGATTTTTCCTATATATTTCTATGTAAAACTTTGATCCTCCATTGCAGCCCCGCCCTACCCCCGGGGGTCATGATTTGAATAAACTTGAATGTACACTACCTAAGGATGCTTTCACGTGAGTTTCATCTTTCCTGGCCCTATGGTTCTTGGGAAGAAGATTTTTAAATGATTCCATTATTTTTTCAGTAATTCCTAATTATCTCCCCTTGAAAGAGGGCGTGGCCCTTCATTTGAACAAACTTGAATCCCCTTTACCCAAGGATACTTTGTGGCAAGTTTGGTTGAAATTGGCCTAGTGGTTCTTGAGAAGAAGTCGAAAATGTGAAAAGTTTACAGACAGACGGACGCCGGACAAAATGTGATCAGAAAAGCTCACTTGAGCTTTCAGCTCAGGTGAGCTAAAAATACAGCACATGTAAATTCATATCAAGCTCAAAGCTATCCACAATGATGTAAACAAATAAACTATGTACTATGTAAAAGGTTAATAATCAAACATAAAGCTATCTCCTTGGATTTTTATAGTTTACATTACATTACATTACATATAGTTTACATTATTGGAAGTAGGTTCATACAAAATAATAATCTTCTTATTCAAATACATTTAAAAACCCTCTATTTACAAGAACATTAAGTTTTATATATAAATATGTAACTCAAATGCATCTATGCAGGGAATATGTGAGATTCTAGAGGAATGCTTCTATCTGTCCTTGAGAACATGCTCCAACCATACATCTACTTTCTATCTGTCCTTGAGGGCATGCTTCAACCATACATCTACTTTCTATCTGTCCTTGAGGGCATGCTTCAACCAGACATCTACTTTCTATCTGTCCTTCAGGGCATGCTCCAACCAGTCATCCTCCACATCATCATCAGAATGGTCATCTGACTGAAGCAGTCGGGTGTATTTAATCTCATTGTCTTGTTTAGGATGACAACATTTCTGTAGGAGGAAGAACACAGGACACCAGCCAACAGACAGAATAGAAAGTGCTCGAAACAATATACGAATGCCATACTGATCATACATGACACCAGACACCAAGCTCCCAACTCCAAAACCAACACCAAAATAAGCAGAAGACAAAACGGACCTGATTGCTCTGTCTATTGTAGGGCTAACTCGGAAAGCTTTGTTGCTCAGCACAACAAACCACATCATGGTGTGGGTCACTGCATGGAAAATTTCAACAGGAAGGACAGCCCAAGGGGTCCACAGGTATGAATAATAAAGCAGACGACCAGCAAGGCACAATAATGAAATGCTGATCATTCCACCATTACCTAATACCTTGACCAATCGTGAACTAAAAACCAGAACCACCAATTCAGATAGACTTGCAACCAGTATGCATAAACCCATGGTGATTTCTTTCCCTTTCAAGTCCTGAATCAACCAAAAAAGGAAGTTGCTATGGGATGCAAAAATAAAACCCATGATGACTAAGGTCAGCATGTATAGTAGGCCTCCACATGTGCAGCAAACTTTTCTCAATGCTGTTCCTAACTTACTCTTGTACTTAGATTTAGGGGCACTTGGAACAGGGTATAGAAAACTTATCAGAAATGTGATCCCAAGGAGAGCTCCAAATGCATAAAAATGAAACATGAATGGGTAAACTTTTAAATCAAAGAGGCATGTAGTGTTGTCAACCACTAAAGTCACAATGACAGGGAAGAACATGTTTGCTAAGGAGCTCCATATTCTGTGCTTTCCATACTTTTCCATGTCATCAATTTGCTCTAAAAATTCAAACCATGAGTCATCTGCAATTTTTTCAACAGGTGAACAGAAAGCTTCACCAACAATGAGTATCACTAGCACAACAATGAAGAGATTTTGCTTGGCTTGTTCTAGCTTTTCATGAACTGCGTCCCTCATATTTTCCCAGGATATTTCTCTTCTCCGTCGGACTGACACACCGTATCTGCTCAAAAAATCTCTCATCACAGCTTTTTCATCTTCAGAAAGATATTTCTTCAGTGAATCTACAGCCTCTTTATCCTCTGCTAACTTTAGATATTGTTTAAAAATGTCATCTGCTGTGAGGACCTTCACCTTATCCTTATTCATACCAATGCCCACTAAAATGTCCTTGACCTGGTTAAGAACTTCATCCTCATCATTCTTCTTCTCTTTAGTTGGAACAGTTCCTACAACAGTACTACTCACTGTTGCTGGAGAGACCGTAGTATATGGGAATGAAGGACTGATTGTAGAATTCTTTGGCATTAAATTGTGTGTCACTGCCAAGCTATGTGTGCTGTTAATATGAATAGGCGATTCTGTTGTTGGCAATGGTTGCGAATTTTTTTGAGTTGATTGTGAGTCACAACTCTTCACTGATGGACTAATGTTTGTAAGCAATGTTAGAGGTAAGTACGTAACAGCCATCATGAACAAGGCTATCATCAAAACTAATCTTCTTCTGTGAAACTGAATTGCACATTTTGACCACAGAGGAGCAAATATGAAGGTCGAAAATGTTTTTGCTCCAATTATAAATCCTGTTTGTGTTGCTGTTAGTCCCAAAATTCTTAGATATATTGTTAGAAATGGAAGAAGACATGATTTGCTGGCTGAAAAGAAGAAGCTGAATAGGTTGCAGAGGAAGAGGGATCGTGTAAGGTTAACTGGTTCAGTAATTTCAACTGGCATGTTGTTATTTGGTTCTGGAATGGTCTTTCTATTTCACATCAAAATTTTTGGCTGTTCAGGTCCTGCAAAACATAATGAAAATTTTGAACCTCATATACGTGCTACAAATAACAAAATGAGAAACAGGTATACACCAGAGGTATATACTATATATATAAATGAATGTCAAATATGACATTCTAACTTGTCAGTTTTTTGCTGCACTTTTAGATCTATTTACATCTTTATAGAAGCTATAAAGCAGGCAACACCTGCGTTCCTTGGAACATTCTAGTTATATTTATTATTCATCGTGCATTACAAGATATATTGTTGGGTAATTTCGACTGCTGCTCCAATATACATGAAATAATATGCATCATCTCTAATATAAAAAAAAAATATATAAATTCAAATATTCTGTTTTAAAACATTAAAGATAGATGTAGAAAAAAACTAAATGTGCCCAATTTGAAGACATTGAGTGCACTATCGATGCCTATTTACTGTTTTGTAAAGACATTCTACAAATGTACATGCACACACAGGTATGTTAAACGCATGTAAACCAAACAGATGAGTTTTTACTGTTGTAGAACTAGTTTCTACTGAGAGTACATGTACATAATACTCATCCTAATTTTTTTTTATACCATCATGAATTCTTTCAGGTAAATAGACATATTGCTGCTGATTGTATTATGTCATTTCTCATTGGTCGAAGTTACCATCTAAAGCCGTGTTCATGCAGGGGTAACTTTGGCTAATTTCTGTTCAGCTGATTTGCATTAGCTTGTAAAGAACTAAATACTAACTAAATTAAAAAGGTATGAATTGCAGTTGCAAAAACATATTTGATAAATGTTACGCCAGGGATATCCATTGATTATCTTTCTATACAAATATTTTCAGAGGAGATAATTTCTCCTATTGGCTAAAAAAAAAAAAACTTGTCCGTATTTTTTGGGTCATAAATCCTCTTCTTGGATATCATAATGTTCTAGTAAACAATTTAATTGCGCTCATGGAAATAAAATTATTATCAACACAATGCATTAAAAATGTGTTTTGTTAATTCAAAAAATGGATGTACGTACACAATAATAGGCTTAGCTGCAGAACTGTAGCATTATGGTTTTATATTTTAGTCTTTGACCATAACACTACAGATCGCATAATGTAAACTCTCTTGTTGAGAATTTGTTGTCGGAAGGCATAACAAGTTTATTGGTCTGTAGAGACGACTATAAACAGTTAGGAGGTGGATAAAAAAACAGGTTGGTTATAGAATATGTCTAGAATTAGGGAATGAAAGGTCGTTGATTGACCAATGCTGGAAAGTGGCAAAATACATCACCAAAGTGTGCAGAAAATCTTGCACCGTAAATTGCACTTTATTTACATCTGTAGATTATGGTCTTATATTTTAGTTCAAAGACTAACATATATAAGACCATAATGCTACAGTTCTGCAGACATAAAAGGCTATAAACAAATATTTCAACATATTTATGAACAGTTGAAATTTCCCAGGTAGTTGAAGATACACCACCCTACTCTTTATAGAACAGAGGGAGAAAGACAGTTACATGTATGCACTTGATATGTCAGTATATTGGCCTTGCTGCCATATTGCCTACTGCTAGGTGTAATCTGAGTAGCTTAGATAATTCATTTAGATATTTTATCAACAATTGCCATTACAGCAGCCTGCATTAGTGCACACAATTAAATGTTTATGATAAACATGTAGATCTATTAAATTGCATTACGATCTGCATATTTTGTCCTAGCCCAAGGCTATATTGATTACATTTCTGGATAAAATCATTTACAGCACAGTGTTTTATGCATTACACAAATATCCATTAGTCCATTGGCAGAAGAGGCTTCTACTTACATTCAAAAATAGACATTTCCACAAAACAGTAAACTAGGCTAGCTTTTTTGACAAGAGTAAGATTGCAACATGTTGCCAACTATTTGCTTCCGATTGTCGTAAGTGATGGCGTGGCGAATTTCACACTTAAAATAAAACAGATAGCTTCAATTTGGAGATATAAATAGCTTACATATTGCATTTATTATAAAATTCTAATATTTTGATGTAGCAAGAATGACAATGAATGATTTATGCGAATTTGAAAGTTGATTTTACGACATTTATTGCCAGCGTGTACTTGGAAACATGGCGTCGATGTTTGGACAATCGTCAGGTGCTCGGGCTGCTCCAGCGCCAGTGATGCAGCCAGCCCAACCTGCACAAATGGACCGTTCCGAACCAGTAGATGATAGACCCAAGCATCTTAAAAAAGTGTCATTTGCACAATTTGATCCTTCTGCACAGCAACAAATCAACTCGGTAAATATGACAGCTACTTGTCATCTTTCATGCGTAAAGTATTGCAGTTTACATATCTGTTGAGTAACCAAGTAAATCAATTGTTCAAGTTTTTGGCTTTGTGAATATAGTGTGAAATTTTATTTTTAAGTTTCTGTATATATTGATTGTTAGAATTTTGCTCTGTATGAAATTAATATACTTGAATTTATTATTGTAATTAACAAGTAATTAATTTAATTTTAATGTTTGATAAGGTCGTACGAAATGAAATGTACATGTTGCCACTTGCCAGGACTTTGAGACACCAGTAAACTGAGAGTAATTTATTTTACACAGAGAGTGGCCAACTAAGATAATGCCAAAAATTTGCTAAAGCAAAATGGGAAAATCAGTTTTTCTCCATGAAATGGTAGATAAAGGACATAATTTTCATCAATTGTAAATTTATCCTATACATCATGATAACAATCACTAACACCTGCTTTTCTTTTCTCAATAAACATTTCAGATGTTTAATAGTCCCATGTTTCAAGAGCTGGAGGCACAAGTGAAAGCCAATACAGACATCTTGGACAGAATGAACAAGTAAGATTTCAGACATGAAAGGCATGCAAGACAGTTAAAATTCTGCAGCACAACATCATGGTTTTGTTTAAAAAAAAAACTCTGTTGCTTTATTTTCAGCAACTGCTTATAAATCTCTTTGCACAATGTAAATATTGTCATTGTAATATTTACAAAAATGCATGTCATGATGAGTTTTCCTTTTCAACTAGTTAAAAAAATATATAGCTTTTTGATTCAATCAGGCAAATGGAAGATGAGAGAAAGGAAAGGATCAAAGCCAAGCAAACTGCTCATATTCCAGAAGCACTCAAAGGGAGGTAAGTATAAGCTAAATTAGATGTGTATGTGCTATTTAATTTAAAAGCATCAATCAAGCAGAAAAAAATTGTATACTTAATACATGAATAGTGGTCAAGAAATGCCAAGCATTATGAAGACAGTGGAAGATCTGATATTGATGGATGAAGAAGTTGAGGAAGATGATGAAGAGGAGAAAGATGTTGAAAATGGTCAAGAAGCAGAAGAAGGTGATGATGAAGAAGATGAAGACGAAGATGAGGAGGAAGATGATGAAGACGATGATGAATACAGAAGGAGAACACCGTGAGTTATTTTCCTTGGCAGTCACTCTATAGCTATTCCAAATTACATTGTAATAGAATCAAAGAATGATTATGTTTGAAGAAGCATATTACAGAATCAAAGAGTTCATATGTATGAAAAAGCCAGTACAAGTGCACAAGTATATCTGTATGGAACATTTTTCAGACTGAATAAGTTACAGATCCTGGACTCACACAGCAAGGCTGCTCTTACTGGTCACAGTCTGGCTGCATATGTTTCTACCCTGGATGAAGATAATCTTAAAAAGTTCACATCCAAAATTACACAGGACTGTCAATTGTGGCTGTCAAGATTGTTCAGGTAATCAAACTGATGCTAGAAAGAAGAATCAGAATGGTTCTAAAGGTTCTGACAAGATCAAAGAAAGAATAGATTATTGACTGCAAGTTACAGAAGTTAACTTGTTTGGACCAATTTTTAAGTAGGAGAGACATATTCACTAATGTACATCATATTTTAAACAGTCACCAATACCAAATATCTACATTTTACTATTTTCTATATGTAAAGTAGAAAAACAACAACAATTCAATGCCTGTTTGTTCTTCAGGTTTCCAGATTCCTCTCCATTTTATCATGAGGAACACAAAGATGGCCTTGTTAAGATCTGTAGAATGGCCCTGTATCAGAAATATCCGAGGTATCCTGTGGAGGGTTTCGAGGCCCTTTACTCCAGGCCCCCAGTCATATACATCAGCTCTGCAGCCATGCCAGGTCTTAGCAATTACCTCTGTTTGCAGGTAAATACTTCATTTTAAATGGCTGAGGAAACTTATTTTCAAACAAAATTGCACAAATGACTTTGCACAGTCCCACTATCAAGGTGCCCTAAAGTAATCAGTCCATGCATATATATATTCATGTACATGCAAGTGTTTATTTGTTTCCTTGTGTAAATCATTTGTGCTTTTTTGTTAAGTATATGTAAACATGGAAATTTTTCTGTGGATCTTTCTCATGTACCTTTGCTGGGTTCAGGGACACAAAAACACCCAAAGAGGGTTGATATGATTAATCTTGCACTTATTTTCAATCCAATACCATTTATACATGTATCCTTCAAAATCTGCTCCATTTTGCTACATTGCAGCTATATGGGAGGTATTCTAAATGTGATGATTGTTTACTTTAACTAGAAAATGATATGCTGTACATCTTACATGTACTTTACTAAAATTTCAGCTTGGATTACCTTTGTCCTCCATTTGTAATGTTCCATGCTGCACAGAGAAAGGCACGACCAGCATTATGGTAAGTCAGTTCTTCTTTGACTCTTATTAATGAAGAGAAAGATATTTGTTTGCACTATATAATTTTAAATCTGTGTTTCTTGGTTGTGTGTGAAAATAAAAAAAAATGTCAGTAGAAAGGGTAATACATGTACTTAGAATTTTTACAGGATGTACAGATGTTGGAGAAGTTGATTCAGGATGACATTTCTGCTGCAAAGACCCCAGTGTTGTTAGTAGGATTTGCAGGTATAGTCTTTTATCCTGCCTTGGCTTACGCCTCACCCAATATGCATTTTTTCAAGGACCTCATATATTTCTGTATTACCCCTCTAAGTGTCTACATAACTAATAGTGTGGGGTTCTCTAAATGTAAAAGGAAAACATAAAAAGGGACATGTTTGCAAAACATACTACATGTATTGTTATAAATCAGTTTGCAGTGTTTCACTCAAAAGGAATGTAGAGTTATATACAAGATTTTTTAGATTATTCTGTGTGATTTAATTTAAATTGATGAAAGGGAATTTTTATGCCCTGCCATGAATATGACCGGGGCAAATAGAGTTTGCCATCTTGTCTTCCGTCTGTCCTTCCATCACGCTTTATGTTTAGCTCAGTTCAAAGTTCAGTTTCAAAGAAACTATTCAAAATATTACATGTATTATCAAACTTCATATGCTGATACATATTGATGAGAGCTATTCAACTGTACCAACATTTTTGACATTGACCTTTTCTTTGACCTTAACCTTACTTTTCTCAAATTAGTGTTTAGCTCAGTTTTAAAGAAACCATTAAAGATAGTGTAATCAAACTTCATATGCTAATACATACTGATGTAAGCTTTTCAAGTGCATCAACATTTTTTGACCTTGACTTTTCCTTTGACCTTGACCTCACTTTTCTTAAATTTGTGTTTAGCTCAGTTTTAAATAAACCATTCAAGATATTTTTATCAAACTGAATATGCTGATACATATTTAGTGAAAGCTATTCAACTGCATCAAAAAACTTTAGACTTTGCACTTTCCTGTGACCTTGACCTCACTTTTCTTTAATTACATTTTGCTTAGTTTTAAAGAAACCATTTAAGATATTTTTATGTAAGCTTATGCACTTATACATAATTTGGTGAGAATTTATCATCTATATCCAATTTTTTAGATTTCAATTTCAATTTAAAAAAAAAAAATATTCAAGATATTCTCATCAAACTTCATACACTGAAACAAATTTTCATGTTGCATTATTAATATACACTTGGTGATGCATTCATGTCCTATAGACATATTTCTAGCTTCTTTTTTTTGACAGGTTCTCCCCATTTGGGATCTGTGGATAATCTGCAGGAATTAAGAAAAATCTGTAAGGACCATAAGATCTGGCTCCATGTTGAAGGGTGAGTCATTTTGTCAACATTTTTAGCACATTTGGCAGAAAAAGTTGGCTACTGCATGACTTAAGATACCTTCTCAAAAAAAAAAAAAATTAGCATGAATCACACAACAGACACAAGTAGTACTGTTAATTGTTTGATGTTTTTTCTCTGCTTAGACTTAACATAGTTTGTGCAATACTTTCTAGGTATACAAAAGAGAATGGAAATTGTATGATCTTTTAGTTTATCTTCACTAAGTTATATGTATCAAGGGATGGCTGAAATATATGTGGTGTTCTGTCAATCATTGTTTTTTTTTTTGTGGTTTCAGAAACAACCTTGCTATCTTGGCCACAGTGTCAGTGCCCACTGCAGTAGAGCCAGCCACCTCTGGAGATAGCATGACTCTACGACTAGGGAAGTGGATCGGTATCCCAGGGCTTCCCTTTATTGTATCCATTTTGTCAAAGAATTTCAATTTTAATTACTATCACATATTCACCATTAATTCAGAGCTAAATAGATACATGGATTGGAAAGGATTTCGATGGAAATTACATGTAAAACAAAGAGAAATGTCCACCTCTTTAGATTGTTCATATTCATGATAGGAAATGTATAAACTTAATTTTTTAGCTCACCTGAGCTGAAAACTCAAGTGAGCTTTTCTGATCACCCGCTGTCCGTCGTCCGTCCGTCCGTCTGTCCGTCCGTCTGTAAACTTTTCACATTTTCAACTTCTTCTCAAGAACCACTGGGCCAATTTTAACCAAACTTGGTACAAAGTATCCTTGGGTGAAGGGGAGTTTAAATTGTTAAAATAAAGGGCCAAGTCCCCTTACAAGGGGAGATAATCAAGAAAAGACAAAAAATAGGGTGGGGTCTTTAAAAAATCTTCTTCTCAAGAACCACTGGGCCAAAAAAGCTGAAACTTAAGTGGAAGCATCCTGGGATAGTGGAGATTCTAAATTGTGAAAATCATGACTCCTGGGGGTAGGGCGGGGCCACAATAGGGAATCCAAGTTTTACATTGAAATATAAAGGAAAAATCTTGAAAAATCTTCTTCTCAAGAACCACTAGGCCAGAAAAGCTGAAACTTGTGTGGAAGCATCCTGGGGTAGTGGAGATTCTAAATTGTTAAAATCATGACTCCCGGGGGTAGGGCGGGGCCACAATAGGGAATCCAAGTTTTACATTGAAATATAAAGGAAAAATCTTGAAAAATCTTCTTCTTAAGAACAACTGGGCCAGAAAAACTGAAACTTATGTGGAAGCATCCTGGGGTAGTGTAGATGCTAAATTGTAAAAATCATGACCCCCGGGGGTAAGGTGGGGCCACAATAGGGAATCCAATTTTACATTGAAATATGTAAGAAAAATCTTGAAAAATCTTCTTCTCAAGAACAACTGGGCCAGAAAATCTGAAACTTATGTGGAAGCATCCTGGGATAGTGTAGATATTAAATTCTTAAAATCATGACCCCCAGGGGTAGGGCGGGGCCACAATAAGTATTTACAAGGGGGAAATCTGGTTAAGAACAGCATGGCCAAAGTTACTCAGGTGAGCGATGTGGCCCATGGGCCTCTTGTTTTTTTTTTTTTGGGGGGGGGGGGGGGGGGGGTGGAGGGGATGATCACATCCACAGTATATGTAATTTGCTGGTATAATATATTTGAAAATCAGTAGACTTTAACACTTTTAAGACACTCTATAAGACCACTGACCCTGCTCTGGAGCTTGCTGCAGGTCTGAATACATTTACCCCACAATTAAAGCTCAACTGTCTTCCACTTTGGATCATCCTGCAGAGCCTCGGTCATGATGGGATAGTTGACAGAATCAAGCACTGCTGTACACTAGTATGTGTTGAAATTGTCTTTGTTATAATGATTGTAAAAAACAGTTTTAAACTCCATTACAAAGAATTTTAGAATTTTTTTTTCAAATGAATTTTGTTTTTCAGGCAGAGAAAATGCATGACATCCTACAAAACCTTCCAACTATAAAGGAGATTGTAAGTTACATTAAATTCTTGTAATGCATAGCCATGCTGTTATAAGTTCTCCTGACATAATTAGAATATGAGTTCATTGAAATTCATGCTTTTAGAAATTTATAGATATAAAATGTTTGTCACATCTCCAGGGGGAAGAAAAGACAGAAGAAAAAGAGGCTAAAACCTTTAAAGATCTATTATTTGTTGCTATTGATGCTCTGGTAAGTGAGAAATTTTAAAATTTGGATTGATTTGTGATCAGACTGCAATCTTTTAATTTGGTTTTGAAAATTAAAGATTTTTTTTTTTCATATTCATGTAGTTTGTGTTCAAGATGGCCAGTCCAACTGTTGTGTTCAGATATGTAGAAGACAGCACCACTGGTGGTATGTTACTGGTAGTATTGATTTATTAGACCTTGTTAATAGTCAATAGTTACTCCTAAGGAAACTTTTTAAATTTAGTTTGCATCAGATAGCTTAACAAAGGACACAACATCATTTTTGGCATTGAAACCTATGTGTAGACTACATTAAACATCAACTTTTTTTTGCAGACAAATGCACTCTTAATAATTACCATAAAGTCTGGGGTTTTTTTCATTGGCCATTTTATGAAGACTGTCATACTTGTGACATCACAGTCAGGAGATTAAGATGAATTTTGTTGAAAAGATTGTTGTTTTCTTTTCTCCTTGTATTTAAGGTAGTACAAAAAGATAGGCCAAATTTTTCCTTAAATTCAATTTTGTTCAAACTTTGATATTTTGTTCTTGGATACAAATTCTCTCTTTCAATGTTATTTGAAAGAAATTTAACCATACATTTTTTGCCCACATAGTTTGAAATATAGCCTAGCTGTAAGAGGATTGTGAAAAAAAAGACATCCGACCTGAGAAAGGATGGTATATAAAAATAATCAATCTATTGCAAACTTGTGTGATGCTGTTTATAATGGCAACCTTTTTGTACTAAAATTTAGGAAAATATTTTGATATTGTTATATTTGAGTAAAATGTGACATAAAAATAGAACATACATAGCTCGGGAATTAAAATTCACTTGTAAATATGCCACACGTGAAGTATGTATGTGGGCAAAAAATGCCCTTTAACATTTTTTCTTATCACATACATTGTAAAGAGAGACATTGTATCCTAGTATAAAATATCAAAGATTCAAAAAAGCTAAATTTGAGGAAAAATTTGACCTACCTATTATGTGCTACCTTAATTTCAAAGCATGAAGTCATTAGATTTCAGCAAGCATCTTGAAATGCTTGCCTTCTTAAAGTTCAAATGTTATGTAACAAATACTGCAAATTCATTTTATATATTTTTATTTTGATTATTGTTTTTAGCTGTGGAGATAGCTCCTTATTCCCCTGTTACTTCACAAGAGGATATGGAAGAAAAAGAAAAATTGAAAGCATACTACGATGCACTAAATTTATGGGTGTGTAAATTGGAGCATTTCATTATTTACTTCAGATACAGAATGATTCATTTTTATTTATCCATGTACATAATGTATTTATTTGTGTCCTCTGCAGCTTTGTGATACTCTATATTTGGAAAATCCAAATGTAGGCTTAGAACTGATAGATGTTGAGCAAGAAGGAAACTGTATCAAGTTCTCTCCCCTTGACACAGCACAAGGTTTGTATCAAGTTTTCTTTACAATAAACAGCACAAAGCTTACATCAACCCCAAGTTCTCTGTCCTTGACACAGCACAAAGTTTGCATCAAGTTTTCTTCCCTGTAAAAAGCACAAGGCCTGTATCAACTTTAAGTTCTTTGCCCTTGACACAGCACAGGGCTTGTATCAACTTGAAGTTCTTTCCTTCTGCACAACACAAGGTCTGTATCAAGTTCTCTCCTCTTGACACAGCACAAGGTCTGTATCAAGTTCTTTCCCCATGGCACAGCACAAGGTCTGTATTAAGTTCTCTCCTCTTGATACAGCACAAGGTCTCTATCAAGTTCTTTTAGTCTGGCACCCTTCCCATAATGTAGAGAGTGCACAGACAGAATTGTGGGAAGGGTACCAGACTCAAGTTCTCTCCCCCTGACACAGCACAAGTTCTGTATCAAGTTCTCTCCCCTTGACACTGCACAAAGTTTGTATCAAGTTCTTTACCATCAACACAACACAAAGCTTGTATCTAGTTCCCTCCCTTTGACAAAGCACTATACCTGTCTGGTAAATCCTGTTTTCTCCACAAAAAGAAATTGAAAAAATACTTTCTTCAATTTGACTTTCTAAATATTAGTTTTTTTCTTTTAGTGAAGGGTACAGTTGAAGAAGATATCGAAAACTTTGGGGAAAGTTTGAAAAAGCAAATTGTAAGTCAAATTTCTGCACAAAGCTTATTAGCTCACCTGAGCTTTTCTGATCACATTTTGTCCAGCATCCATCTATCTGTCTGTCAACTCATCACATTTTTTTACTTCTCAAGAACCACTGGGCAAATTTCAATCAAAATTTGCCACAAAGCATTCTTGGGTGAAGAGGATTCAAGTTTGTTCAAAAAGTCCATGTCCTCTTTCAAGGGGAGATAATTAAGAATTAGTGAAAATGTAATGGCATCCTTTAAAAACATCAAGAACCAATGGGCCAAAAAAGAAACTTATGTGAAAGCTTCATTACATAGTGTATATTCAAGCTTGTTCAAATTATGACCCCATGGGTTAGGGTGGAGCCATAATAGGAAGTCAAAGTTTTACATAGGAATATATATATAGTAAACATCCTTTTCTTAAGAACAGAAAAGCCATTATTAATCATATTAATATGGAAGCATTCACAGGTAGTGAAGATTAAAGTTTGTTCAAATCATGACCCCCAGGGGAAGAAGGGTGGGGCTATAATTAGATGATCAAAGTTTTAGATAGAAATATAAAAGAAAAAATCTTCTTCTCCAGAACAGCAAAGCCATGACTAGTGATATTAAATCAGAAGCATCCTAAGGTAGTGTACATTAAAGTTTGTTTAAATCACAGCCCCAGGGGTAGGGTTGGGCCTCACTGGGAGATCAAAGTTTTATATAAGAATATACAAGTAAAAAATCTTTGAAATTCTTTCTTCAATGATCAGCAAAGCCATTAGTTGTATTAGTCATATTGATATGCAAGCATTCTCAGGTAGTTTAGATTCAAGTCTGTAAAGATCAGGGCCCTCAAGAATAGGTTGAGGCTACGATAGGGGATCAGATATATAGGAAGAAATCATTTCAAGAATGGCAAGACCATGCAAAGTCATATTAATAAACAAAACATTCTTAAGCTGTACGGAATCAGTTTTTTTTTTATCATGAGCCCTGGGGTTAGGGTTGGGCCAAAAGGAAAAAATCTTCTCCAGAACAGCAGGGTCATGTTCATTGTATTGACATTGAAGCATCCATTGATGTGTGGATTCAACTTCGATGAAGTCATACATGTAGCTCCCTTAGGGCTAGATTTTGCTCAACAATATGGAGTCAAAATTCTTATGAAATTAAAGATGGAAATATGAAAAACAAATCTGCTGATAAAGAACAGAAAGGCCAAAGTGACTCAAGTGAGTGGTGTGGACCAGGGGCCTCTTGTCCGTGTTTTTTAAGTTCTGTAAAGTATAATGTTATCAATTGATTTTCAGATTTTTTATGTAAGGATACATACTTCTCCATTTTCAGGCAATTTTAGATGCAACAGTTCTGCAGAGAGACAGGTTTTGTGCAATTGTGGAAGCTCAAGACAATCTTCGTATTGTTGAGGTTCCCAACTGGGCTGGATTAGGGGTGGTGCAGTGAGTTATCCATAATACAATACAATCAAGTGTTCAGTTTGTAATTTGAATTGTGGCTTAAAAAAGAAAGAAAAATTATTTTAATTTAAACGCAGAATTTTTTGTTGATATTATAGATTACAAGAGTGTTGAATGTGTTATCATGAGTTTTCAGGATTTTTGAATGATGTTTTAGATATATGCCTGAGGAATGGAGAGAAAGGATGACAGATTTGCCAGACAATGCTAAACGAGACATAAATAACATCAACACTGAGCTTGTGAAGAGACTTCACTCTAAAGATACAGCATTCTCATTAGGTGGGTCTCTCTAAAATGGCAATAAATAACCACATTTTTCTACATCCATCTGCTTATCTGTAGGAAATCTTTACTTAAAATTTCATTGCAAACCCATCATCAGTTTTTGTTTTCAATAAGACTGTAAATATAAGAGTTTGTTTGATATTGGATTTTTTTGTTGGTAGGTTACAATGACGAGAACATTGGATGTGTGAAGTTTGGCCTGATTACAGATGATACAGATCTAGAGGAACTAATCGGTCTAGTGTGTTCCCTCGGCAAAGAGATCGAGGAATCTTCTAAGGTGCAGTCATATGTACTGGGTTCATTTTGGCAATGTTCTTGTAAAATAATCTTTAGAAAAGTGAATTTTCACTGACTTAAGATTCATTTACAAACATCAAGTAGTGATGGGAATTGGTAAGAATTTCATAATCGATGATCAGATTACTGTAACTAATTATCAAATATATTCGGACATTTACAAAGTCTATCAATTTAGTTTATTAAATGGTAAGAATGGGTGAATAACTACTTTCTGTGGTGGTCCAGCTGTAGTTAGAATAATCTAACTGTGTCTCAGGACAAGCCCTAGTCCTTGGAACAATATCATTTTAACGATAGAATGTTCTACCTAGTCCAGCTGGTTCTTCGTTCATTTCGTAGAATCCAAAGTACGTGCATACCTGGAAATGAGATTTGTTACCCGAGTATGAATACAATATTTGTTCGTCTGCGCCATTACGATACACAAATAAGTTAATAGACAAGTTGTGGCTGGAATATTTGGCTTAAAAACTATTACGCTTGTAAAATAAAATAAATAACCTGATTAATCGGAATAAAAATTTTGTAATCGAGTGCTTGGATTATGCCAGCAATCGACTGATTTTTTATTATAATCGATGATTGGAACACCACTAACATCAAGTATTTGAGAAAATGATTACATACCTTCTGGTATATTGTGCTTAATAAAACTAGTATTTTTAGGATTGGAATTAAATTCTTTGATCTGGAGAGAATATGTTATATATTGGAGAGAAATTTTCATTTGAAACAAGATTTTATGAACAGATGAATTAAGGTTACTCATTCTTAAGGGTTTGAAAAATGTTGTTTCAGTATTTAGAAAAATTATCAGAGAAAATACAGAAAGGTATAGAAGAAGCTAATAAAGAACTACACAAAGAAATGGATGAAAAGCTGCAGCAAGAGGTACATGTATAACTTTCTTGAATTTTATTTGCTGTTTGTATAGTAATAACTTTTATTTTTTATTACTGTATTTTTGTTGATTTAATGTTTACATGTTTTATTAAAAGAGTCTTTTTACTTCACTTAACAGGGTGTTCTAAGACAAGTGCCATTGGTTGGTTCCCTTCTAAACTGGTGGTCTCCTCCTCCAAAGGATGCAGTGAAAGGACGCACATTTAGTCTCAGCTCTGGTACAAAAATTACTCATAAAATAGCTTTTTATTTTTTACCAAGGTTGTTGCTTAAAAAAGAAATAAGATTTTGTGAGAAAAGTAGAATTTGGATCTAGGATATTTTTTAAGGTGAATTTCTCAGCTGATGACGAAGAGAATGACAAGAGAAAATGCCTTTATTACCACATAGGAGTTATTACTCTTTCTGATTAATTGAGGAATAAATTTGATATCTACCCAAATTATGCAGTATAATCTGGGTTAGAGCAGTTTGCCTTCTATAAACCACAAAGCGGTTTATAAAAAAGCATACTGTTCCAACCCAGGTTATACCAGTAGAAATGTGCGAAAGCAAACCCCCTCACTAATATCGTCAGCCCGTGCTCAGTGTTGTGTACAGAGTTGAACAAATTGAATACACCTGTGAAACGTAAACTGTTTCTGTAAACAGGGCACGAGCTCTGTTATTGTTAATGTTTACGATTCACCGGGTGTGTTCAATTGTTAAAGTCTGCACACACCACTGAGCATGGACTGACAATACTGTGAGTGGGTTTTGCTTTCGAACATTTCTACTCTGAATTTTCTGGATTATAGTTTTAATACTTTTCATTAATACACAACAAAACTGTCACTTTTCTTAAGTATTAAGAATAAAATTAAAAATTGTGAAAGTGCAAGGATGTGTCAATCAAACGCGTCCAGAAATTTGAAGTTTCAATAACTTCGAGATGAAATAAGATTTTTATTATATTTTAGTATGAAATGCTATAGCAACATATAAGTCATGAAATTATACAGAAAATCTGAGAAAATATTAACTTCAAATCTGTGTCCAAGCACCTTTAATGGATATCCAGATGTTTTGTGAAATATTTATGAGCTTGTTTCTAATTGTCCACAATTAATTTTCTATAGGCACTATGGCTAGCACTGAGAAGACTTACAAATACCACATGCAAGTTCAGGAGGATGATGCCCCTCCCCCTGTGTCCCCCTCTGCAAACCAGTCCCCTAATTCCTTCAAAGATGTTCTAAAACCGGTAAAATCTCAAACCAAGTCTGCTGGTGATGTTAAAGCTAATCTCACTCAACAATATAACTCCTCCTCCTCCTTCTCTCCTACACAGGTAGTACACTACTAATTAGCACTCTGTTAATCTGTATAACTAATGCATATATAAAGGTAGCATAGTCACAGTTTTCTTAATGTTAATCAATTCACTCACAACAAGTACAAAATATTAGTAATTGAATTCTTTAATCAACAAGCAATACGCAAGTATCAAGATTATCTCCCTTGGTACGCTCTTTTGTTACGGAGGGGAGTTTTGTTACTGTGTAAACCAACAGGTGGGACAGTTATTTATAATGGATCATGCATTGCATCATTGATATGCCAATCTCACATAAGTGGTTGTTGGGATGTCCTCATCAACTCAAAAAATACCGAATTTGAGTACAGGCATCATTAGGGCCCCACAAGAATTTGTGGGTGCCCTATAGTAATCACTCTGTCTGTCTGTTTGTCTGTCTGTCCGTCTGTATGTCATTCTTCCGTCCACAAATTTTCTGTTTTTTTTCTAATAACTTTTTTTGTAGTTGACCAATTAAGTTCAAAATTGGTATGTTGGTTGAATAGGCAGTAAGACATATTTTGATGCTAAGTTTGATTCTCTATGTTATCCTGTTTGGAGCTGGGGTGGTGGGGTTGAGTTATGATGTTACTGAATTCTAAAAACAAGATATACATAATGGTATCTTTTTTATTTTTTATTTTTTTTATTTATTTATTTATTTATTTATTTATTTATTTTTTGCTGCCTTATGTAAATTCAAGAATACTATTAATTTTAACAGGTAGTCTGATAATAACCTCATTCTATCATTACTGAAAAAGTTCTTTTGTAAACTTCGAACAAAGGATGGGAGAGCTAGCAGTACAATTAATCCCCTTGGATTGATTATCTTGCCTAGTGCAGAATATTTTAGAGGCTTATCTTTATTTGTCACTTTAAGATAAATTAACACCTTTGTCTGCAACTGATGTTTGTTTTGAAGTTAAGGTCAAGCCTGGGTGATATTTGCATTCACTGAAGGCTGACATTTTATAAAACACATGCTTTATTTTTTGTTTAAATATACATTTAATTGAGTTATTATAGATATGGTGATTTTACTGCCTTGTGTAAATACAGGTATACTTTTTACAGGTTGTTGGATATTTAGGAATTATCTTGAAATTTTATAAACACAGTTGTTGTTGCATATTCTTCTTCATATATTTTTTAATATTTGTAATCAAGTAAAATTGTCATTCTGTAAGCTGCACCCTTATATTTCTACCCCTCGGCAGGGCCCTTGCTGACTGGTCAGTTTTCTAGTTTTTTTTACCTAAGAAAAAAATCAGAACAAAAGAAAATATAGAGGATAAGGTTTATAAGAAGAAGGAAGAGACATTGATCAGTTTATATCTAATCATTTTGATCATTGCACAATGCCATTCTGAATGACACACCGACTCTTTTCCCCTTATAATAATTTTAAAGAGTCCACTAACTTTTTTAGAAAAGGTTTGTACAATCAAGAAAGCATTTTCATGAAGACCATGATGGTTCTTTTGTTCTGAAAGTACCTGGTACCCTAATTGAAAGTAGATTTTGTATATAATAGAGCTGAATAAAATCATCAAAATCATCACTGCTTGACATTATAATCTGTTTACAACATGAAATGGATTTTAAAAGTCCTAGCCATCGTTCATTTATTTATACACATTAAGGTGGTATGGGATACCAAACGAAACTTCTCCTATATATTTATGTACCCAAATTAGGAGGATTTGAAATACCCCCACCTTTCAGTATGTTACGTTGTAAATTTTATATATTTTTTATTATTTTAATGAGAAATATAAAAATGACTTTTTTCTTGTTAATTCTTTTTTCAACACCTTAATATTATTGAAAGGAGTTTACTGATATAAAGTGTATATAAAAACAAAAGTTATAAGAAATATATCTTCGTATTTTTTTTAATTTCAACAAAAAATAAGCGTAAAATACTGGGAAAACTTCATTTCTTGAAAACAGACGGATAAAATTTCATGAAAATCTACAATTAGAATGTATCTTAATATGTAAGTAAAGTGAAATAAACAAATTGAAAAAATATATATAAAAGGAAAATATAAGATGCATTAAAATTTTTTTGAATTAAAAGATCCGAACGGAAGAGTTATCCTTCTTTATTTTCCAAGGGTTGAAAAAACCTGGGTGCTATTTCAGAAATGATGAGCATTTTCCCCCAAACTTAAAAAAATCGCATTTTGTTGCAGTGGTAGTTTCAACTGTTTTGAAAACAATGAATGGAAAATCGCTTTCCAAGACGTGTCTCGTTCAGAGCAATTGCATTCATCTTAAAGTTTTGGGACAACAGCTAGCTGATTTGTGATTTGTGACCAAACAGCTACTTCTTGAATTAAATAACAAAGAAGACCAGATCTGGTTAACGAGATAATTGATTGGTCATAATTCAGCACAATGTGAAGTAATCGCACTTATCCATGCTTCACCGCACACAAGGTGCTGTACAGTTACTCAAACAATTGAAGTACAGATTTTGTTTAAAAGTGTTCAAAAGCAGCAATCTTTAAAATATCTTTTACAGGGGTTTGCTTTTTAAATCTCCATAGTACAATTATAAGTAAATTTATATACTTGCGATTTTTTTGGGGATCTATTTTTACTTTAAATGCCCATTTGTGAGAACTTGTATTGAAATAGCTTCAGAGTATTCTTTTAAACGGTGTATCTACAAATTTTGACCCGATAATAAGCACTCATGCAAATCAAAACATTACTTCAAACGGAAATACGTCATAACGTGGAGGTATCCCATACTACCTTAACTTGTCCCACTTCCATGCTGATGTGGATACTTTTTGCACCTCTATTGTTGGAGAGCTACAATCTTGAAACTTGCATATAGCTGTGTAGTTTTCTGCAAAATTTTGCTGTTCCATGTAGAATAATTACTACATGAGCTGTTCAGTAAATTTAAGTATGTACAATGATACAGGTGTTTACATGTAGTTATATTAAGTTTTCATGTTAGAATTTTTGGAAATTTCATGGACATACAAATTTTGCAATAAAGTGTTTAAAATTTACAGTTAAAACTTTTTTTTCAATACCTCTGATCTGTATTTTCAAACAAACACTGTGTGAATGTGTCAGCATTATTCTTAATGTACATATTTTTAATTTGCTAGAGCTGTAGAACTGTGCTCACAGTCTAGAAAATTAAGTATAATATATTATAACAGAGGTTTTGGTCCAAATGATACCATAAACAAGCTATAAACTTAAACTAAAAAATTGCAGTTAAATATAACTGTGCATAATCATCTTTATTTTTCTTGTTTAACAAATTATGCAGTTGAGCAAACAATTTATTTCTTGTCATAGGCGTTTTAGTTTCTTTATTTTCATCATGTGTGTACTAATAAACATTTTTTTAGGAAAAAAAGAGGGAGGGGTAGTATAGATTCTTAGATCCTGGAATTATTATCTTTAAACATGGTTTTAACCAACAAGTTTACTGTAAATACATGAAGACATCAAAATTACATTTCGTCATTGAGAAGTGCATGATTAGGAAATATTAATTGACTCTTACTAATTTTGGTCATCCCTGAAGGTAATGTTTTAACATGTAATCAAAATGACATGTTTAAAAATAAATTTGGAGCTTGAAAAAAAGATGTATAAAGTAGTGAGATTTAAATTTAATTATTATTTTTCAGAGCTCTAGTCCCAGCTCAACCCAGACAGACCAGAAACCTAAAGAAACTCAATCTTTAGAAAACCAGTAAGCTATTTTGTTTCTTGGTTGGTTGGTTGGTTGGGGAGGGGGGGAGTTGAAGGGAGGTTATTTGTAAAATACAAGAGGTTTATAAGGAGCATAGGGATGTTAACCGAGGCTCTTACTTGTAGGAGTAATTTGTGGAGTACTGTTGAACATGAAGCACTAGACTTCAACATTTTGTATACTGGTAAACTTTATTGACAACTTAAGATATGTGTATGCTTCATTGCCTTGTGGGATGGTATGATCTTTCATGCTTTATATGTTTTATGTACCCTTTTGTGGGGGTGGATGTGAGGCAGTTTCATCACTCACACCATGATTTCCAATACTATGACACAGTTCATTCTAGTATTCAGTCATGCATTAATTTTTTTTTTAATATTTAATGTACCGTAATTTAGCACATATTTAAAGTCTTTTTAGTCATAAATAAGAAATTATATTTTGAAAGTTAAAAGTGTGTTAAAAACATTTTTATAGGCATAATTCAGTTACTAGAGGAGCTTTATTACTTTGTTCATTTTTACTTTTTATTTATTTTTTTTTCAGACAAGCCCCTGACTTGAAGTAAAACAACATTCCATTATTGTTCCATATAAAGCTGTGATATGGTCAAACTGTTACAATGTGTTTTGTAATCTTTGTGACAAAGGCTTAAATGTAATGACCGTTTCTGCTTTTTGATTGATTAATATATCATAAGAAAACAGTGAATATTGATTGTATTTTGAATGAATGAGTGTCATATTTATTATATTCAAGCTATTTATTTGTATGGGTTATATGAAAATGAATTATGATGTTTTTTGTGAACAGATTTCTGAAGTTATACGTGCATTTAGATATTTAAATATTAATCTACAAGAAACAGAAGTGGAGTTGAGATTGTCAACATTTCTTTCGTTAGGGAGGTTTACTCTTTTCACACATTTTATTTGTTTACATATCTTAATCCGTTACTTTGGGTGATATTTGAAATAGTAAATTTTACTTTCCATTGATAAGCATGTTTCTTCTGATGTGAAAATTTCATTCCCTGTTATTTTCACCAACAGACATAAAAAATGTTCACCCCAATTTAAATTAGCTCAAAGCAGCATGTAGATAAAGCTTGCATTTCAACAATATGTTCTGGCTATCTTAAATTTCACAGTCAAGTTTTGATTTTCATCTTTAGGAATAAAGAAAAAATCAAATCAGATGCAACATTTTCCCTGCTCTATACATCAGATCTACATTTTTTGGGTCATGTTGAACCCCCTCTCTTCATAAAAGCAACTGATCATATTTATTTTGTATTATTTATTTTATTACAACATTGCTTTAGATGTGAGTAAAACCATTTCTATAATATTATATTTATGTACAATGTACATATGTGTGGAATGCACAACTGGTTTACAATTTAGTGGTGTTTTCTTGAGTTATCTCCCATTTGTGTGTATTTTATTTTGTCAATCAAAACTGTTTTGTTTTTGTTTTTTTAAATTTGGGGAACTCCTTCTTTTACAGGTTTATATGTATTTTTCTAGTTTTAGAATTACATGGAATCCATATTATCTGAAATCCATTGATGTTTTAACATTGTGATAAATAATGATATGCAGAAAGTATTAGTTTTATCTCTGACAACTGACCTAAATTGAACTTTTCTGATCATATTTGTATAATTGTCTGTTTGTTCATGTATTTGTGTCCACTTGTCAGTATAACATTCTTTCATTTTTTACTTTGTTTTTAAACCATCTTGAAGCTGCTTGCCATATGTTAACAAAATGGAATAAAAAATGTGTTTTTCTAGAGATCTGAATAATTAAGTGTTGTCACTCTTTGGTGTGATGAAGATTCACACTTGGCACTTAAGATTCTGACTTGATAAAATTTACTCATAGGTTTATTTAGAATGACTGTGTACCATGTCAAAAAATGTGTCAGAGATTTTTTTTGTGGTGAAAATGCTCTCATTTGGGTCAAAATGGCTCCTGAGGCCTCTGATTGGGATATTTATGAAATGCATATCTGTTTATAATTCCACTCATTGAGTTTATCAAGTATTATCATTCATTGAAGAGATTAGGTTTTCACACCTGTGAATTTTCAGTATAATTATGCCTGTTCAATCTGATGGTGATCTATGGCTGTTATTTTTTTCTCTCTCTATTTAAATCCATACATCTTCCTTTGCAGTAAAATTATTTATAAGTGCTTTGTATAATTTTTATTGAAGTATGTCTGATTTTAATCAGTACATGTTATTAAATATGAAAGTCTGTGTAATGAAACAATAAAGTATTAACATGGTCTATTAGAATCTTGGTAAAAAAAAATCTGAAATAATTTGTACACTATAGCTTCTTTGGTCACATAGATTACTACAATCAGTATTTATACATAAAGAAAATATAAAGAAAACATAAAGAAATATATAAAGCATGTATTGAATATTATGAGGGAAATGAATGTATTTATGTAATGTGTTTTGCTGTATAAAATTGTTATTGGTATTCTAATAAACCAGTTAAATAACTTAACTTATTAGTAGTCATTTGTTAATTATGTTTCATGAACATGGATTACAAATTTTACATTAAAAGAATTAACTTTATATAAAATTTATATTTTATTGAGGAAAGAAGAGTAAATATTTACTTCTGGCATTTACTGATTATTTTTACTCTACTATATGCTATAATTGTTACACAGGTGTGTATACGAAATGAATGATGCAATCTGATTTATAACATGTAATTTGCATATAATAATCATTTAGCAGTAAATTTAATTAATTTAAGCCTTTGAATACTTTTAAATGAATGTATAAATATATAATTTATGAATATGTTAAATTATTTAATATCTAAGAATTGATTTTCATGATCTATATTCTCAATTTTTTTCAGTGTGCTGTCACATTTGCACTGCATAGCAAAAAATTCCAAGTGATTTCTTAAATTATTCGTCAGGGACTGGGGTACTGAATATTAAATAAAACAAACAAATCCAGAGTTATAAAATAAACATACTGAGTACATGTATATAATTTTTCTAGCATATCATTTAAAATTACCATTTTAAAATATTAAACATTAGGAGAATGTGGAATATTACTAAAGTCCAGACTTGCTCCTGCTATTACAAGTTTTAAGAAATGATGCATTAATTTTTGATAAAATATTTAATTTTACATACATGTATGTCAGTGTCAGACATGCTGAAAGAAATATGAAACATGTGGAAGCTATAGACCTGTACGTTTTGAACATCTGTACACTCTATTAACATGATTAAGTTAATGAGTGTAAAATGATTAAGGTGGGGGTAAATCATTACATGATCAATTTACTTATACTTTATTAAATAACCGAAACAACCTTCCTCAATGATCTTTAAACTTTCAAATATAGCTTATTCTAAATAAAAATGTTTAGCGCCAAAACAGATCAACAAAATATTCCGCGAAAACTTATGCTGGTAAGAGTATTTGACCAATCAAACGCGCTGTTACTTCAACGTTTGCTGTTACATGTTTACACTCGCAACCATAGACGGAATACACAATAACATTCAGACCAATCGTTATAAGCCAAAATATTTATGTCTGTGTATGCTGTTGCCTAGTCGTTCGGCCAGCCTAATATATTCATCTGAAAATGCACATGTTTATACTTTCATTTCATAAAAATCTTTCAAACCTTTGATATCTCTCAAAATATGCATTAATCGGGCGAACTAGAAGTTTTTTAATGTTCACTTTTATTAAAAGTGTGCATTAAGACTGACAAGCTTGGGCATATCTCACTAGTTGCCGGTTCGCGGGAAACAGATAATTATCCTGTTGGACGGTTAACAGTTGTTGGGAGATCAAGGTAAATTTTCGTCTCTTAATTAAGTTTTAATTATTGTTTGGCATTAATTATTTAATCATGGCATGCATACCTCTTCATAAGATTACACGTGTAACTCTGTAAAGTGACCGGCTGTGAATTCATGATGGCTATTATTCATATGCAAATTAGTTTTTCTTGACGCCCTTTTAAAAGCAAGTCTATGCTTATATATTCCATGTATAAATGTAACTTAATAAATAGTAGTCTGAACTTGAATTTAGCTAGTATTCTCAATTGCTGACTTCAAGAACAAACACTAAATTTCTGAGGAAGGAACTAAAAAAATATTAAGTTGAAATTAAAGGGGAAAATATTTTTAAAAGGTAAGGTTTCAAATTTGAAATTTATTTTGTTAACATTTAATTGCAAACTTGCATTTATTATATAAAAAAAAATAATTATAAAAATGAAATTTAAAAAAAAAGCTGCTCAAAGAGAGGTACAAGTTTGCATTTGAATTTCATTTCATGGCTTTGAATTTTTCTTGCAGGTTCAATTTATCTTAGTTGGTAAAACTTAAACCGCCAAAACGAAGTACCCACAGGCTTACGCGGTGAACCGTCACCAGGGTCAGGGGGCTAAAAAGATGCCAATTCTCACTCGTGATCACCTTGCAGCCAGATTTCGTCAGAACTGGATGAACAAGTACCCTCTAGATACCTGCAGCAATGGAGGTATCAACCTGGATGACAGTCTCACTAGTCTTAACTGGCTGCAGAATCTCAACATCATGAAGATAACCTCCCCTACCCCTCCCCCCAGCCCAGGACCATGCAACAACTACTTCAACATGGATAATAACAACAAGAATATGAAAGTGAATCCCAACCATGTTCTCAATGTTTCTTGTGCTCCACCTCAGTGTAAAATTGAACCAAAGTTTCACCTTGGGGATCCAGCCCCTCCTTCAAGTCTAGGTGGAGATTCTATTGACTATAAAACAAATCCCTATGTGAAACCTCCATACAGTTATGCTACCCTCATCTGTATGGCTATGAAGGAAACCAAGAAGAGCAAAATAACCTTGTCAGCAATTTATAACTGGATTACTGACAACTTTATGTACTACAGACTGGCTGACCCAAGCTGGCAGGTTGGTATTTAGTCCATATCTCTTAACTTTTAGGGGGAAAGATACCATTCAAAATGTCTATCAATCTCAAGTAGCATTCCATAAAATAAGATAACCAAATGCGATAAAACACTTTATGTAGAACTTTATCAAATGAACAGGCACTTGTAATGTAATAGAGTTTTTCTGGAAAACTATATCATATTCCATTATCTACTTATGTCTTCAGAATTCCATTCGTCACAACCTGTCACTCAACAAGTGTTTCCAGAAAGTTCCTCGTCGTAAGGATGAACCTGGAAAAGGAGGATTCTGGAGGATAAACCCCGAGTACAATGACATGATTGAAAATGGAATATTTAAAAAGAGGAGAAACAGTCGGGATACACCTTGCCTTCCTCCTACAAAAAAGATTAAACGCGAGGAGGAGGAAGAATATTCCAGTTGTTCAAAAGGAAAGAGTAAAGAGGGACTTGTTCACATTGGAAACCATGAAGATCAAGACCATCTGAAAGGTGATTTTAACTGGACCTCCATTTTAAATCAAGATATAGAAATTGGAGGCATTAGAGTGAAAACAGAAGATTTATTAGATTCCAATGACAGCTGTGATTCATCTCCTATGGTAGCCATGAGTCCACCATCTTCAGAGTGCAATTCAGACGATTTCACAATAGAGGATCTGTTCTCTCAAACAGAGCTCTCCAACGATCAGACCCCCCTTGACTTTGTTACAAATGATCCTTTAGATTTAACCATAAATGGACAGCATATAGGTGTTCCCCAGTGGTGGGAACAGAGTTTAAACCTCTCTGGAAGTTTTAAGACTGAGCCTGAAAGTGAGGAGAAAAGTGGACTACATACCCCCATTGCCCCCTCCCCTGCCCCCGAGGATCATACAGACAATGAACATCCCTGGGCCATGAATGGCTTCGATGATATTGGGGATGCCTTTGATGTAGATAACTTGTTTGACCTTGAAAATATTCCTAGTCCAAAAATTTAAAACAGAAGTTCCACTTCCTGACACCCCCAATGTGTATTATTGTAAATTATTCTATTTTTACTTTAACCTTTGGGTATTTTTTTAAAATCATGTTTTAACTGGTCAGTGTATAGGATTTGCCTTTTCATTTTTCTAATCATCTATTTATTGAGAAAATTAGAATAAAGTCCATAACTTCATTGTAAAGTGAATGGAGTTTATTCATCAATTTTCTCTGGTCATTTTTTTAATCATGACATAGAAACAGTAGTTTAACCTAACTGTTTGAAGTGTGAGTGGCAAGTCTTGATGGAGAGAATATTTTTGCTAATCATTTTCCCCTAGATGTGGTGTACATACACATTTTTGTATTTTCCATGAAATTTGCAACTACTAACTAAACCAGAGTTGCCATCAGTATTAAGCAGTACTAAGTTAGATTTATCTCAATGTCAGGCCATAGGACAATTTTTTCCTTTCGCTTTTCTGTAAAAAGTTGTCTTTATTGGTGACCAAGATTGCAGAAAAACTGCTTCTTCAATTGGAGAAAGAGAGTATACATCTTTGATAACAAGAAGATACCAAGTATTACTTATTGAATCCGTCCATTTTTACCTGAATAATCAGACACGGGTGCATTTGTTAGACTTCTTTGTTATTGACTTATTGTAAAAATTTATTTATTTATTGTTAGTGTATGTTTCCAGTCCACTTTTTGATAAGTGTGTATTGTCTGTGATATTTTCAGTGTTGGATAGTTGCAGCATTTTTATTTCTTCCTTCTAAAAGCTCTACTTACTTTCTCAGTAATCTTAGGATATTCTGTGAAAGTGGGCAGAGAATAGTGGACATTTGACACCCTTCAGTATTACTGGCTCACTGTGTGCCCAGAATGTCAGAAAATTTCATTCAATATATGTATTTTTTGAAAAATTTAAAGAAAAAGAAATAAAGGAAAAAATATTTACAAAGATGAACAAGTTATTGCTTTGATTTTTTTTTTTTAAATACTGGTTGAAGGTGTTTCATCCCAGTCATAAAGTCATAAAACTCCCTCTTTCAAGGGAAAATCAATGAAAATGAATGGAATAGTTGATGAAAGAGGAAAGAAAAATCATTACAAGGAATCTGACAAATTTTCAATTATGCAAATCAGAATTTCCTGTCATTTGAAGATTGGTTGAACTAATGAATTACACAAGTATCTGATTCAATGAAAATTCACTTCTTTGGGGGGTGAAAGATTAGAACAATAGGAATTTAACACTAGAGAAATGGATCTGTATTGTGGCTGTATTGAATGACAGCTCTAACCTCTGTATTGAACACAATGCAGTTGGTCAGCTGGTTTAAACATGCTCTAGTTACAATGAGCTTTTTAATATCAATTGAATGATTGTAAAACCTTATAGTACACCCCAGCAGACATTGGTGACGTATATAACTTGAATAGCTTTTTAAAAACTTTAGAATTTTTATTGTGCTGAAGCAGCATATCGTTGAATATTGACTCAAACTCAGATAAAAGTCACCATTGGCACTTAGGGAAAATCAATTATCATTTGGATGGAAATTATTGGATAGGTTAATGACTTTTTTTCTACATCTCCAAAACATTAGTTTTCAACCTTGTCAGGGCAATGAAAAAACAATTAAGATAAGAATACCTGAATGAAAGGGTCATGAATTGTCTTTGAAATCATTACCAATCTATGGAACTAAAACAGTTAAACTCCAGAAAAATCTACTTGACTCAATATCATTTCAGCACAGAAATGTTTAGAAATTTCCAACTATGTATGTGACAATTGGTTGTAAAATATGCAGATTTTTCTAGAATTTTCTTGTTCTATAAGTTTGATTTTTGCCACAAACTGATGCATGTCTGACACAAAAGTCCAAGGGCTGCCTCTGAACAAAAGATGGCAAGTGTCATGATCTTGCTATCCTGAACAAATATTTTTGCATTAGACATCAATCTGATTTTTGGGCATTTTTTTTAAAATTGTAAAGGTGTTTTAAAAAAGAAAAGAAAAGAAAATCATTTGTGAGGAGTGGAACAGATCAGATGCTAACAAAGATGAAAACACACTTATTCTAGCTTTGAGACTATGATCATATAACTTTAAATTATAACACAGATCCATAAAATTTTGCTGAAATAGTAAATGTTAAGAAATTGCATGCTAAATGTATGCTACAATGTCCACCATTTCATGTTGGTCTGCAAAGAATTGTTTCAATTCCAAGAGAAGATGATAAAATTTTGCATTTAAATTTCTCACTTTTTTTCAATTGATTTATGTAACCAAATAACATTGGTGGATGATATTAACAAATTCAAATTTGTTTTTAAAAGTCTCTTGATAGACTAGACCTAAGATTCCACCTTGTAAAAATATTTCTGTATATTTACTGTTGTTCATGTGTTCAAATTTCCAGACAGGGTAATAGTATTTCACAATTGTAAGCTGTGAACATGATTTTAAAGATCTCCTCTATATCCATTTCACCTGTGCCGATAAGAACCAAGTACATTTAATTATTAATCACCTTGTACGATCCTATTCTTTTGATCAAAATCTGCCTACATCTTTTCAATTCATAATTAAAGCTGTTACACTCCGAAAATTAGAATTTCACAGTTGTGTGATTTTTTGTGGCAGTGATCCGCGAGACTAATTATTCCTTAATGATTCTGTGATTCTGTTTGTACATGTTCAAGATAATCTTTATGTCCGAGCGTACAGTTTTTGTATTTCATTTCCGACATAGGAATTAACCAATGAAATACATTGTTCCATTGTATAGAAAGAGGATTATTAAGTAATTCATCCATTTAAACATCCTTTCCTATCTTAATTAAATCTAAGGGGAAAGAGAAATGCAGTCAGGTGGCATTTCTTTTGATTCAATGCCTAAAAAATGTTGAAAATATTAAGCTACAGACAGGTCTACAACCTCAACATTACCACTTTTGTCAAGCTAGAGGTACATGACATATAGTACCGTGTAAAGCTTAGCTTTCAATACACATTTTCAATGAATTTTAAGTACTCCCATTCTGTAATACTAAAGATATAGAATATACATGTGTGTATTAGGTATTTCATTTCTACTTTGGATTAAAACCAGTTTTTGATAGCTTTCATGACCAGGTAGACCTTCAACTAATGCCTCTGTATTGGCTAATCAAGACAGAGATAAAAATAGTTTTCAATGTTGTGTCTCAACAGAGTAAACAATTCTGAAGTTTAAAAATGTGTGTGCTTTAGAAGAGCAAGCTAATCATTAAAATCAACGGACTACTACAAAATATGTAAAACAGTCTGAACTAGGTCAATCCTTTGAGCGGTTAAGCTTATTGGATACATTATGTGTTACTCTGTTGGTATAGTATTAAATATTGGAAGGAAATTTATATTTGTTTTCGCTACCCCTAACCCCCAAAAATTATTTTATCAAAAGCACTGGACTTGACTAAGAATAGAGGTATTTAATGTCCTATTCCAACCATTTAAATATTTGAATTGCCTAAATTTGTTTTGAAAATGACACCTTTCAAGTCCTTGACCTGCACAACTCAGATGTTCCATATAGGTTTTGATTTTTTGTTTGCAAACATTTCTTTAAATCAGAACTTCAATACATAAAACAAGTATCAGACATTATCTCAACATTAAATATAGATTTTTTTTTTTTAAGAAAAAAATCCATACTTTCTACAAAATTGTGGCAGCTTTCAGAAAAAAAAACAGTATCTGTTCTGTAAAATTCCCTGAATGCTAGCCTGATACTACAATTGATTTTTCCAAAGATAAAGTCTGGAAATCAATTCTCTTTTTAATGAAAAAGATTTAAAACCTTGCATGGCATAACACAAATCTCATTAGATTTATACATGATCTTTAAATCTTAAAAATCAGAATGTACTGATGAAAGTTCACAGTAACAAACATTTCAGTAATTGTATTCTCCCACTCTGTTCACTTACAGAACTTTGTTATTTCATAAAATATATTTCAAAGTAAATATGAAGAATAAATTATGGCATTTTAGATAGCTAGTTTATTCCTCTAGGTGTAGTCTCTGGGGTTAAGTCCTCCATTACTAACAAATTCAAACTTCCAGACATTATGAATCAGCCATAACTACTGTTTGGATGAAACTACCAACATTGTCAAGGGAGGGAACTTGTTCTTGACCTAAAAAGAGATCATGAAGTTTGTTACAAAGAGTGATCAAACAACGAGAATCAATAAATGGATATTTCTCTTATCTCAAGATTTTCCCTCTGGAAAGCAAACCATAGTGCTGTCAATAAAGTTCAGTGTCAATTAGTGCACTCTGAATCTATAAATTATTTCCTTGCAAAATATATTTTATTTTAACATTCCCAATTCTTTTAAAATCAATATCAAGGATAAGATTGATCAATATACATTTACTTCACATCAAAGTTTATTGTTCAATATAGGTATTCAGTTAAATATGCCAGTAAAATTGACGAATTTTTTTTTTAAAAATTTCCCCTGCAGTTAATCAGCAATGTTCTTCTACTAATTAATTCCAACTGTAAATACACAGCCAGTTTACTTTGGTTAATGAATCATATTTGTTCAATACTGTAAAAACAATATAGTGGTATAAATTTCAAAATATACCTTAAAATTATTTTTTTTCACTAAGATGCCTAAGGTCAAAGGTAAGTAATTTGAATAAATTTGACTGTTGGAGTGAACTAAATGTAACCATGCTTAAGCTGTGAATGTATGTGTTTAGGACTATTCAGATTATGGGGATTAAATGGAGACAAATGATGAGTCACCTTAATCAGTACATACATAATCAGATTTACAAATATTTAAATGGGATTTCCTTCAAACGAATGAATTGTTTTTCTTACCAAATGTAATAAATTTCATATATAGAGTAATATGGGAAAAACAAGGGGAATATTTATGATTCAGGTATATACCAAAAGCCTTGTTATATTGGGTACTAGAAGATATATTCTGGACTTTTAGAACACACAACTCATAGATAAAGAAATTTAAAAATATGCAAGTTGCAATGAGTAAAACAAAAATGTACTTAAAAAAAAAAAAAAAAACCCAAAAAATTTATTGGCCACAATGCTCATACGGGTCATATTTATAACCCTCTCTCTTTACAACAAGAATATGTAATGGAACATTTTATGTCACCAAACACTAAGTCAAAGACTATTAATCTAAATAGCAATACTGAATGCAAGTATCATTTAAACAAAAGATTGAAGGGCCTTAATGGTCACCTGAGTGTAATACAACACTGTAAAGGATCCACAGAATGGTAATTTAATATAAAATATCAAATACATGTACAAAATAAACTGATATATGAAGATATACCATAAAAGTGGAATTTTAAGCAAGACACAAATTAGCAATTCTTCCTTCAAAATCAGTACTGGTAATTAATTTTAGAGAGAAAATTTTTTAGTGATTTTATGTTGGCTAGAAAGACGATATTAACCTCCAATTTGGAATGAATTGTTAGTGATATTCAATTTTAGTGATCTCAACACTCTAAAAATGCCAAAGTTAAATCCTTGCTAAAATTTCTGTTTATATGGTATTGCTCAATAACAACAGAAATAAGACAATGATAGATAGTCTGGCAATTCACAACTCAGATTGTGTGAACATCACCATCTTAACACAATTAAACCGCAATACACAAATCCATCACATTGCCAACCTATTTGCTCAAAAAAAAAAAATATTTATAATACAAAATATATAAGGAATTTTTGTCTTGTTTATCTATTATTTGCAAGTCTATCTGACAATCAAACTATAAAAATACTTCTGGTATTATACATTAAAAATTCTTGTATATTTTTTTAAGCAAATGGCCTATCAATTACATAATTTACAGTGATTAATTAGCAGGCGTTAAATCTAGTACTCCTGACTCCCAGCTCTCTCAGTCTTATATTGATGTTCTTCATACGGCTGGACAAAATCACTTCATGCTTGTCATGCACATTTTTGAAGAATTAATGCATTTTCACTTTATGCTCAATAGAACCCCACCCTAACACCAGAACCTCTGACCTAAGGGCCATAATTTTGGAAAACACCCTTACTTATCATAACTATGCACTTAGTTTGTTTGCTAAATACAAAGGAGCGGAGAAGATTTTCAAAGAATAAATGCATTTTTCACTATGTGATCAAGAAAGGAAAAGGAAACTGAGTTTTAAAAAAGAAGCAATCTTATAATAAAAATTCTGTGGTTTTTCAAGAGCATCATACAGTATAATCAGTCCTCTATCTAGAGACAATGGACTTGACACTTCACATTGTTTACTTTGTTTTAATGGAGTTGATATTGAGCTAAGGGGGTATTGTTTGCTTCCCTCTTCATAACCCAGAAGGCGAGACTCCTATAAGATAAACCTCAATGTACTCTTATAGAGAACTCAGCAAATTAAAACAAGTTTGCTCAACATTTATAGAGGACAGTTCACAGAAATGATGACCTCAGTCTTATAGCTCAACAGAGAAATAATCAAATGTGTAAATGGGGGAAAGAAATTTCTACTCATAGAATTTATAGGAAGAGACCAATGTTAAGAGTAAGGATTTACAGATTAAATTTATGCATTATAAGGTTCAACCTCAAAACCTCCAATAAATACCATACTCAAGCCTTTAAACTGTAAATAGTTTGGGTGGAATAATATTATCCATTAACCTCTTCATACGTCAATATCAACTATGAAAAACCAGTACCCATTTAAATCTCAGATTGGGGGCAAACATGAGAGTACATGATTTCCAATCTAAGACCAAAGTGAGATGTACATTGATGGTATTTAAAGTAATATTAAAATGACAGGACCTCATGTCTGTTATCTGGGACTTTTACCTACTGTGTGAAAAGCTCTCATACAATGAAGCTTATTTAAACACTTCAAGACCACAATAAACTTAAAGTCACTGTTACATCATAAAATTCAATAGAATTCTGACATTTGTCATGATGGGATTCATTACTGGAATCTAAAAGTACACAAGTGTATGAATAGGAGAGTGGGTGGTACCCGGGTATATGTAACACTCCTCCTTTCTGCTAAATATTAAAAATCATAATCTGCACATGGTGTGTGATTTTGTTGTGTTTGACTATGTGTATCTTCTAAATTTACTAAATGTTGACACATGACATTCCAATATCAAATATATTATAAAGCATATACAGAAAAATGAAACAAATCTAGGAGAAAATGGGATCCATCAAATATCTATACAGCTTCTGAAACAAATATTACTTCATCTAATTATCACCAATTACCATGTACATACCAAAGAAGCCCTAAAAGATGAAACAGAAAAATAAAGTAAAGAAAACATGGTTTAATGGATATAATGCTTGAATGGAAAACATCACATTTGGGAAAAAACATAAGCACTTCCTTGTCAGCAAACTTTTATCCCCTCCCCTCCCCCCCCCCCCCCCCCCCAAAAAAAAAGAAAAAAGAAAAAAATCTGCATGGCCCGATAATACAATGTGGAATGTCCCTGAAGTAAACTAGGTTTATCAAACATCAGTGTTTAGTTTGCACTGAGATTAGCAGACATAATAAACCACAGAGAAGAGCTTCAAACTAAGTAAATACTGTGGTATGATTATTGCTATTGTAACTGTCAATGTAGCTTCACGTCATGGAATTTAATGTCACAAGAAAGGGCCACTGATTCCAAGAAAAAAAAAAAGAGAGAAATGTCAAGAAAATCAAAATGCATGTACATGTATATTCAAAGTTGGCTGAGCATATCCAAACTAAACTGTGCATTACATTTTGACATCTGTACATTAATTTTGTATATTGGTAAGGAAAGAGTATAGCTATGAAGTAACATATATCTTATTTCCTAATTGTTTCATGGTAGTTCATTACTTTTGAGCTTTAGATATACCAAACAAATGCATCTTGTTGAATAGCTTATTATACAAGATGTATATACACTACATCTGAAATTTCATAGATTTATTCCGTTTTCACAGTATGATACATTAAATACAGCTTTCCTTCACAGTCAACATTTTTAATTTTTTTTAAATCAACCCATAATTTACATGTAAATGCATCACTGAAAAGTCCAGTTTTAAATAACAATACTTTAAACATATTAAAGAAAAAAAAATCTTAGAAATTATAAGCACATAACAATTTTATATCAATGTACTCTCCATGTTATGAAGTATTTGCAAATTTCTGTTTGCAAGTTTAAATACTTTATATATTGAAAAGCATTCCATGAGTTTAAACTTACATTAGAAATCAATAACCATTTACACTGAAGGCCAGATTTAAATTTTAAAATTAATATGATAATTACCAGTATGAACTGGATGCATGTTGCAAAGTGTTGAGATACACATACATGCATGTACAAGTTTATTCTTCTTGTGATTACATCTAATGCACTTTTAAAGACTAAATACATATATGTATTTATGAAGTTGTGGTATACTATGTTGTGTATGTAAAACTGAGCTTGAACCATTTCAGCTGAGCATACATGTACACCCTTTCATTAATTGATTAGATATCAAACTTCTTTTGGCATACTGTATATACAGAGCACATGAATCTACACATACTTTCATGTTTTGATGTTTTCATTGAGCAATGTACGCTAAATGATTTTCTTTAAATCAAATCATAAATGATTAGCTCTTAAATTGAAAGGTATGGGATTTAATCCCATGCATATACCCTTGTCATGTTTAAATGGTACTTGAATTCAAAGTGGTCAAAGGGACATAACCTTTATTTAGCTGTAGTTTCACAATTTACTTCCATCTGTGAAACCAAACTGTTAAAGTTACAAAATAAGTCAAAATCATGTGTTTCTTTTAAGAAAGTTGTATCACAAAACAAAAGATGTGAAATATGAATATAGCGAAGTTTTGGCAACTCAACTGCACTGTAAAGCAAGAAAAAGGCTGCAAAATGTAAGTGCTGGAAAAACAAATGTTGTTTCTATCGCCTTGTTTTTATCGTCAATGTCCACAATGTCAAGGTCACGTGTCCTTTATTTTTAGCGTGAAACTTGTAAACAATATTATATTGGAGCAAACAGAAGTGAGAAATAAGTTCTAATCATCTTTTTTTGAAGATTGTATAAAAATTCTCGGTCATCCGACATTTATATCTATGGAATTGAAACCATGGTAAATTTCTTCAACTTTTCAGTAAGAGGAAGAAGTGAAGCAATATTTTTGTGTTGGGTTATACAAATATTTTTTTTTACTTTTATTTTTCTCCATTAAAGTAAATTTTTTAGGTTCTGAAACCTGGAATTTCCTGAAACCTAATACTTTCAAGAACTGAACAAAATTTGCATGTGTCATGCATAAATTCTACTTTTGTCGATTTTCGCGTTTTTCTGTCATGGTGTCACTTTAACATCTTAAAAAAAAAAACAGCTTTCAAATCAATTTATTATGTACTTTAAAGCTGAATGCATTATACATTCATTCAAGTTCATCAGGAATTTCAATACAAATTTGTGATACCAATGTTTTTTTTTCTTCACAGAGAAAAATAATAATATTAACCCTTTAAAAATTGTAGAGATAATTCATCAAAATCACATTAATGCTTACATGTAGTTCTGTTTAAAAAAAAAAAACTATTTAATTTGTCTACATTATTCTCTCTTTTATTCTTTTTATACTCAAAGTGAGTTCCGCATCAACAAGTTTGATAAGATGATAAGAAATAAAACCTTGACATTAGAGAAATCATTTAATGACAGTAAAATGAAAATAAAATGACCGTAAAACGTTCATCCATTGCATCGCTTATTATATCTTCACCTTGGTTGTATCATAGTAAGTCAGACATTTCCTTCATGAACTGATCATATGCATCGTCCTTTGTTTTTGTTGGTGCTGCTGTCACAGCCGGTGCTGCCACCTGGGACATACTTATTGGTCGTCTCTCCTCTTCTTTGGCTGTTAAAAGACATCAAATTTTCAATAACCTATGCCCAGTTAACTTGATATACATTTATTAGTGCTGTCTTTTACAAATTCATATCACAACATGTATCCAATAATATCATCAAAATGTAATGCAAAAATATGCCTACCAGCAGAATTGGTACAAGATGAACCTTTTTATGGTTACATACTGATATGGGGTCATAATTTGACCAAACTTGCACGTAAAGTATATTTAAAAATTTGCATTTATATATATTAATTTTTGAAGTTTATTACAAATGCTCTATTATATGTACAGGAATATGCATAGCTATGACAGGTTTACAGTCTGCACCTCAACATTCAATAGACATGCCTTAATCAAAATTATACCCAAATATAAAATAATAATAATAATAATATAAAATATAAAATAAAACAGACAGCCCCCCCCCCCCCCCCAGAAAAAAAAGCACAAGCAAAGTTATTTATCTTCATGTATATAGTATAAAAAAAGATACTGTATCAATTTTTCAGAAGGAAACTCACTGTGGGTTCTTATTCTGCCCTTGGCATCCTTTCCTTCTCTCTTAACCTTAAGAGCTGTAGGCATAAATCTCGTAACATCACCCATCAAATTCTTAATCTGTGGTTTGGCTTCTATGGTGGCCATATTCTTCTTTTCTTCCTCCCCAGACTTACGAGGAGGCTTCATGATGCTGGGAGGAGCACTGAGAACATTAGGATTAGGCCCGACCCCTGGAGGAGGGGGCAATCCTGGGGGTAATACACCTGGGGGACCAGAAGGAGGTCGCATTATCCTGGGAGGAGGCACTCCTGAAATGTTTTTCATAAAATTTGGTCAAAAGAAAAAAACAAAAAATATTGTTAAATACTATTTAAGATAAGCATATCAGAAAATACAACCTGGCATATATAGTTTTCTCAATATTGTAAGAGATTTTATATCAGGATTTAGATTTTGTAGATAAAAAATTCCTGTCAGCTGCCTAAATAGTAAATATTGCACATTAAACTTTTCTTAAATATTCAGGTAAGGCACCTGGAGGAGCAGGTGGCATCCTTTGCCCTGGCATCTGTAAGTTGGGAGGTAAACCTGGTGGGGGTCCCGGTGGTAGTCCCTGTGGCCTTCCAGGAGGGGGACCAGGAGGCAACATTCTGGGTGGTGCTCCTGGGGGACCACTTCTCAAAGGTGGAGGTCTGAACATCATTGGGGGTACACCTGGAGGGGGACCTGTATAAGGCAAATATCACAGATTTTTGATGATACTATTCTTTACAGCACTGGTGCAGTATTTTGTGTCAGAAATATTCTTTGAAAACAGCTTTCACATTTTCTCATTTCCACTATTTCATTAATTCAAATAAATTGAAAATCACAAAATACATGTATCTCAATTTTCATAACATCTTATATTAAAGAAGATGGGTGAATATGACAACCGAAAAGCCTATAGAGTGACAAACATGAAGGTGAAAAATTAAATCTCAATTATATCAAAATTTTCCTTAATATTTCATCTAACATTAAAATATACTGTATGAAAAATCTCTACAATTTGCAAAAATCTCACAAAGATTAAAATTATTTGCCTATGAAATGTTATACACACACTAAAGAGGTTAAAATGAGTCATTTTCTCATATTATAACACTATTTTTCGATATGATAGGGTCTTCTCTCCATTTTTTTGAAAGTTAATCTTGAAAGTTCGCATAAAATATACATTTTTTGGTTACCAAAAACATGGAGCAAAGACCCAGTATACCTTAAAAATACACTTTTATGACATAACATTCGCATATTTTCGAGAAATACTTGAAGTCCATTAAGTCAAGGGTCATATCACAAACATGATTTAAATGCCACTATTCATCAGGACTTATGTAGTCTAGTGGTTAGCATGCTAGTCTCAAAAGAAAATGACACTGTGGATTTTTATTGCTGGGGTTCGATCCCCACAAGTACCACATTATTTTTTAATAAAAAGAATAAATTTTGCTGAGAAAATTTTCCTCATGAAAGTTTTCTTTATAATAATTTCATAAACTTCAATAATGAGAACTTTACTCTAAATACAAAATTCACAAATTTAACATGATTTTTAAAATATCTGAAGCTATAGGCTTTCTGCACGCTATGTTCACCCATCTCCTTTTGAAAAAAATTATTTGATAATGTCTAGTATATTTGCATGTAGGTTGTAAATTCTAATTAAAACATATGAGTACCTGAAGTATGAATTTTACCAGTAGAAGTTGCAATAATTCTCACCTGGAGGTACACCAGGGGGTACTCCTGGAGGTGCACCAGGTGGGGGTCCAGGGGGGACTAATCTTCCTGCCTGTTGTGTGTCTGTTCCCTCTATTGGGGTGCTCTCAGTCAAGCGTGATGAAACTTCCTGTGATTTGTCTGCCTTTTCATCATCTGAGTCTGACTCATCGCTATCTCTTCTTCTCTGAGAAATTAAACATCATCCAATGTACCGGTAATCAAGTGCAACAGTCTGCTCATATTTTTCTTGTCATTGTAATAATCATTTATTTCATTCATTTTTTCCTTTAAAAACCTGAATTTGTCTTTTACTGCTTTTACTTTATATCACTCATAATTTACAGTACTGTAGATCACTATATTTTTGCGACACCTTTTTTTTTTTTTGCCAGATAGCTATTTGGAATTCATTAGCAATAAAATTTTTTTGCAAGCAGTGGTTTCTGCTGTATATAATCCTTAAAAAAAACCCCCAAAATATACCCAAGAATAAATTTTCACAAGCAGACAGTCTGGTGTAATTATGAAAAAATAAAGTTCTCGCAAATAAAAAGTAATCTACAGTATCTCTAGTAACCCAGCATGGAATAAATACTAGAATTGTAAAAGAATATGAAAAGATTTCCAAAGCTTACCTCTTTTTTCTCCTTATTTGGAGCCTGCTGTCCGGCTAACTTTAACATTTTTGCCTGAAGAGGAGTAACTCCAGCAGCCTTTGGTCGAGCATATTTCAGTCTGGTGTCCTTTTCCTCTTCCTCAGGATTTCTAGAGTCATCATCTATGAATCTAATTTTCTTCTGTTTACTACCTGCTTTTGAAAACAAGAAATGTTTTAGAAACAGAGAACTGGTAGTTGACCTTTGACCTAAAAATCGATAGGGATCATCTAATCCTGAAAGGGGTACCAATGAACCAATTTTGATAACTGTCAAGCAAAGGTTTTCAAGGGGGATAAAACTATCTCTTCTATTTCAGAATTCATACCAATAAAATAAGCAGCAAGACATCCCCTCCTATATATATATATATATGAATTTATAACACTTTTTTTTTTATATAAATCAAATGTTCACAGTCACCTGAAGAATGGTCTGTTTCCATCGGATGTTCTGTAACATCATGTGGATGTTCTACATCAACATCAACTGTACCAATATTTTCTTCAATGCCTGCAAGATATGTAAACCATATTAATACAAAATGTCAAATATTATTCCCAAATACAGTCAAACCTCGTTATCTCAAACTCAATAGGACCGAGAAAAAACTTAGATATGTGAGGATTCAAGATAACCAGGGTAAAATACTTAAAGATTAAGGGGTTGGGACTTCAAATCACTTCGACATATCCATGGTATTTGAGATATGGGTGTTCAAGATACCAAAGTTCAACTGTAGTGGCTTTAGCAAAGTTTGTAATAGATGCTTTCAAAATTCCCAACAAAGAGTAGATTCATTAATTTTAGATTGGCACTGACCTTTAGCAGGGTCATATTCTTCTTCATCTTCACTGTCACTCAAGATAGGAGGAGGACCAGGGGGCGGGCCTGGTGGTGGGCGTCGCCTCGCTGCTTCCAAGTCAAAATTTGATAGACTTTTCCTTTACAAAAATTACAAAATAAAATCTGTCAATGTCAGTTTCATGCATTTAAATGAACCTAGATGTAAATGACTTTATATTGACTGTCAATGTTTTGAAAGCTTGGCATTCTTTTTTTTCCCTTTAAACTAGGAAAAGGACAAATGAAGATGCTTCAATGTAACTACGGATTTGTTCAAATTTACTTTACACAGTGAAGTTTACAAAATTAAAAAAAAAAAAAAGATATGCTAAAATTATCAGTTGAAAATAACTCAAGGTCAAGATCTAGTAAATGAAAGAAGCCTACATGTTTCTCAAATTTGAGGAATGAATTCCTTTAATGATGCTTAGTTACTATATTTTTGGTTAAATAAGGTGTATCAGGGCATAATTTGTTTGGTAAACACAAAACAAGTCTTTTAAACTGTCATTTTCAATGAAAAATAAAGAAAATCAGCTATGAATTTGGAACTTTTTTTTCCCCATATCACTCAAATGAATTATAACTTCATAATGGACCTGGCACTAAAAAGCTGTGTGACAGTTCAGCTGTCAAGTTCAAACCGGCAGTATACAACTATGAGAATTTTTGTGATTATTCTATCTACAAAATGCTGCATTTAATCTATATGGAAGATAAATTAACACTACTAATAGATAAATTATGTTGTTGTGTTGAATCACATAAAAACACATCTTATGATTTAAAAGCACATGGTTGAGATCGTCATTTCTTGTCAGCCGCCATTACTGTTTACATATTTGGATGTGTTAACAAAACATGCCCAGGTAGCTTTTATTCTTATAATTATGAACACCACCTACTTCTGTCAAAGTAATAGCTTCCTTTATTCTTCTATTGCACCTATTTTAATTAATACTGGCATTTGTAATAATTATGTAAAATCCATTATTTAGTTCTTCTATACAATTCAACTGGGGATGCAGTATTTCCGGTTGGGGGAAGTAACCAATTTTGATTTCATGTGTGTTTTACATCTTAATATTACATAGGTAACTGTGCACTTCCAATTAAATTCCTATATATATATGGGTGCACTGGCGCATCTAAATTGGATTGGGGATCGAGAGAGCACCACTTACATAGATACATAGTAAGCTTTAGGAAAAGACATGGGTGCCGGCCTAAGACTTTAAAAACCTCCTATATATTTATTAAACTTGTGTTTAACATTATTTATTATCACTCACTTACCAATCCAAATTCCCAGGACAGGGGCCATTTTGTAACTAAATATTAATCTGGCTTACCTTAATTAAAATTCTATAACTTTATTCTCGACTTCAGTCTTCTCTTTTCATGTATTTTCATGTATTAGAAAATCCTTGTACTGAGTATACTTGGACTCATTACAGGCTGTTTTAATTCATTTACTAGATCTTGACCTTAAAGCAGGGACATAACTGCCCACAACTGAGTTATAATACACACTCATATGTGGTTTTCTTCAGTATTCCATGTGGTTTGTCTTGGCTTAAGGGTAATGGTATATCCCCAGGTAAGGGTATCATTGATGTAGCTGCAGAAGAAAAGTAAAATATGTTATATTTACATGTACGTTAGAAGCTCATGAAGTTTGTATACATTACTTATATGTACCACAAATGTTACTCACTTGTGTCATGCTGTGGCAATGCTGGTAAAGGAATCTGGTCTAATTTTACTCTCTCGGCATTCTTTACTTGTTCTAAAAAATCATTTCTTGAATTTATAATGATATATATATATATATATATATATATATATATATATATATATATATATATATATATATATATATATATATATATATATATATATATATATATATAATTTATTTATATACCTTTGAACATGAGAAAAAAGATGTAAAAATGATTATTTTATAATTCTGATATTTACCATAGTAAACTTGAAGTTTTTCTCTTTTTCTGTCATATTCAACCTCTTGCTTCTGTAAATCTTTTGCCAATTCTGGATTTTCCTTTTCCTAAAAAAAAAAAAATGGACATACATTATGGGCGAAAATGATATCAAAATTCATTTTCTTTGAATAAAACAAAAAGTTATGTTTGATACAAACAGGGTATGTTAAAATTACATGTACTTACATAAAGTTTCAAGACTCTTTGAAATGTTTCTTTGAGCTTCTTTCTCTTATCTTTTAAGACTTTTTCACTAAGTTTAGGTGCATCAATAGGGTTGAATTCTGAAAAATAAACATTTACAATTTAAAACCGATTCAGTCTAAAGATTAAAAAAAAAGGTAGATTCTATATGCAGTAAGATTTTTTAGTAGGTATTAAAAGTTTTTATATATGCTTGATATTTGTAAAATTTGTCAAAATTTCATTCTGATAAAAAAAAAGATACACATAATGCTTATTGGACAGAAAAAAAAATCCTACCCATAAGATCAATGACTTCCATTTCTTGCAGTAACTTCAAAGGATCTTTTCCCTTTAGGACTGCTGTTCGGACCATCATACGCTGTTTCTTATTCTGCAAAATTACAAGGATTTTTTCAAAGATTTGTTCTCTTCTGTGTACAGAACAGTGAGACACAATGTAAACCCCAAAACAGTATGGAACTTTGTCTTTGTTGATCGATGTGAAGCCACTTTTCACTTCTGAATAAACTTAAAGTAAAGGAGCAGTAAGTACACTTTGGGTTACAAATATAAGGTTAGCTCAACTCAGAATACTTCTTTCACATCCAGTTCATACTGCAATGCCTATTTCCTGGGTTATAGTGGGTAAAATTAAGGAGAAATAACATACCAGTAATAACTATGATAGATAAAAAGTATTTTTTATGTTTTGATATTTAAAACTGTAAAATTTAAATTATCTAGATCATCTTCAAATCACAGAATAAAAATATTAAAACCCCTCTTGAATCAGACTCCTAAACTGCAGTTTACTACATTGATGATTAAATAATTGAATGACTGGTTTACCTAATAAGACAGTGTGATTCACACTTGACAATTAATATAATTCACCTTCAATTTTGCAACAGTACACGACACTTCTGTCAAAATGTGATGCATTTTTCCTCCTTATCTCCAGTGTTTCACTGGGGGATATGTAAACCTACCTGTCAGTTATATATGTATACTTATGTTAATACTATGATATTAAATTGTATAGTAATATACATTGTTTGTCCATATTTCTATGCTCCTTTTCAATTGCACCATTTTAGATAACAAATATTCAATGACTTCTAGACTTGCCTTTTTCAGCTCCTTTTTTCTGGCCTCTTTTCCTGCAAGAAGATATTCCAATGAGTTACAGTATACTACATGTATAAATCATGACAATAATTTATAACAAAAACAGCAAGTGCTGTGAGCTCTAACGGCAACATATATGAACAGAAGAAATTCGGGTTGAAATCCACACATTGTTTAAACAGGTCGAGGAAACTATTTTCTGTGATGTCAGAATAAATTTACATGCTAAATGAGGCACCCAACATGACTGGCAAACCGAACAATCAGCTAAATGAGTTGCATTATGGGTTACTACAAAAAATACTACATGTATGTTTCGAGAAGGTCAGTTTTTGAAATCGCTCTCGGAAAGACATGATGCATTTTTGCAAGCATTTTACACACTTAATTTAATATGTACATCATTATCTACTAGTTCCATGCTCACATTTACATACAAATGTTTTACAACGGTAAAATTAGGGTTTTCTGAACTCCATTGTAGACAATAGCCTGGCGGTTTTTCCCGTGCTGTACTATCAGTCAGTATGAATTTGATGTGACTATTCCCTAGTCCAAAACAAATCGACTCTGAGGTGTACTCACATATTGTCATTGTTTACTATGTATACAACTTCGATATACATGTATATGCTACTCAACATACGCTCTATGATCAATGTACATGAGAATTAAAATACCGTACAGCAATAGACTTATGTTTTTTATAACTGCATTAACTTTTAATATTTAGTAAACAAATAACAAAGTAACAAGGAATAACACCAGTAGCATGGCAAATTTACGAATATCAAGTTATAGAAACTGGGTTCTTATTTACTTGTGAAGACTTTGTGAGCGGTATTTCAATGTACTATTTAACACAGAAAATTGACTTTGTTTGTTAATGTTGAGCATGAAAAATCTTAATTAATACCCATTCTTCATGTTTTTCACAAAAACATTAAAAATAATTATTAGTTGACTTTCCCGCAGTCATTTTAAATCACGTACTAAATTTGCCTGACCCACGTGTTTGTAGTAAAATAAAAACATGTAGTAGACCATCATGCTTTTTGGTTCATTCATTGGATTGGACGATTGCTCACTGTAAGCACCTCTGTGCACAATGACAACAATATCCATATATGGTAGATTCCACGAATTGTTAAAGAAATTTTGATGGGACAGCATGAAAATTTTTTTAACTCCCATTCATCCTTTGTGCTGCATAGCAACATGGTGGCATAAGCATAGCAACAACTTACTTGAAAAAAAAAATACAAACAAGGATTCAATGCAATTTTCATGCCCCAAAACAATTGTTGGCATCCTCACTAAACATGACTTTGTTTGTAATGTCATATTTTCATCACTTAAATGGCTCAGGTATTTCCAATTTTGTCAGGAAAATCCAAGAAGTTTGGAATCTTGATCCCAATGCATGGCAAAGTTTGAGGATATTTTTATTTGTCATATCGTTAAAAATGAACTTACAATATGCAGTAAACACACGGGCAAAAGTTTACTGAAAATTGTAATGTCATTAGCAGAATGCAAATCAACATTTGAGAGCTGTATAAAGAGTTGAAGAATAATTTAAAATTAAATTATAACAAATTAAAGATGGAACTGTGCTTGTCCTAATGGTTTCACAATTTGGACATATTATTTACCTTATATTGCATAATAAATCAAAAATGAATTTTGAGGAGGTGCAGTGATCAGTGATCAATACTAGTATACAGTATAAATTATGATGTCATATACAAATATAGTCAGAAACTTTCAACTGAGATTGGTACGCATGTTAGAGTATCTTTTCATGATAATGCAAAGGTCATTTAAGTAACTGATCAAGCTAATACTAACGGTTACCAGTTTCTTTTGCATACACTGTATGCAAAATGAAGTTTAGCATTGGTAACATAATTTTATGAATCCTTACTGCATAACAAAAATGTTATTTTAAAACTTACTGGCTTGGTCAGTAGGATTCATGAATTTCCCACTTTTTGTGGTGTTGATTGATCTTCTTCCCATCTTTACTCTTTATATGATTTTGGTGCAAAAAATAAAATCTGGGTGAATCAATCAAGTATAATCTTCGACAAATCAAGCTCTCTTTTCTCTCACAGTTCTGTACTCATTGCTTGACTTTCTGTTTTTTCCCTGCAGTTTTTAGTAGACACACTATTTTTTTCACACAGTCGGAAATGGGATTGATACAATATTTACGACTTTATTTTTACTATAAAAACGATTAAAGATATTAATGAATATGTGAAAGAAAATACAAATAGAGTAAATTCTTTTAAAAATCTAATATTACATTTTAACATCATCACTATTAGGCCTATGATCAGTTACAATATTTTACGACAACATCGGAATATGTCATAATCAGACAAACGTTTTTCAAGGCATGATTTTAATGCTAGCTGAAAAATGAAGAAAATCAACATTGACTAATTATTGGGTGTAGAGGAAAATAAATAAATTTGACAGGATGAGTACGACAAGCATTCAGAAAGCAGATATTGACAATAAACTTGAAAGGGTTTGTATTATGATCTTAATGTAAATAACATTTGTTGACATTGACTGATATTCATTAAGGAAATAAAAAGGAAAGGATGAAATTTTTATTTTTATTTCTTTTTATTTTATACGAGATGGCTTTATTCTTTAATATGTTGACGGTGTGACCGTTAGGGCGAGCGCAGATAGCTATTCAGTTTTAATTAACATCCGTATCTTCAAACCGCACGTGACATTTGGTGCATCTAGACTCTGACGTCAAATTACCAAACCGAAGCCTGAACAGTACTAATTTTAATGAGGAATGTTTAATCTCCTGCAATATCCATTAAATCAATGTGATTTTATTTCTTGTAGTTTGTGGCAAGATGATATTCGTAAATCATTATGGGACCACAGGTTACTGCGGAAAAAATTAATTTGGATCAATGTGCAAAGTTCGAATTTTTTCTTTGCCCAGGCATTGTTTTAAGAGCTCTGAGTGACATTGGCGCTTTGCGCTGCTCATTGCGCTCACTATAAAATAGGATGTACAATGAGATCAATATAACTTTGTTTTAAAACAATGTTCTTGGAATAAAAACAAAAGTAATTGCATCTGTCAATTTGTAAATCTTTTATTCAAAATCATGGATCAAATATATTAGATTTATCATAAATATGCATACTGAACCACAAAAAGGTGCACTGAATTTGCAACTTCATCCTTAAAGGTGCTTAGACACAGATTTGAACTTAATATTTTCTCAAATTTTCTGTATAATATCACGACTTATATATTGCAATAGCATTTCACACAAAATATAATTAAAAACTTATTTTATCTGGAAATTATTGGAACTACCAATTCCGGGACGCGTTTGATTAACACATCTTTGCAGTTACACAAATTTTAACTTTATCCTTAATATTTAAGAAAAGAAGCGATTTTGTTATGTATTAATGAAAAATATTACATCTATAATCCAGAAAATTCAGAGTAGAAATGTTCGAAAGCAAAACCAACTCACCAGTATTTTCAGTCCGTGCTCTGTGATGTGTACAGAGTTTAACAAATTGAACACACCCGTGGAACGTAAACTGTTTTTGTAAACAGGGCACAAGCTCTGTTATTGTTAATGTTTACGATTCACCGAGTGTGTTCAATTGTTAAACTCTGCACACACCACTGAGCATGGACTTACAATACTGTGAGTGGGTTTTGCTTTCGAACATTTCTACTCTGAATTTTCTGGGTTATAGTTTTAATATTTTTTATTAATACACAACAAAATTGCCACTTTTCTTAAGTATTAAGAATAAAATAAAAATTTGTGAAAGCGCAAGGATGTGTAAATCCAACGCGTCCAGAAATTTGAAGTTTTAATAACTTCCAGATGAAATAAGATTTTTATTATATTTTAGTATGAAATGCTATAGCAACATATAAGTCATGAAATTATACAGAAAATTTTAGAAAATATTAACTTCAAATCTGTGTCCAAGCACCTTTAAAGAAAATTAACAATTAATATTACATTTAAATTTTCATTTAGAAAAAATAAATATTATTCCAGTAAGGAGCTCTTAAAACAAAACCTCTAAGTGTTAGAGAAGAAATATTTTAGACTTTGCTCATTGATCCAAATGATTTTTTTCCACAATTACCGTGAGACCCACAAGGCAATGCATATACTCCTCTGCTAACTATATTCTCACGATAAGAACAAAAGCTCCCCAAATAATAAACTCACCTTGATTGAATGGGTATTGCAGATATATAGTAGGTAAACATTTTTTGGTTAAAATTTGTACAATTTAGACTTCATTGTAAATGGTAATGCAACTAACATATGACGTCAGAATTTAGACCTTCCGAATGTCTCGAGCGATTTGAAGAGGTGGATCTAAGGTAAAACTAAATAGGTACATGCATGTATCAATTGATACGTATCTGTGGTCACCCTAACGGTCACACCTTCAATATATTATTTTTAAAAAAAAAAATGAGGAGGCAGGAGGCATTAGGATATGAATGATAATTATTTTCATTGTTAGGAAAATGTAAAATTTTCAGAATCTTATTATGTTAAACTTGATCACTTCCACATAATACATATACACTGACATTCTAAAAATTTGTTTTAAAGTAGTATCTGCTATAAGCTATATTTTTCCAGAGCAAATGTGTGAGGAATACCTGAGGTTGACTTTAGTAATATATCTTAAATAGATACTATGCACTGATAGAATATATAAAAAATTCTCATGTATTTTTTAAAATCTGCTTTGTTTTATTTTTTAATTGCAGGAGAAGAATAATTTGCTAAATTTGAAGGAAGCCTTAAATAAGAGCAACACCAACACTAACAACATGCTGACAATTCTGCAGAGCTTTGAAAACCGTCTCAGGAAACTGGAAAATACAGTAGAGCCTGTATATAATGAAACTGAAATGTTGAGAAGAAGACAAGAACGTATCCGTTTCCTTAAAAGATTAAATACAGTTTGCTTTAGCTCTACTGGTTGGAAATTTGTAATAAAATATATACTTCTAATAATACCATTTTCTTATGCATTGATAAATATTTTGCAACACTTTTATTGCAAAAATTGCTCATGTTAATAGCTCCCTGAATGTGTGACATACATGTATTCATTCTCTTTATATTTTTTGCTTTGTTAAGAATAGTGCCCTTTCCTATTAATTTTTTGTGCTTTTTTAAAGAGCCAGAATTTTCCTTACAAGGTTCCTAGATATAGAAAAGACTATGGTAACCCTTGACAATGTGCTGGGCTACTATCATGTTGCAAAAGAAGTTGAGGAATTCATAAAAGAAGGGTATATTTTCAAAATGCATGGATTTATTATTAGAACAAAAATGCATTTATTAACATTCATTGGATAACTGTTCCTAGCACCTTACATTTTTGTGATAAGCTGTTTATCTTAAGTGGTGCAGAGACATTTTTTGATAATCAGAGCTTGTTGATGTCAATCGGTCATCAAAGAATTTAGCATAATCTAAACTTCAACAGGAAAAGGAATAATCTAGTCACAAGGCCAAGCAGAAATCAATCAATTACTGGTCCTGGAGAAGTGCTGTTTATGTTCAGTGCACCCAGCATTACACACAAGACCTATGAATCACTGATACAAATTAACATTTTCTCCAGAAGAGGAATCAGACCTGGTGCAAATTATTTTCAGCATATTTACTCTAGAACTATCTGAATTTCCCAATGGCCAGCATGTCTGTACTGCTGAGACAGGTCTTTTTTCCCCCAAACAAATGCATATCCAATCACAAAACCTCATACAGAGGTTCTTCTTCTGGTTTCAAATAGTCAAACCTTGTTATCTTGAAATGGATGTTGCTAAGAAAAAACTTCAAGATATCCAATCATCTGAGATACTGATGTTAAAGTATGTTGAGTAAAGGTGGTCCAGACTATTATTTCCTATCTAGCTTGTAACACGATATTTGATTGGTTAGTAAGCCGGATGTAAATTTCCATACATCTGGCTTGAGCATGGGGTAAATAACATGACAATACAATGCGTTGTTTCTCTATCACAAAAAAACAAATCCCATGAGACAAGTACAAATTTGTAACCACTTGTCCCCATGGTAATAATGATTTAAAGAAAGAACACATTCATACCATGAATTATATCACGAATCAGTTTATTTTAAAAGGCATTCTAACTAGGCTGGGCTGTAATTTAGGACAGTAATGAACCAAAGTTTTACCGGTCAGTTTGGACAAATTGCAATGATATCAATTTAGCCTCATCAGATTTTAACTGATCTAGAATGCATTGAAAGTACTTTATTCTCACCCTGTCCAATAAGATTGAATATGAATCAAAGCAATCAGGTACAATGTAATTTATGTTTTTCTGGTGAATTTTTCGTAAGTAAATAAGTTTTAAAGAAAACAATGCTGAAGAATACTGATGTGAGATGGAAAAAAATTGTGGCTCATAGGCTTCTGATAAAAAAAATTCTGTTTTGCCTTTGCAGGCCTCACAATTGTGGATTAGAGAAGTATCTATCAATCATGGACAGATTAGTGCAGGCTCATAACTATTTCAACAAACATAACCCAACCAGCCTGGAGCTTACAGATGTGGTAAGATTTGCTCTGTTTCTCTTATGCTAATTACTCGGTTTTGCTTATATATAAGAATATAAGTAAGAAACATTCATTGATACTGATAAGAATATAGTAAACAATAATTGAGATTGTTAATCAATACTTAATCTGAGTTTTTAAGATAAACATTGTCAGATCCGTATGTATGATGATGGGAAGGAGGCTTTAGTGATTGAGTTCAGGAACCTGCTGGGCAGACATTGTAGGCCTGTACCTCCAGTCATGATCCTCGACATGATTTCAACAGATGAGGGTAAGTCACATGTGAGATCTGGAATTTGAACTCCATAGGAAACTTCATTGTCTCTTTTAGCTCACCTGAGCCAAAGCCCAAGTTAGCTTTTCTGATCAAATTTTTTTTTTCTGTCGTTGTTGTCGTTGTTATTGTCATTGTCATAAACTTTTCATATTTTCAAATTCTTCTCCAGAACCACTGGACCAGTTTCAACCAAACTCTCCACAAATCATCCTTGGGTGAAGTGGATTTAAATTTGTTCTAATGAAGGGCCACACCCTCTTTCAAGGGGAGATAATTAAAAATGAGTGAAATTTAAATGGCATCTTTCAAAAATCTTCTTCTCAAAAATCCTTTGCCCAGAAAATATGAAACTTATGTGAAAGCAGCTTTATATAGTGTATATTCAAGTTTGTTCAAATCATGACCCTTGGGGATAGGGTGGGGTCACATTAGGCAATCCAAGTTTTACCTGGGATAGGAAATAATCTTTAAAAATCTTCTTAAGAACAGCAAAGCCATGAATAGTCATATTATTATAGAGATGAATTTGTTCATATCACACCCCCCTCCCCAGGGGTTAGGGTGAGACCACTTACATATTTAAATTTTAAGTACTGAATTGATTATTGCTTATCTCTAACCAAAGTGCTCAGGTATACACTGTGGCCCATAGGACTCTTGTTTGAATTGATTAATGAAACATGTCAGCAAATCAATCTTTTATTTCTAAAAAAAAAAAAAAAAAGGGCATAAACCTATTTTTTTTAACCATGTTCTGCAGAGTAAAGTTTTGGCTTGTATTTGATCAATTTAGTTTGAACTCTATTACCATAAGAAGTATCATTGTCTTTTGGATGTACTTTAAACTAATTGAAATTCATTCTGATGAAAACTAGATCTTTGTTCCACTCCAAAGTTCTGATTGTGACTGTGCAAAAGAAAGCAACTGTCAAACTTTTGGAGTGGATCAAAGATCTGATATTAATTAGGTTGATGAAATTAAAAAGTAAAACCTGTTTGCAAGATTTTTAGAAATCAATTGTATGAGTGGTGTACTTTCCTGTCTTGTGAGTTTATGTTAAGTGGTTCATTTGGTCAAGTTTTAAGTAAAGTGTTATTCAAAGTCATACATCAAGATCCGACAGGATTTTGTTACTGTAAAGGGATTGAAATACTTTTTTCTCATTAAGATGTATATGTTTTCATTATTACTTCAATCACAGATCAATACTGAAATTGTACTTTTTTTATGTTCAGAGCTACAGGGATCAGATGATAAATCTGATATCCAGCTGGAGCATTTACCGGAGAAAATTCTGAATGAACTTGGCCTGATCTCCTCTTGGCTTTTCAATAACACTAAGAATACAGAGTATATGAAGGACTATACCAAAGCTAGATCATCCATGCTGATCAGATCTCTGCAAGGGTAAGGTATTGTGAAAAAAAAAAATGAGGAGCTCTCAAACTGGAAGAAAGATAGATAGGTTTGAGTCACCATTCATTATCAAAATTATCCATGTTAAATATGTCCAATGAAATTTATGAAAAAAATATTAGCTAAATTGCTAACAACTTAATCAACCTTAACAAGTCTATGGTAATTGATAGGTTAAACAAATAATTTTTTTTCTCCAGATGTACTGTAGATGTACCGGTACTTTTTTCAAAGTGGGATCAATTTACACTATATATAGGGAGTCACAAATTTTAAAGCAATTTGAGCTGCATTTTTGAGAATTTTATTTTGCTGTTAAAATGTGTTATTATGATAAATTTGTATGTAATTTAAACCTTTTTGATCAATGAGACAGAAATAAAGTATCAAATTGCTTCAGAATAAAGGATTCTGTACAATCAAATATATATAGTATTATATAAGAAATCAATATTGCACAGGACGACAATAATGTAATTTTGCTTCAATCAAAGCTTATAAATAGTTCTTCTATCGCAAATATAAGCAACAGAAATTTGTAAACATTCTTTTTTCCTGTCATTGAAATAGTTATTTACAATTTTGCAACAAAAATTTCTGACATCAAAGTTGCAGCTCATATTGCTTTAAGTAGAAATTTGTCACAGTTTACTTCGAAGTCAAGACATACAATGGCAATACAAGAAATCTGTTTTAATTTCTACCCATGGAATGAACAGAAATTTTGATTCCGTGGAATTATGACCTGTAGAAAAAAAATTACATTAACAGTATGTTAATTGAATGATATAAGATGAATCAATACATAATGTCATAATATATAGACATTCTACAGCCATGTTCAGTAATTTTTTTTTAAATTATCATGTACATGTATTATGAAGAAAGGAGATTTTATTACTCCCATTTTCTGTTGCATTTTGTTGAATGAAATGTCATTCTTTGTTTCCAGGTTAAAGGACCACCTGAAGACATCCACAGGCAGCAGTGTGTCACTGTTTACTATGGGAGGATCTCCTGCTCAGGTAAAATACATGTATACTCTCTGCTAGACTTATTTCAGTAAGACAGTGTCCTCTATAATTTCTATCCTCTGCAGCTTCTTTTAGTTGTATGGTAGAAAGGATTGTTACAATAGTTATTTGTAATCTGTAAGCTAGTCTTGTTTATTTGTGTTTAGTGATGCTGTTTACTGTGATGTTTCCCAGTTACAAGATAAAGCAGTTCCCAGAGGCTAGTGTTCTAAGGAAGTTTTGTATCTGTAATGAGCCTCCATGAATACTGAGAAAAACCCGTAATTCTTTCACATGTATAGCTTTATATTCATATCTGGTTTTCAAAAAAAGACAGTTTTCCAAAATTATTGATTTATTTGTCATTGAATTTACAAGGAGGGCACTGCAGTTCCTGTGACTTCATCCTACATACAATTAGCTATTTGGGTCATTCAGGTGGTATACCGGTACTACATATACACATGTAGTGAGTAAAAACTGTTTTTCAAAAGATGACATTTCAATATGTGGATATTCAAATATAAAAAGGATTTTTTTTATTGCAGGCTGGTAAGATGAAAGCTTCCAAAGATACACCAGGCAGAAAGAGCTACAGGAAAATGGCGTGAGTTTATACTTTGTCATTAAATCCTTAGGACAGTTAGCTGTGTTACTGTGTCTCTGCCCAATATAATATTGTATTGATCCAGGCATTTTGTATGGGTTTTTTTCCCCATAAAGCATAATTAAAATGTAGTTAAATTTTTGGTTGTGGATTGTTTGGCACATTTATGGAGCATTGCTATCAATTTTAAAACTTTACAACAGTATAGCTTTCTGAATAAGGATGAACTAGAAATGCCTATCAAGAACACATTACATGTAATTCAAAATTGGAAAAATTATATTTATAATCGAGACAACAAAATTCACAATACTTAAGAAAAAGTTTAACCTATTGTACTTAATGTACATCAGGAATATATTCATTTTGGTATCTTATTTTGGTGGACCTCATAAATAATTTTAATTTAATGGCACTATTACATTAATTTAGAGTACTGGTAGCTGTTAAAAAGCACTTCAGGTACTGGTATTGAGAACTATTCAATAAAAATTGTATACATTCAATATACATGTTAACCCCTTAGCTTTTTAAGTTTTCAGCTCTTTAAGCCAATTTTTTGCCTACTTCTGTCCAATTGAATCTTGCATTCCTCAAATGGCTTCTCAAAAAAAGGTTTTTATTTATACTGAGAATTTTTTTTCACACTGGTAAATTACCTTCATATTTTTAGATTATTGATACTAGTTTTGAAGGTCAACTTTGCCAATTTTGAACTCTCATTTGCTACACCAGTTCTAGAATTAAGAAGGCAGGTCATAAACATACAACCAACAGTAAACAATGGTTTTATTTACACATCCATGATTTATAGATTACATACCAAAATACTCTGGCTTGTTTTGAAAGTAAGCAAAATATGTTTGATACAAACATTATAAATAACATCTGAATTTCCATTGCATATTTAATTATATCTGACTAATGATATTCATTTTAATTGCTTGAAAGCTTTAAGAAATCATGACAAAACCAAAAACAGCAAAATTAATGCAAGCAGTTCTACTGTTTCTGAGTTCTATGTGGTTTTGATTTTTCATCAAAGGTTAACATGTATTGTTCTGTAAAGTTTACATCTTTTAATTTGCTTTTTACAAAAATAAAAGCTCTCCTGTAGCTTTATAATGGATCTGTAGTAGATTTTTTCTGAAATAAAGAAATATTTTAAATACTATTGATGAAGGAATGAATATTTATATTATATTCAATGCAATTATTTAGAATACAACTAGGTACTAAGTAGCATTTGTATTTATATTATTACATACGGAAGCCCAATAGTGCAAACCAAAAAAATAAGAAACAAGAAAACGAAATTATTATATAAAGAAAACGAAATTATTAAATAAAAAACGAAATTATTAAATAAAAAACGAAATTATTAAATAAAGAAAACGAAATTACTAAATAAAGAAACAAACGAAATTATTAAATAAAGAAAACGAAATTATTAATTAAAGAAAACGAAATTAATAAATAAAAGACAAACGAAATTATTAAATAAAGAAAACGAAATTATTAAGTAAAGAAAACGAAATTATTAAATAAAGAAAACGAAATTATTAAATAAAGAAAACGAAATTATTAAATAAAAGACAAACGAAATTATTAAATAAAGAAAACGAAATTATTAAAAAAAGAAAACGAAATTACTAAATAAAAAACTGAAACTGAAATACGGAATTTATAGATGTGCATGGTAAGGGCCTGAACCCATGAATCATTCCATAAAGCGCATGTGTTATAAAGCATCACTCAATAATTCTATAGACCTGATTTTGTTTCGACATTGAAACAAGTGTGGGGGAAATGAAAAAAAAAACTTAGATAAATGTCAAATTGACAAACGTAGGAAAACATTATGTGCTCACAGCCTATAATTCGCATTTGTAAAGTAAATGATTAATAACTGTTCAATTTTGTTTACGGGAATTTGATGCTGTGTCGCATCCCCACAACGTCAAAGTTTGAGCCTGTAAGCCTGGACGTAGCGAGGATGGCTGTTTCTGCTTACATAAAATTAATGACATTCCAAAAGAGCTCATGAATCGCTGAAAGGTCAAGGCCTTGCGTATCGTATCGCTGAATTCCCCCCGAACTAAACCTAGTGCCCTATCTGTGTACCCATAAATCTTAGGTTGTTAAAACAATAAAGAGAATGATTTGAATACTTGTTGGATTTGTTATGCAAGTGTGTGCATTGTTTATTCACAACTATCACTGACTTATGAATACAGATTTAGAATTTGTCATTTAGAATATGTGAGAACAAATAGTTAGTGCATCACTTCTAATTATGCTTTGATAAATGACCAAGAAATCACAGGCGCTCCCCATGTAATTCTGTAAATGACGAATGATAAGTATATATATATATATATATATATATATATATATATATATATATATATATATATATATATATATATATATATATATAGGTGTACCCCTCAATACTATAAAATCAACCTTGTTGATTTTATAGTATTGAGGGGTAGACCTATATATATATATATACTTATCATTCGTCATTTACAGAATTACATGGGGAGCGCCTGTGCAAGAAATTAGAGGTGTTTTGCTTAATTTTTAACAAAGTAAGCAATCATTAAAATCTACTCATTGTAAAAACTTTGTCTTGTTTAATTTTTGCACTTGCTCTCTTTAAACAATAATTTATAATGGGTTCCGATCGGTAACGTATCATTTTACAGCATTTTTTGTACTGTGCTATAATTGAAAAAAAAGATGTATAACCATGGGAATTTCCTAAATGTTATAAGGCTCAGCAGTTGTAAACAACGGAATCTTAACAGACATGTATATCTTAAATATTTGTGCAATTTATTAGCATAATCTCTTTGATGTTTCATGTCCAGATTCATTGTTTGCTAATAATAAGACCTTCTGAGTTGAGGGTTTAAGAAAGCTAATACTAACATAAACTTGTCATCACTGGCCAATTCATCAGACTGGTCAAATTAAGTTCACATTAATCATGTTAATGTAAGATAAAAACATAGATCTAAGCATATTGGATAACCAAAGGTAAAATTCTCCCCTATTCATCTATTATGATTGTCTACTCCAACTGGTTATGTTATCGATGCGGGAATAGCTGAGTGTAAATGGAAATATCACACTTGTTTTAATGTCGAAACAAAATCAGGTCATAGAACACGTGCGCTTTATGGAATGATTCATGGGTTCAGGCCCTTACCATGCACATCTATAAATTCCGTATTTTAGTTTCAGTTTTTTATTTAATAATTTCGTTTTCTTTATTTAATAATTTCGTTTTCTTAATTTAATAATTTCGTTTTCTTTATTTAATAATTTCGTTTGCTTTTTATTTAATAATTTCGTTTTCTTTATTTCATAATTTCGTTTTTCTTTATTTAATAATTTCGTTTTCTTAATTTAATAATTTCGTTTTCTTTATTTAATAATTTCGTTTGCTTTTTATTTAATAATTTCGTTTTCTTTATTTCATAATTTCGTTTTTCTTTATTTAATAATTTCGTTTTCTTTATTTAATAATTTCGTTTTTGTTTATTTATTTTTGGTTTGCACTATTGGGCTTCCGTAATTACATGATCACTATATCATTATAAAGTTGTACCTGTCTTTATCATTCAACAAAATTATGTCCAAAAATGAGGTAGGTTTGAAGAGATCAAAATTTTCCTAATCTTTATAAAGTTACTGATATTTTGTATAGGAAATATTTGCCTCATTATGTATATTATTCTTAAAAGATATTCCTACCATTATTTATGTTGGGCATAAAGACTGATAATAAAGTGATTAAGGAACTCTTTGGTAAACATCAATAGCATAGCTTCCACCACAGACCAATAGACGGTTCCCTTCACATGCCATTGTGCATGCTGTACTCGGAGTTATAGGAAAAATCAACTGGTTCCCACAGAAACATTCCTTGCTATACTGAAATAACAATATTGTATATATGTATTTTGAGCTTCTTGATTTCAAATAAATGATGGAAGCTTTAAATTTTGATTAGTTCAACTACTAGTACATCATATCAAGCTCTGCCTGGAGTCCGCTTACGTTAGCTCTCTCCTACTCATGGTTGTTTGATCACATAAATACATTCAATGATATACAATAAATATTACTTAAGGTCAAGATCTAGTAAATGAAAAGAGCCTACAGATTTCTCAAACTTGAGAAATAAATTCCTTTTATGATGCTTTATAACTATAGCTCGGTCAAATAAGGTGTATCGGGGCATAATTTGCAAGAAAACAAGACGAAAAACCATCTTGTAAACTGTCATTTTCAATGAAAAATTATGAAAGCCAGTCACGAATATGGGAGTTTTTTCCATATCAGACGAAGGAAATGTATTCAGTTTGCCTACAGTCTCTCAGAAAACGGTAATTTGTATGTTCTTAGCCTCTTCTTTAAAATAATGTAAAATTGAATATAGGTATCGGGATTACTTTTCACATGATTTCAAATTGAATGCCATGAAAATACTTTATTTTCTACATAATTCTATTGGAGCTGTAGAATACGGGAAAAGGAAAGTTTAAATTGATTATGACGTCATAATGGATCTAGCACTGAAAAGACGGTCTAAAGTCATTTACTAGATCTTGACCTTTAACTGCGATTAGATATTGAAAGGTCGCATCAAAGGTCATTTTCTGACTATGCTTTACCCGCATTGGTCTATACTTTAATGAGCTACGAAATATTCTGTTCTCATTCAACCATGTCCAGAATAGGAGAGGGTCATACATTTTGACTGTGGTTTGCGACAATGCTACTAGTATTTCAGACGAACTTGTGCATTGGTAAACGGGTTTATTGTGTTTGCTTGCCTGTAAACAATTTTGAAGTGCTACTTCAATAGCTTTTGTCTGATTAGGAAACCAAGTAAAAATGTAGATTACATGAAGTTTATAATTTGTTTAATAATTTTTATTTTTTGTGATAAATGAAAGGTGTTGCTGCTATTACTAGAAATAGAATACTAAGTACTTAGTATGCTTAGTATGTATAAAGAATATTTCAAATTGCTACATCATTTGTCAAGGTGGAATAAAACCTCATACAAGTTTAGACTATACTGAGATTATTCATGTATCATTTTTTGAATTTAATGAACTGTGATTTTTTTTTCTGTCATATAATTTTAAAATATTTGATAATACTTTGTACCAGGGTACTTCAAAATTCAAAATTTTTACTTCAAATAGAAACTAAAGAAAAAGATATTACAGTTTTCCTTAAATACTTTAAGTTCAAACATGTAAAGTTACAGATTCACAAAACAATACTGTTTTTTTTTTTTTTTTTTTTTTTTTTAAATAATAGTTTGAAAATAAAATTCCTTGTGTCAATAACATAAATTTGATCCTTCTATAAATGCAGTTTCTTTAATGCATATTTGATGATTTTCATTTTCATATTATATCAGTTGTACATTTTGACTGTACCTGAACCCCAAAATATGTATAACCTTGGCAGAATTGCTCACAGTGCCAAGGACTGTTTAGTTTTAACACTCCTGCCTTGGCTCTCAGAAGTCGTCCTGGAATTTCTTTCATACAACCAAGTCGAATATAGTGTGCTACAATGTAATTATAAGTGAACTCTAAAACTGTAAAATAGTTAACTCTCAAAAATAGCAGAAACAACAAATAGACATGTATATGTATATGTACCATTGACTTAACTAAACATGTAGAAAGTGTTTTCAGATGGAAAGGTGGGGGGGGGGGGGGGGGGTTACATGCAGTAAGTTTGAAAGAACTGAAGTTTTATCTCTGATTCATCATAAAAACATTAAATACAATTATTGTTATTTTTGAGATCAATGGAATGATTGTTAAAGTAATGTTTAATACATATGCATGTATATACTTATTTCAAATTGAATATAAGTTTACATGGATAAACAAAGGATGGGTTATCCTTTTTCATTCAAATGTTAATATGCATTTCAAAAAATGTTCATTGAATGCAAGAACTTTTATAGAAAGAAAGGATGAAATATTAAGGTGAGAAAGCATGCATTAAGTATTACCTGAATGAACACTGGATAGAATTAGTGTAAAGCAGGAAAGAAGAATCACCAACATTGTCACTTTTTTCCTTGATATTAGTTGTATATTTTTTGGTATTTTTATATATTTTCAATCCATTGCGTGTGTGTGTACAAAAGTTGTATCAGATATAAAAGGATCAAGTAACAGTATAATTGTCAAATCACGTGGATACCAGTTTGAATGAATGAAGCCTATGTTACCAAAACATAAACACGTTACCAGGTTGTTGAAATGAAAACAATAGGTTTTGAAATGGAATAAGATGATAAACCATGAAAAGACAATGTCGATTATGGTGGTCATTTGCTGCATTGAAAAAGAATTACATGTAGTTCAGTTTTGGTCATAAAAAATAATAAAAAATTTTCAGCAAAAATAGGTGTGTTGACAGTGGTCAAATCATAGATAAAAAGAAAACTTTAAGATACATTTTAAGCTCTTCTGAGCCAATGGTTGAAAGAGCTAATCCTATTGCCAGTTTGCTGTGCATCAACTTTTTGGAATATGGGCCACATCTCAAACACCCCTTAACCAATTTTTAAATTTGTCTCAGAGTATCCATGGCCCAAGGGCTTTCATTTGTACTAAAAATAGGGATGTGACCTTTGAACAAGGGGAGATAATTAGGGAAATAAAAACAAAATTAGTGGTTACTAAAAAATCTTCTCATCAAGAGCCACTGGGCAGATTATCACCAAACTTATGCATCACTCTGGGGCTAGGGTGCGGTCTGAAGGTTACTTCAAAGTTGACCTAAAATTATGTTTTCGTTAAAATTTTAAATATTTTGCTTACTATAAGAACTAGGACCTCATGTAATTGACTCAAAAGTAGGTCACAGTGACCTACTTTTTGAAATTTGCAGGTATTTATTGTCAAATTGATGAATATCTTTGACACTTTAAAGCCTATGATCATTAAAATTTGTCCATTTATGCATCATGAGACTGTGAAGTGTGTCAACCAAAAAGTAGGTCACCATGACCTTTTTTTCTGAATTTGATGTCTAATCATTTTCTGATCAGTTCATCATTTCAGTTACTGAGAGGATTAGAATCATCAAACTTTGTAGTTGATACATCTTAGGGCCTTGAAACATATTTATGAAAAAGTAGGTCAAAGTGACCTACTTTATGAAATGTACAGGTATTTTTTGTATAATTGTTTTAAGATGCATATTTTTGACACTGTGAAACCTAGGATCATCAAACCTTGTCAGTTAATGCATCTTAAAAGACCTCAGAATATATCAATCAAAAAGTATGTAACAGTGACCTACTTTCCAAATTTTAAGGCTATATATCAAATATTTCAAATACTAAGTGGCTTAGAATCATCAAACTTTGTCAGTTGTTGTATCTTGAGTCCTCTGAGTGTGTCAATCAAAAAGTAGGACACTGTGACCTACTTTTTGGAATTTTACAACTATGTCTAAATATTTTTGATAGTAAGAGGCTTAGAATCATTAAACTTTGTCAGTTGATGCATCTTGGGTTCTTGAGTGTTTCAACCAAGAAGTAAGTCACTGTGACTTATTTTTTGAATTTCATACTTTTAAGAGGCTTAAAATCATCAAATTTTATCAGTTAATGCATCTTAGTTCAATGAAGTGTGTCAACTGAAAAGTAGGTCACAGTGATTTCATAGTTGTTTCTCAATATTTAGGATATCAAGAGGCTCACAATCATCAAACTTTCTTAGTTAACTCACATTGGTCTATAGACTGAGTCAACCAAAAAGTATGTCACATTGACTTGCTTTTTGGAATTTCATGGCTATATCTGAATATTTCAGAAAATAAGAGGCTTAGAATCATCCAACTTTGTCAGTTCGTGTATCTTGGGTTCTCATAGTGTGTTAACCAAAAAGTGGGTCACGGTGACCTCATTTTGGAATTTGAAGGCTTTGATATTTAGGATACTAAGAGGCTTAGAATATAAGTGGTTTGGCTGTACAATGTATCAGAAGACTGATTCTAGGCCCTTGAGCCACTTGTTTTTATAATTATGTTTTAATATCTCCTGTCTTAACATTTTTGATTCCAACATTCTTAAAGGTAAATTTTAATCTTTCAGCTGATTTTACCATCGAAAATAAATCTTAAAAGTCTATCAACTTGTTTCATTAAAAATTATTTTTTCAACATTTAGCCATTCCTTTAAAAGAAGGGCAGCCACAGCACTAATGCAGTCTCCGTTTGATCCCGGTAAGTGATTTTCTTTTGAATAAATTAATGTTGATATTTAACTTACATTTACAAGCACTTTGATTAAATTTAGATGTTCAAAATTTATGAGATCTTGAAGATATTACTTCTTGTTAGGTCATATGAGTCACTCAGGTGACCTGTTGCAATTGGTCCTTGTCTGTCACCCATCGTCCATTAGCAATTGAATATTTTTAACTTCTTGAATACTGCCTTCCTAATTTCCATCAAAGTTGATATGAAGCATATTAGATATAAGATGAACACAAATTGCTATTTTTATAATTATTGTACACCTGGGACTCAAGGGGCTTGGTAAAATCTGCTGAAAGTAACCAAATTTTCAAATATCTTTTCTACTCATGCAATCTTGAAAATAAACTGAATGCATGGTTAGAGAGAGCTTAAGACCCTCTACAAAATTTTGTTTTTCATGACCCCCAGGGCATTTAGCAGGTACATTGTTCAAGATTCCCACACTTGCATTTACCTACTATATAAAAATAGAATTAGAAATTTACGACATCCTTAAGATGATACTTCCACTTTGTAATAAACCTCTTTGTTCATTAAAGGACACAGGAGACAGGGTTCACACACTGATATCCCAAAGGAGGAAAATCTGGAGGTGGAAGTGGACATTTACATCACAGAGTTATCTGCTCTTCTTAAGCTCATTCAGGTACACTGGGACCAAGTTGGTTGAATATCAGAAAGTTTTCAGTAATGACATAAAACTATTTTAGTGAATCTGCTAGCTATGACCTGATTTCTGTTCTATGACCTGATTATTTATTTCAGAGTGAGGCTCAGTTGATGTCAGGTATCATTGCAGACAAGCACCACAGACAAGTGTTTGATAACATTATACAGGAAGGCCTGGATGCTGTTGTCAAAAATGGAGAAGTAAACTTTTCTTCTGGTTGCTCACCTTAAAAAATTTATCAGTGTATATAATTACTTGTTACAAGATGAAATAATATTGTTTTTCAGTTGTTAGCAAAGAATGCAAAGAAAAGTATAGAAAAACATGACTTCATCAATGTTCTGTCTGTATTCCCTGTGGTTCGACATTTGAGGTCCATCAAACCAGAATTTGATCTCACTCTAGAGGTAATGGCTACTCTCTGATATTGCTAATATAAATTATACTTAGTTATACTGTAGACACCTGATGGAAAGTTAGAACACCAGGCCATGTTAGGAGAATATCCTACATATAAATGATACAGGATTCCAAGATACCCACCCCTAACCCAAAGAAAATAATGAATTCATATTAAAGATTATACATGAATATGCTTTAAAAATGATGCATGGACATACTTTAATAAATGATTTCAATTTGCAGGGATGTGCCACACCCACCAGAGCTAAACTGACTTCTTTGCTATCCACTTTAGGCAGTACGGTAAGTTTTTATTATCGTCGGTGATGGGACATTACAGCTGTTTGATGAATGTTCTGATCATTTCTTGTTAAATGTACAGCTCAATGTACAGCTGTTTGTGTATCATTTTGTAGGGTGCAAAAGCTTTAGAAGAATTTGCTGTTAGCATCAAGGTTTGTTCTTTAAATATACATTAAGAAAATATACATGAATTCACATCAAAATATTTAGTTTGATCCATGATTGGAAAAAAAAAAACTATTTATTTGAAGTGTCCAAGTTTCAATGCATAATCCAAAATATATATGTGAAGTACAGTTATGTAGTATAATTTGTTTTCTTAAACAGACTGACCCAGAGAAGGCATCAATGCCTAAAGATGGAACAGTGCATGAATTAACAAATAGGGTAAAAATAAGAAATATTCATCTTTGAAAAAAGAATTTTTTTTTATTTGAATGATTTTTAGATTTTCATATCATATGACTGATCTTTGATATATCAAAGATATTGGTAAACATGTTTGTGTTAAAGATATCATATAATTAAACATCATATACAAGTTAAATATATCAGTAAGCTTGATTTCAGAAGTAGAAAGTCAAAGAAAATAAAAAATAAACCTCTGGTACTTCACCAGAGTACACCTGATAGACCAGACGCAATTCATAGCGCTCCGGATTTCTTTCTTCACAACTGTTTATAAACTTCAAATTAAACATGTAACACTGTAAATATTTAGTGTTTGGTAGTTTAGTAGTAGTGCTAGTTGTTTTTATTTCTCTGTTTCCTTTGTTTTTATGATTTCTTATCTTTTTTCTTTGTCCTGAGGAAGGGACAGGTCGTCCCGAAAATTTTACAATTTTTATTGTTCGTGTCATTGGTCATTTTTAGTGCTTTATATATATATATATATATATATATATATATATATATATATATATATCTATCTATCTATATATATATATATATATATATATATATATATATATATATATATATATATACTTGAAATATCAAAGATATAGCTATTCTTCTGTTTCAGACCATCATATTCCTTGAACCACTCCTAGATTATGCGGATACTGCGGGGGCTATGTTACTCCTTCATGGTGTGTATTATTTACCGTGGTTAATTAGAATTTGTTGAATGAAAAATGTTCATAGTGTGAAAACCTTTTATCCAGAAATATTATGAGATTTAATCCAGTTATAAAAAGTATGGCTATCTTAAGTAGACTGTATGTAGATTGCTTTAAAAAGTACATTTAAAGTTCATATTGCAAGTGTCTGCATTCATGTTTTTACTAAAAAATGTCAAAGGAAAGAGTAAAGCTAATACAACTTTGAATATTATGGTCCATTTTATTTTTTTCCCCCAGGAGAACAAGCAGCTCCTTCAGAAGCTGTTGATGCTAAAAAGAGTAAACTTAAACTTGCAGACTATATCAGTAAGTATTATTTTTAGTCTCAGAAAGAGAGTCGGAGAGAGAGAGAGAGGTTGCTGCACTATTGTGAGAATTTCCAATGCACATTTGTTTGATGAAATATTACTGAGAGAAGGGGGACAGAGAGAGGAAGATGCACATTATCTTTACATGCATGTATCTAAACACCTTTAATGCACTTCATTTGAATTTCTTATTTTGAAGCAAAAACCCTCTCAGCTCTGGGTCTGAACTTGAGCAATAAAGCAGAGACTTACAGTGACCCAACCCTGAGACCAGTCTTCATGCTGAATAATTATCACTATATACTGAAGTCACTCAAAAGGTGAGTTGAGTAGAGTAAGTCTTATTATGTATGCATCAAGATTCCTTAGATTTTAAACCAAGCTTTTTCATTCATAAAGTTTTTGCTATAGATCTGTTGAAAAGTACTGATGTTTAGATATTTTGATATTCTAAATAATTTCTCAAAATTGAAAGCTTGAAAAAAATCACCTGAATTTATTGACATTTCTGACATTGCATTCAAAATACAAGTTGAAATGTATTCAAAAATTTGCTATTTTGTACTGAAGTATTGAATATTATGTTTCAAGTATGCATGTTTCATTTAGATCTGGTTTATTGGATCTTATTCATACGTGGAATAAAGATGTGGGACAATTTTATGAGGACAGAATCAATGAACAAAAGAAATCATATTCTGAAAGGTTTGATTCTTTTGATTCCAAGTCACCATGAATCCTTGTACTATAATTTCAATCATGCAAATAAGTTGCAGGGGGTACAAATGTATTCTGTTTCTCTATTTATTAGTTAATTGTTGCATGCAGCATTTGGGGGGGGGGGGGGACGGTTGAGGTAATCCGTTATCATTTTTTTTCTGTTATCTGAAAGACCTAAAGTAAGAGTGTTAGGTTAGGAAACATGAATAGTTAATTTGCATAAGAAAGAATCTGGTCCTGTCAGGACAGCCATTGTATGTTTTATGAGGAAAAAAACAGCTTTAATTACAGTGAACTAGTATTACAGAATTAGCAGGAAGTATGTGAATCATGTTATGTGTACACCAAGATGCCTGTTTTTCTTTCAGTTGGAGTAGAGTGATGCATTATATCACTGAGGTCAATGAACCAATATCTCAGCAAAGAATACAAGCCATGGAGTCCAGCAAAGAAAGGGTCGGTTAATTATCTAATTTAAAAAAAATGTAATGACCATTTTCAACATACAAAAATTTAGATACACTCTAAGTTGATTTGTTTTTCAATTTACTGGTAATATTATCTTTACTCAGGATAGTGTGTGACTTAAATAAATTATTGGCAATTCAAAACTCCTACAAAATTTCTTGCAATTTTGAAAATGACAGGGCTTTGAGATCCCTGTGAGTATACTTGGACTGACTTATCAAGTCTAGCCATATAGTACTTAAGTGGTTATACAGTGTACTGAAATCTGAATTTATGAAGTTTCTTAGTAGTTTTATTCTATATTAAGACATGACTATTTCTGTATGTATCTATAGCCTATACAAGAGAAAGTACATATCTTTTATATATTTATAATAACCTGTACATGATTTTCAATAGCCAACTTTATATAAAGTGTTATGGTCAATATATTCAACCACAGAATTATTGTTGTAGTCAATGTGTATAAAATACTGTGTTCGTTAATAATGTATATACACTTACTTTAATTAGATCAAATTCATATGCAGAACTACATCAACTAAAAATTTATTTACGTTCATAAAGATAGAAACAATTTTTAATTTAAATTTGAAGAACTTAAATTATTGCTTATATAACCCAACTTTCTTCTGTCAAAAATAGAAAAAATGTCTGGTATGTATAACACCTGTGTCTAAACATACATGTACATGTCTGGAAAATGCAACTGTACATCAACTTTTTAAACTTACATTTGTTTATAAAGCAGGTATGTTTCAGGTACATTTACATTTCACTACTTTTGACACCATTTAATCAAATAATTCTATAAAAAAAAATTTAAGATGAATTAGCTCAATAGGGTATGGGGAAAAAACTGATAAATGCATTCTTAATGATGTAAGTCAGACAGACTTATTCTAATCAAAATATTTATTTTTACTTTTAGTTGAAAGACAAGGAAAAGCAAAACATCAAAGACAAATTTTCTGTGAGTATATGTATGCATACAAGTATAACTGAAAAAGAAAGTAAAGTTTGTGCCTTCTTTCAAGTGTAATGCTAAATATATTTGCATTTCTTGTCCTTGTTTTTTGCCTCTATACCTAGCAGTTCATTTTATTTTTTTTATTTTAAAATTTCTAGGGTTTCAACAAAGAATTGGAGGACATTCTACGAAGTCAGAAAGGATATGCCATTCCAGATCCAGAATTACGTGAACAAATGAAGAAAGACAACAAAGACTTTATCATTCCTTCTTACAGAATGTTCCTGGATAAATATAAAAGACTAAACTTTACTAAAAACCCCACTAAGTACATTAAATACTCCGTACAGGACGTGGCAGAGGTGGTGGATAAACTGTTTGATATGTCTGCTTAATTCTTCTTTCAATTGTAATTCGACATATGTAACAATTTGTTTTTCTTTGAGCACTTGTGATAATATGAATACTAAGCATGTACAGGTCTCCGTTTACATTTACTCATGTATTGCAGATGAGAAGTGAGTAAAATGAAAATAACATATATACCCGGTAAACAAAAAATGCAACTAAGAAAAAGACATGCTCTTTATTTTATCAAGATCTTAAAAATATTATTGTTAAAAAATACAAACTTTAGAAAAATTGGATATCGCGCAATGAAAAATGTAAAATAACTTTTGGTCTTCATATTATTGATAAATAAAACTGTTAACACAATGCAACACTCTGAAGCAACTCGTTGATAAGAAGGGGCAGATGTGTTAAAAAACTATAATGTGTTACAAAATATATGATTTTAAGGATAGCCTCCGTTGAGAATTAAGTTCATTGAACTCTGCTTAAACAATTACTTTAAACACAATAGAGTGCCATCAGGACATCTGTTTTTTAGCTCACCTCGACAAAGTCAAGATGAGCTTATGCTATACCGGCGGCGTTGGCGTCCCGGTTAAAGTTTTAGGAGCAAGTCCATTCCCAAGTAACTATAAGCCCCACCTGGACCAAACTTGCATGGATGATGCATCTAGGGATGAACACTACCACACTTGCTTTGGATGCTGGATCTGACCTAGATTTTCCAGATGAGTGACCAGGTTAAAGTTTTTTGGAGCAGGTCCATACCTAAGTAACTATAAGCCCTACCTGGACCAAACTTGCATGGATGATGCATCTAGGGATGGACACTACCACACTTGCTTCGGATGCTGGATCTGACTTAGATTTTCCAGATGAGTGACCAGGTTAAAGTTTTTGGAGCAGGTCCATTCCCAAGTAACTTTTAGCCCTACCTTGACCAAACTTGCATGAATGATGCATCTAGGGATGGACACTACCACACTTGCTACAGATGCTGGATTTGACCTAGATTGTCCAGATGAGTGACCAGGTTAAAGTTTTTGGAGCAGGTCCATTCCGAAGTAAATATTAGCCCGACCTTGAACAAACTTGCATGGATGATGCATCTAAGAATGGACACTACCACACTTGCTTCGGATGCTGGATCTGACTTAGATTTTCTAGATGAGTGACCAGGTTAAAGTTTTTGGAGCAGGTCTATTCCCAAGTAACTATTAGCTCTACCTTGAACAAACGTGCATGGATGATGCATCTAGGGATGAACACTACCACACTTGCTTTGGATGCTGGATCTGACCTAGATTTTCCAGATGAGTGACCAGGTTAAAGTTTTTTGGAGCAGGTCCATACCTAAGTAACTATAAGCCCTACCTGGACCAAACTTGCATGGATGATACATATTGGGATGTACGCTGATCAACCTGCTTCGGATGATGGATTCGACCTAGATTTTGCACATGAGTGAATTTTAGCCATAATTTAACCAAACTAGCATGGATGATTTAGCTAGGGATGGTCACTTCCAGACTTGCTTTGGATTCTGAATCTGACCCACATTTTCCAGATGAGTGATCAGGATAATTTTTTTGGAGTAGCTGTATAACATTATGGCCTGTTATGATTAAATTTGCATAGATGGTGCATCTAAGGATGAAAACTTCCAGACTTACTTTGGATGTTGGTGGAACTGACCAAAATTTTCTTGATTAATAAACAGGATAAACTTTTTTGAACAGGTCTATTTCCAAGTAACTATAATGTTGTACTTAAACCAAACTTGCATGGATATTGATCTTGGGATGTACACTAAAAAAAAAAAAAGAATATGCTGTGAAATTTGCCTTACTTAAAGATACATGTAATATTCGTCGAGGTGAGCTTCGTAATCGTTAATTACCTATGTTTGTCTTGTGCAATATTTTATAGAATTTTTTAAAATTATCTTAATTAAAAGAAGTATGAAATTTAAGCTATAGTTCTGTTTTATTCATTTAAAAAATGGTAAACTTTTATACAATGTACATGTACATTCTGTTTTGTTTGATGGCTGTAAGCTACAGACAGAGAGAGCTTCAGGAAAATAGCATGAGTCTTTTAAAAGTATAGTTTATTCAAGCATTGCTGGAATTTGGCCATCAGATCCTAAAAGAAGTTTGTTGTTACCAATCATATAACACGAAGTGAACCAGACACTTCGTGTGTGTACTTTCTTAGCATGATCAAAATGTAGCCAAGTTCTTTGATGTGGACTATACAGCACTTTTGTGGATCATTGCTATCAATATTGAAGCTGCATAACAATATAAGCTGTACAAATGATGAGAAACTAGAAATGCCTATCAAGTATGCATATACTAAAGATTCAAGAATTTTTAATTATTAAAAAAAAATGATCTTGATGTGTGTAGCATATGAAAATTTCACAATCATTCAGAAAAAAAGTTTCTAATATATACATAGTACTGATAATTGCAGTATATGTATCAATCTTCATCAAAGATTCTAATTTTATTTTACTATTACACCCCTTTAGCTTGAAGATTGGTAACTTCGGGTACTAGTATTGAGAACTTTATGTTTCCAAAATCTTTTAAAAAGTGGTATGGTTAACATGTTATTGAATGTATACCAATTTTATGTTAACCATACCACTTTTTAAAACTCTCAAATGGTCATGAAACATGGATAATGGAGATATGTAAGTACAGAATGAAAACCTCAGCAGCAGGCAAATTAAAAATATTGCATTTCTATGGGTAAAGAAGACAATACATGTGACAGTTACTGACAGCAATGGAAAGGAAGATAAACAAACAAACAAACAAAAAAAAAAAAAAAAAAAGGACAACAACTCTGCTGAAAGTAGATCAATTCACTTATAATATGATCAATAGAGCCCCACCCTAACACAAGAACCCCTGACCCTGGAGCCATGAATTTCACAATTTTGGTTTTGTAGCCATACTAACAGGTTGAATGCTTGATATGTTTATATAAAGAAGATTTTTGAAAATTGCAATGATTAAGGTTTTAGTCTCATGTTTTAGGTCCCTAAAGGAGTAGAATTGTGTTAACCTGTTATAAATTCTGTGCATTGTGAAATGGTGTTCTGCTTTCGATCACCTAGTGATTTAAATTGAAGAGAGAGAGAGATTGTTAATATTGCCAAACATCATTTCAGTTAATATCAGTACTCTGTTTTCATGAGATCCATAAAGGCCAAAAAAAAGGATACCCAGTTATTTTATGCAAAGAAACCAGTCATACCACTTTCATGTTTATTTCTCTGTAGATTCCTGGCTCCAGGATCATGAAGCAGTTTTAATTTTTGGTCAAAAATCAATGTTTATAAAATGATTTATTATAAACTGATACTCGAAAACTAAAGGACATGAGCGAACAAGCTGTGCAAAATGCCTATAGCTTCAGATATATATTTATAAATCATATTCAGTCTGTGAATTTGGCATTTAGAGTTAAGCTCTCATTATTGAAAGTTACGAAATTATGATAAACAAAACTTTTCTGAGGAAAATTTTCTTGGCAAAAATGACATGTATTCTGTTATTAAAAAATAATGTGGTATTCGAACCCTTGCAATAAAAATCCTGGGTATCGTTTTCCTTTGAGGCTAACACTCTTACCACTACGTTACGCAGTTTCTGATGAATAGTGGCATTTACATCATGTTTGTAATATGACCCTTGACTAAATGGACTTCACTTTTTTCTTGGAAAGATGCCAATGTTGTGTCATAAAAGTGTATTTCTAAGATAAAGTGGGTCTTTGCTGCATGTTTTTATTAATCAAAAAATGTACATTTTATGGTAAACTTTCAAAAAATGGAGCGAAGACCCACTCATATCGAAAAATTGTGATATGGTGAGAGAAAATGATCCTTTTTGCCCTCTTTAGTCACCCCTACTAATGTTATTGTGATTTAAATTCAAGACACGTGGTGTAGGTTGACCCATTCTGAGGTTATAGGGCAGAACCGGTTTTATAAATAAAATTGGCAGTAAACAGGAAATTGCTTTAATCTGTTGTCCTATAAAATATGTTTCAAGAATTTTCTGAAAGATTTTAAACAGAAATGAGTGGGATTTAAAAAATCACAATCTACTTAATTAATCTTAGCTTTTGTGATAATTTACGGCGAAAATTGGAGCTTAAGGGTAATGTCGCGTGTAAAGGACTTAGTGTGAGCTTATCTCACTAAACAAGTACTGCTAAGCAGTATTGAAAAGCGTCTTTGATTGTTCTACAAAGTCATCGGCGCTTTGTTTGAGTCTCAAAATATTCACTCATCAGTCAAACAGGAAAGTTTATATTTTTTCACTGTTTTGCCTAATAATAAAAATTGACCTAGTATGTTTTAAATAGACAGTACACCAAGCATTACAATGTAATGTATTGTAGGACAGTTATATTTTTATTTAAAAGCACACTTCACTCGACACTCCAATTTTCCTCGGGATGTTTCGCATATATCCATATCAGTCTTTCAATAAAAAAAAAAAATCAACAAAAGTAACTGTTCTTTGATGAGAACTTAGCTCTAAGTACTGTTATCAGAATATATTCTGTTTATCCTTCCTGGTGCTTATCTGCATCACTCTCAAAATTTACACTCATCAGTCAAACATGAGATTTCTCTCTTTTTCAATCTTTCATATACCCAAACTAGGCGTTGCATAAAATAATAAATAGCAATGAAAAAAATTGTCCAACAATCCTTCGACATTATTACTGCATTGTTAATTTAGATTCATATGAAAGAGAAGAATCATATAAGAAAATGTGAATGAAAATATTCCATCTAGTCCTTTTTTTCAAAACTTTTTTAAAAATAAAAAAATTATTAGAAAATATGTTGATTTACACCTTATTTTCAATACCATAATGTAAAACAAAAATGGACTTCATTTTGTTGATTGACATTGCATTGCAGTGCAATAAAATGCAGTTAAATTCTTATTATGGTAAACAGTATAAATTCTCTTGCAAACAAAAAAAAATCCACTCATCAGTCAAAGAGAAGTGTTCATTTCTTTTGGATCTTTTGCGTATACCCAAATGAATCATTCGATAAAAAAAAGAAACAGCAACAAGTAACTTTGCGAAAGTCCTTCGACTTAATTACTGATTTTTAATTTTGATTCATATCAAAGAAAACAAAATATTTAAGAATATGAGAATAAAAGAAACGCTCTCTAAAGTCTAGCTCTTTTCTTTGAAACTTTTTTTTTCGAAGCATGAAATGAAAAAAAAGTGTGTGTATTCAATCAGTTTTTAAATTCAATTAAGAAAAAAAATTGACTAATTTAATTTTGATTGGACAATTTGGCAGGCATCACAATGTATCGCATTGTATTGCAACAGTGTGCAGTATGGTGCAATTCTACTTGCGCATACCCAAACTAGTCATTCGATAAAAAAAACAGCAACACGTAACTTTGCGAAAGTCCTTCGACTTAATTACTGATTGTTAATTTTGATTCATATCAAAGAAAACAAATATTTAAGAATCTGAGAATAAAAGAAATGTTCTCTAGTCTATTTTTGAAACCTTTTTTTTTCAAAGCATAAAAAGAAAAAAAAAAGTATGTGTATTCAATCAGTTTTTAAATTCAATTAAGAAAAAAAATTGACTAAGTTAATTTTGATTGCACAATTTGGCAGGCATCACAATGTATCGCATTGTATTGCAACAGAGTGCAGTATGGTGCAATTCTACTTGTATTTAAACAAGTACAATTATTAGAAATAATGTATTAGAAATATTCCCCACCATCCACCCTTCAAAGACAGCTTTTATATACAATTTGTCCTTGTGATTGAATGTTTCTTTGGAAATTTGCATAATGTAAGTTTTGTTTCAAAGTTCGATAACTCAAATTATGTCCCTTTGAACAACGTAGACAAAACGATCATTGATTTCTGCTTTATTTTATGTAAATGTTTAAGCAATGCTAACGAGTAACAGGCTTGTATACTATATATAAGACGTTAGGCAGACATTCACAAATGACCATGTGTTAAAGTCTGAGTAAATAACGGTAACGTCGCGTGTAAAGGACTTAGTGTGAGCTTATCTCACTAAACAAGTACTGCTAAGCAGTATCGAAAAGCGTCTTTGATTGTTCTACAAAGTCATCGGCGCTTTGTTTGAGTCTCAAAATATTCACTCATCAGTCAAACAGGAAAGTTTATATTTTTTCACTGTTTTGCCTAATAATAAAAATTGACCAAGTATGTTTTAATTAGACAGTACACCAAGCATTACAATGCAATGTATTGTAGGACAGTTATATTTTTATTTAAAAGCAAAATTAATTAGCTTGCAATTAAAGAACTTCACTCGACACTCCAATTTTCCTCGGGATGTTTCGCATATATCCATATCAGTCTTTCAATAAAAAAAAAATCAACAAAAGTAACTGTTCTTTGATGAGAACTTAGTTCTAAGTACTGTTATCAGAATATATTCTGTTTATCCTTCCTGGTGCTTATCTGCATCACTCTCAAAATTTACACTCATCAGTCAAACATGAGATTTCTCTCTTTTTCAATCTTTCATATACCCAAACTAGGCGTTGCATAAAATAATAAACAGCAATGAAAAAAATTGTCCAACAATCCTTCGACATTATTACTGCATTGTTAATTTAGATTCATATGAAAGAGAAGAATCATATAAGAAAATGTGAATGAAAATATTCCATCTAGTCCTTTTTTTCAAAACTTTTTTAAAAATAAAAAAATTATTAGAAAATATGTTGATTTACACCTTATTTTCAATACCATAATGTAAAACAAAAATGGACTTCATTTTGTTGATTGACATTGCATTGCAGTGCAGTGCAATAAAATGCAGTTAAATTCTTATTATGGTAAACAGTATAAATTCTCTTGCAAACAAAAAAAAAATCCACTCATCAGTCAAAGAGAAGTGTTCATTTCTTTTGG